TTCAGAAATATTTGAAATTTCATGTAGCTCAATTTAATAACCCAGTAATGTGAATTACATGAGTTAAAATTAAAAATAAAACAGTTTCAAGTAGTTAAATTGTTTATACATACTATAAAGATGAATCAACTATATATCTATGTTCTACTTAAACCGGATTTGAAAATAGTTAAGTGATTTAACGTGGGGATATTTAAAAGCTAATTATTTGTATTATATTATATGAAAAACTACAACAAAAGATCTACTTAAATACTCAAGTTTAAATTATTATTTAACACATTCATATTTTAATAACTAGTTACGGTGATATATTTTTAAAAATTATATTATTTCTAATCGAATACTTAAAAAAAAAAATCTATATTTGCAATTTGATAAATTTATATCGATACTTTCATTTATAATAACAATTTTATTTCAAAATCAATAATTCTTCTGTTTAACATAGTAAAGGGTATAATTTATGACTATAATACACAAATAAGTTATATTTTATTACAAACATTATTAAACAGTATAGTATATCATTATCTCACTGATATTTTTTATTAAATTATTAAACTTAAAATATACACGTCATATTCTTCTTTCAAATGTGAATACTTACTAAGAAACGATAAACGAAAATAATTAACAGATAATTAATAATTATACAAAGTAAAATTCAAATCCAGTTTAATACTATAAAAAACATAATATATATTGCCTGAATTATTATTTTATTTAAATACTCGACTGTAACTAGAATTGATTTTAAATAATTAATTACCACGCACTATTTAATTTTAATATTTAATAAATACTGTTCTTAATATTTCATGATTAATGTTCTCAATATTCTATAGTTATTGTTTTTATTTTCCATCTTGTTCTTTATAATATTATTTAAACTCTTTTCCATGATGGTTGTTATTAAATTATCAAACTACCATGTTTAATTTAGGAATTAAATTAATCAATATTTTCAATTACTTATTTAAGGAAGTGCAGTCTCATAACTGTAAATAAGTTTCATAGGCCTCTACACTCCGGGGTCCCGAGGCACTGCCTCACTTTTCCCTATGGTAGCTACGCACTGTAAACAATCTATGTGCTAAAGAAAAGTTCTCACCACACGTGAATTTTACTCACCTTATTTATCCTTTGCAGAAGAAAATTATACATATTTTTATTTTATAAAATAATAATAAAATAATTTAAAGTTATAATTGTTTTTTTTTTCTAAAATAACACATCATGAAGGCATTAACAATAGGCAGAAATATAAATATGGTAAAACACAGTGTCCACATAGTAGGGTTTAATCAGAACTTGCTTATGGATACAGGAAGGCTCAATAGACATAACTTTTTGTGATATCGCTGGAAAACTGTTAAATGTTAATTGAATGTTCGATACTGAACATTCAATAACTATATTACTGACTACATTACTCTGTAGTAGTTGCCTTTAGTTTATTTCCATTAATTGTTGTTTAGTTAAATCAACTTTATTAATAATGTATACAAATAATCATAATAAGTAAGATAGCAAAATAAAATATAATAAAATGGCTTGACTAACATCAGGGAGGAAAAATTGATGTTTAAATTGTTAAACACAAAACAACTAAATGGAGCATAATTCTATATAGCTTCTTTAATTTAGCTACCTCTTAATCTATTTTCTTCTGAAAAATGAATCTAAACCAATTATAAAACGTTCCGTTAATTTTCCCTTCAAAAATTATAACATAAAAATATAATTGTACTTTTAAATAGTGAAAAAAATCACAAATTATAAAAACAGTTGATCAATGTGATTAAACAATTTAATCATATTTGTTAAATGACGTCAAAATATTGTAGATAACATGGATCATATGACATGGATATAATATGGGTCGTCATATACAACTATGTGACATCTACACATAGGCATACATATAGTATTACAGCCTTCGATATAGTAAGATAATTATATCAACATGATGGCATTATAAGTATTTTCCAACTAAGTAATAACTAACTATTACAAACAGCTGATTCGATGTATTTAAACATAATTCATAATTATAAATCTTGATTGTATACATAATGATTTTATACCGAATATTCTCGTACTATATACTAAATCAATGACTACACTCATGGCTTCACTAATAAATGTACAATTAGCAGAGTATCCATTATAGAGCCAATTCTCCTACCACTTTTATACTTGCATTAAATATTATTTTTTACTCGATTTTATTAAAAAAAAAAAAAAGTGTCCTTTAATAGATTGAAATAAAGTGCATAGAAATGCACAGATTTTAAAAAGTAATCCGTTTTACATAATTTAGTTTCAAACTTTTTTAAACACAATACCCACCTTCCCCAGTACCTATACATAATTTAGACAACCTCAAATTCATCATGTCATATTATTTGTATTAATTTCATTCTTTTTGTACACCATTAATATTTATGGAGTAACAAATAATAATACCTAAACACATTTTTATAAATTTCTTACTGATGCAATTTAAATTTGGTAAAATTTTCGTTGACGATGAATGTTTCTCATTTATTTATCAGGAAACTATTTATAGTAGATAGTAATAATGGTAATATAAAATCGTAATTATATATACTTATGATTTTATACATGTATAACTGAGCTAACGTACCTAGTATAAAACTGTGGACCATGCAATACCTAAGTCAAATCTCTTTTATTTTTGAAGGGAATTGTTTTGAGCAAAAAAAAAATTAATATCCAACAAATATGCAAATGTTGTGATAATGGCTACTCCTTTATAAATTGAAAACCAATGTTTTTGCCAGTATTGATTAGCACCTTCATATTGGAAACATTGAAACAAATTTGTTTAAGGGAAATTAAAAAACCTGTATTTTCTAACAAATTTGAAAATGTTGTACTAACTTCTATATTAATTTATTTTTTAATCATCGACTCGAAGTGAGGTTCTGACCCTTATAAAAATAACTAATCCGTTCGTAACAGTATCAAGCGGTTAGTTCACCGAGTTAGTATTAGGCATAATACATATATTCTTTGTCCCTCGAGACGCAGTACCATTCTCATGAAAATTGTCACACGAAATCACTCGAGATGTTGAGCAATGCTAATAAACGTACGTAGGAAGCGATTCCTTCAATAAAACGTTTATTTATAAAATTACAATGAAAGATGAAAAATTATCAAATCATCATCATAGGTAAACTGTTTATTATTTATAGTTATTTAGTTAAACATTTTCAGTACGGTTTCGACCATCATCGCGAGAGCACGTGCTTTATCGCGCTCCGTAGTCCGTATTGGCAACGTCTAATGACCGATCGTTATTACGCAACACATATTTAATAGGTGTGTAACGGAGCGAACTGTTTCGCGTCTATTAATATGACATCATTTAAATCACCACCGGCAACGAATTCTAAACGACACTTGTCTTCGCACTCCAGCTCTCCCTAATCTTTTACCTCACCAAATCAATTCGCTGTTTTGTCAACGGCTGATGATAAGCTGGTATCGAACATATTTACATCTAACTCTAATGCTACAGAGCGCGAGCAACTACCACCAAGTAAAAACGTACTGAAGTTCATTCATATGCCGGCGATTTACGTAAAGAAGATCAGAAATTTTTCTGAGTTTCGTAAAAAATTAATACATCTCACGGATATTAATGATTTTTCGTGTAAGTCCGCACCATTTTATTTAATAATTCGGGCCAACAGTTACCCTGCTTTCGCCACCATTTCGAAGTATCTAATAAGCACTAGTGCGGAATTTCATATCTTCCGTCCCCATTACATGCGCCACTTTAAGGTAGTAATTCGCAATCTACATCATACCACAATTCTATCCGATATCTCAGATGCCCTAGCGGAGCATGGACACTCTGTGGTACACGTGGCGAATATAAGAAAGAATCAACGTCCGTTACCTCTTTTCCACGTCGAATTGGCACTTAAAAATAATAACCACGATATCTTCAACAAATCAACATTGCTCCATTCCATTGTAGTCATCGAAAAGCCAGACGCTAAAATTAATGACCCACCTCAGTGTTTTAAATGTCAAGCATATGGTCATACTCGCAATTACTGTTGTCACTCACCTAGATGCGTCAAATGTGGTGACAACCATCTCACAGCGGACTGCACCAAAGACCGGTCACTCCCAGCTAAATGCGCTCTGTGTTCTAGTGATCACACAGCCTCATACAAATGATGCCCAATCGCAAGAAATTAGTACTATCAAATAAAAAAAAAAACAAAAATGCTAGAACTTCAAAGGCAAGAAGCTCGTACTCGTCATCATGGCAACAACACCAAAGTGGGTCCAACATGTGCCAACATATCTTCAGAGCAACCAACACACACTATTTCTGATACTTTTTCTACATTTCTAACTGAAATAAAAATCTTATTATACCTTCTACTTTCTCTTCTCACCGTCCTAATAAACAAACTTACAATAAATTCCCCATAAGTTATTATAACCAATTACCAACAAATGCATTCAACCTATTTATGTAATCTATATGCCCTTATCTTTATATTAACCTTATTAATATTATTATATTTTTGGTTTTTCTTTCTATTCTGTATACTCAATATTATGATACAATATCTTATTGTTAATTTAATTGAATTACGTTGTATATAATATAATTGTTGAGCTGTAATAGTTGATACTAAAAGCTAAATAAATTAAATTAAAAAAAAAAAAAAGTTACGTATTTAAAGTCACTTAAATGTTTCAAAAATATAAAATATGTGCACGAATCCGTATTGAAAATATGTAAATTTCAAAATACCATTGAAACTTAATTAAAATGTATAGCGTCAATAGTTTTCGTTGGCACTGTCGTTCTTATGTCGTTAAAACACATAAATTTCGAAATAAAAGCATTTAGTGTTTTTTTAAAAACTAGGAGTATAATAATGATATAAGTAGGATATAAATAGTAATATAATGAGTATGTATACGATTAAACTGCTTACCCGATCATATTGATGGGTGAACGGCGTGAAATGGTGGTGCGGCGCTCTGGTCGGTGGAGCGGCCGCGCCCGAAGACCTCTGATACAAATACGGATAATACGCCTGATACATAACCTCTGTGCAGCTCATAGTCCGCAATTGACGCGCGTCCGGCACATTTATACAGTTCTACGATATGAGTCGAAAACGGTGGCGTCTGATGTGCTGTACAGTTGTGTGCTCGAAACGCGAAAAGAACCGAAAAAAATAATTATTTTTTTATCGCCTCGACAGCAAATTAATAATATTATAACGATGACGAACTAATGGCAAATGAAATAAGTGTAAAACACGTCGCGCGAAAAAAAACTCCGGAACGCGGTATCTTAATGGTATAAAATCAAAATAAAATCAATCGATGGGAAAGATAATAAATCAAAAATAATGTTATCCTCTGGATAGGCGATGGCGAAACCGTTTAATTGACGATTTATGCATACGTATATATATATATTTTACTAATAATAATGTTAATTTTTAAATTTAAAGATCCCCACACAACACACGAAACAGCGAAAAAAACAAGCTTAATAACAATAAATAATAATTGTTCAAACAATAGCGGTTCGACGACGGTGGAACACGTGTACGTGCGACTATACATGCGCGCGAGGACTGCGGCGGCGGCCGGCGGCGCGCGTTCCGGTCGCCTCGTAAGGTGGCGCGCGCGGACCATCGAAAAGGCTTGGGCTTACCCATGGCCTCCCGACACGCCTACCCCGGCCAATCGCCACGCACCGTCGCCGCGGCCGGCCACCGGACGATCCACGTCCGACGGACCCGTCGCGGGGTACGGGCAAGGTCACCGCACAACCCTCCGGCCACCCGCCCGTCGAGTCGGGCAAAAAGCGCTTTGGACGCGCGTGCTGTGCGAAACCGTCGCCGCGTCACGTTTTGTATTATATTAAACGAGCGCTCGTCGACTCATATACTCCTCTCCCTCCCCCGTCGTATTTCGTGTATTATGTAATATATATATAATATATGCGCATACTTATTATTATATATTTATATGTAGGTATATATATATATATATATATTTGTATGTACAATACACGCACGCGACCGGCATCGGCGGGGGTTAAGTTTTACTGCATAATAAAGTCCGGGGAGGAATAGCGCGCCGTCGATTTTCAAACGTATAATAAACCGTCGCAATAACCGAATATGTAGAATGTTAATGTCATTTGAATTTGTATATTAAATAAAAATTGAAAAAAGCTTAGGTACCCTTCGACTTATTAGTATGGTAACATCGTCCGGTGTTCGATATATCTTATGGAACTTGTGGTTTAGATTTTTTACTCAAAGGCTAAATACGAGTAGAATACTATGTAACGAGCATATAATATTATTTGGAACAATCATAAGATGTTACATTGAATATGGTATCCATATTACTATTGAAGTTTTATTCTCAGAACATAAGCAGTTCCCCATACATATTACAATTACGCGAACGTAACTTGAAATTTAACATAATATGTTTCAAAATAATATTGTAGGAACATCGCCGAAATATTCCATGGCATAGTGGGTACGTAAATAATTAAAATAATTTATACTATCAGCTCGCAAACGCCTGTAAAGAATATTAGCGATGATCAAAACAAGACCAAGACTTGCTTGCTATTTTCAAAAAATAAAAAACAAAAAACTAAATATCTACCTATTATAGCTAAGTAAATTTTTTACTATGACTTCCAAGATGAAACTTAAGTCCAATATATTATATAGGTAGTATATTAAAATATAAACCAATCAAACAATTTAATTTTTATTATAGGTACTCGTTTAAAACTTTACATTTTAAAATATTATGTTTATATTATTGTAGTTGTATTTATATTTGATGAATCAATTTACTAACATAATTAACTTTGTAAGTTCCTATTACATCTTCTTATTCATTCACACTCTCGCTTTGCTTCACTATGTCTTTAATGTCACTCATTTTAAAGGTACAGTAACAACAACTAACAAGGCGTATTAATACCAACAGTAATACAAGGTAACAGATAATTACCAACAGAATACAAGTTTACGACGGTAATGAAATGATATGCTGTATAAGACACTACTTTAAGTACACAATGTATAGTACGGCAAAATCACACAAGATACGAACGAAAATAAAAACGTACTTTCAATCAAAATTATATCTAACGTAGTCCGTAATGACTTCCAGCAATTATTAGTATATTCGATTCAAAGTAGAAGTTTATTATGGACATAAGTTATAAATTATTCTATGAGTAAAACAATTTGCGACATTTTCATCGATTTTGGGGGAAAAATATAATTTTTCAGTAATTGCTAAGTATATTATGTTATTTTGTAATATTAATTCAAATTATTTCTGATCATTTTTTCAATAATTCGTCATTTCCTCAAATACTGATAAAAGTTAATAACAATAAAAATAATTTCTTATTATTTTTGTTATAAATTATTAGTTAATGAAATCTAGATAACCAATGTGTTTTCGGGGAAAAAAAAATTTGCAAAACTGCAAGAGTCTTGCAGTGATGGTCTTATTTTGGTCTTAGTCTTGCAGCTTCGATATTGGTTTGGTCTTGTTCTTTCAAGCCTAATCTTGGTCTTGGTCTTGCTAAACCAGTACCGTCTCAGTCTTGTTCTTGAAGCAAGACCGCAAGACCAAGACCAATTTTGATCATCACTAAAGAGTATAAATATTGTCATAAAATAATCGTTTAGTATTATTATCGGGTACACCCTATTATTTTCTTTTCCCTTGTTTTTTTACATGTTTGATTAAATTTAAAAAAAGTAGGTATTATTTAGGTACTTATTAAGTAGGTACCTACTGAACAATTAAAATAAACAAGCAACACTATAAAAGAAAAAATAAAGAACTAACAAGTGCGTCGTATAGATATATAAAACTATAGACTGTAGAATGATTACTGATTACTTATAAAGAGAGGTCGGATTTATATTATCTTATAATCCTTAAAATATGATGTTTTTATGTCGTTTAAAAAAGGCAATATATTCTCTAAATATTCTTTAAAAATACCAAATATATGATGTTTTATGCCTTTAAAAATATATATATTCTTTCAATATTCTGTAAAAGAAAAAATTTTTATTAATATAAATAAAATATTTTTAAAATATGTATCGCGAAAAATATGGATACAATATTACATACATGTCACTAAAGATGACTGGTTAGCAGTTGTAAAAATATTGTGGTAACTCCAATGCGACTAGTATTTAAATGTTTCGTGTTCTAATGAAACATCGCTACAACATCGATGATTAATTGCATAATTGGCTGTGAAATATCTTATTACAATATTCCGTATAATTGGGTAAAATATTTAACTATTCTAATTCAGATTGGAAAAAGTGAATTTAAAATTTAAAGCTATAAGCAATAATAATAATAAATTGTAATATAGTATTCGTTATTATTGTATATGAAATAAAATATAATAAAAATATTGAAATATGTGTTTTGGAGTTTCTCCATTTTACTTATTTACTACGTAACCGTTGCAGTAGTTTCATTAAATGGTCGTATGTGTGGCACACGTTATGTTGGTATATTGTATACCCCCATATTAACCTTTTTTTTTTTGTAATTAATTTTTACAGTAAGTAAATAATTTATAATTATTATAAATATTACTAAACTGTAGTAATAGTGAATAAAGAAAACATCTAAATTATATGGAACATGTCACGTCATGTGATAATATAATATACATTAAATCAAAATACATACTACTCCTGTATAGGGTTATCATAAACCCTGAAGTGTAATATGCATGGTATGCAAATGGAGGGGAAGAATTTATTAAAATTTGAATAGTTCAGCGATACAAAACCTCTTCTCCTCATAAAAATCAAGTTTTAATTATGAAATTCAAATGTTATGTATATAAATAACAAATCACTTACACATTCATAGTATTATAACATAATATTTTTATAAAAAAAAACTAGCTGACCCGACAAACGTTGTTTTGTCATTATTTTGTTATGTTATTTTGAAAAAAAATTAATTTAATAATAAGTATGTAAGGATGTGAAATATAAGTGAAAGAAGTATAGAATGCTGTGAACGTTGACGAAGTATAAAAAGGAAAAAACACCAAACATTTATTTTTTTAATAATTTATTAAAATTCATCCTTTAAAATTTTATATTTTGCTAATTATGACAATATTAGTAAAAAACAATATAATCCCTTAATGCAACAGAGTGTACAATATTTTTTGTTATCCCATCTTTCGCCAACACAAACAAACTGGATGGTTTGAGAGCACGCCACGTATAATTGTTCGTGTGAAAAACATGATGTGCTCAAATTTAAGCCACAGACAGACATCGTTTGGCCCTAAGACTTATTGATAGTCATTGCAAATGCCAATCTGATTGGAAATTGAAGGTATTTAAATTTTATTGGCACATCTGTGGGTATAACAGGGATTCGCGGTAATAATATATTTTCACCTCGGAATTTGCCATTTAAAAAGATTGCTTCGATAACATTTTTATTAATTTTTTAATAACAAATGGCGTGCCGTTGCACAACTGTGATGGGTTCAAATTACGAAGCAAAATAACAGAAGTTCCAACCTTCAGTTGTAAATTATTCGGTGGCTTGTCTGGTAAATCTAATGAGTTTAAAAACTCTATTGGATAATTTACAGCTTCAGTAGCATTGCATACTGTATCAATAGATTTGTATGACACCAAGTCTCCTGCTAACAAATTTTGTATCTTGAAGTTCAATTCGTTGACGCCCATATTTTTTGCTGCTAAAATTGCTTTTTCTACCAGCCACTCATGATTTGGATATTGTCTGTATACATTGGGAAATATCTGATCAATGAGAGCATCTTGTGAATCAATGATTGTACAGAAATCGGTTGGTAATTGTATGCATCCCGTTTCATTTATAATAATTTTCCCATCACCGATATTTAACAATTATTTGAGAATCTTTCATACGCATCCTTTTTTTGATTGAATCGCAAGTATCGTAATCGTTCGCTCTCTATCTTTACATACGTGTTGACCATAAATTGTTGAAAAAAGCTCACAACATCGTAGAATAACGTTGTCCTGATCACGTCTAATTATCAATCGATATGCATAATAATTATTTTCCCAAACACCGCGTCGTACGTCAAGGTGTTCGGGAAAATAACAAATCAATGAATTATTGAAAGCAAGATAAGAAATAATTGGATCTGTTTATGGTACGCCAATTCTAAAAATGTACAAGATCCAACTGTAATATTTCAAAATCTTTTATAGAGATAACCTCAATATACATTTTGAGATCATAAAAACAACGACATTTTACAGAAAAATATATGTTTTACGCCGTTCATAAGTAATAGAAAGAGCATGGGTGTCCTCCTTGAGGGACACCAGAAGTTGTGGTGAATGGATTAAAAATCTTACCTAAAACGATTCCTTGTTGCATTCTTCCCTAATAAATATGAACTTAACCAGGATAATAATGTAATAACATAATACAATAATAATAGTAATATAAAATAACTAATATCGAGAATATTAAATATAAATTAACAGTACGTGGTTAACTATTTTGAATGCTTTCCTAAGGTTAGTATAGATGTCATCTACTTATGCCTTTTTTCAACGATAGTGAGAATTTAAGTATAATATAGTAACAAATAAGTGTTAATGCATTTATGTAATCATAAGTCATGAATTAGCTATGAAAGCCAAATACATTTATGCAATGTGGTTAATAAATCATATGAATGATTATTACAATACAACTCGTATAATATATAAAGATATAAATATATACTCGTAATAATACTATATATTTGATAAATTTTTGATTTTTATATTTTCAGTATCCATACTTTCAATAAATAATATGTATTAGTATAGTTATGATTGTATAAAAGATATATAAATTAACAATATAATTAGTACCTATTTTATGTATTACTATAGCGCTGCCTACCCTAGATTGTATATTCAATATTGTACTAAAATAGCATTACATTTTTGATAATATAGTATATTATGATAAAATAATTAAAATATAATTCAATTTAAAAAAATATCTATCGGAAATTAAATATTTAATTTATTTAAAATTAGTATAACAAATATTTTCATGTATAGTAACATATATATACATATAATAATTTTATGATAAAGTATTTTAAAACTAAACGCCACGTTATGATGTCATCTTATGTCATTAGGTATCTATGTCTTAAATCCTTACTCTTTATCAATACGTTTTTAAAATTTTACTAAACGTCAGTTAAATATGATTTACTTTTTTCGTCGTTAATTTAAAAAAAATGTATTTTACAGCCAAAATAATTGCATAGTAACTTACGTTACCAATTACCACGTTGAATTATGATTGAGTGAAATAAATTAAATTATTGAACTGTATGACTAATAAATAAATCCATCCAGTTTATTGAAATAAGGAATAACAGAATGAAACGAGAATAAATAATAAATTATCATAGTAAGAAATTTAAAAAAATGGGGGAATTATAAGCAGTTTACAATGGTATAGTTCGTAGCACGAGGCAACACTGAATACATTTATAGCGTCTTTGAATTTAAACAGCAGGTTAAATATTATGCCACATTATTATTATCATAAATTTTATCAAAATATAAATTATATTTTCAGACGGGCAGTCAAGTAATCAGAGGTCATTTTCCGATTTTCGATATTCAACGGTAACCTCTTTAATTCACGATTATTTTGTAAAGTTGAAATACATAACGACTGTAAGTAATATTAGTTTTAACATTTTATATTAAAACGATACATTCCAAATAATTGTAAATTTTAGAAATAATGGCATTATTCTTACGATCAACCAAATTAGCTGCTAGACTCACAAAAGGCACAACTAAATGCTTTTCAAGAAATTATGCTGACCAAATGAATTTCACATTCGCTGCCGCAAACCAAGTAAGTTTGTAAACATTAAACTTATAATTCCGAAAATAACATGGAATTTTGTATATTAATGGTTATCTATATACTATTAGTTCTTAATAATCAATCATTATTTCGTTGTCATGATCAATGTTTATTCTTTTTTTCTAGATCTTTTACAATGAAAAAAACGTAAAACAAGTTGATGTACCATCTTTTAGTGGTTCATTCGGTATCTTACCAAATCATGTACCAACCTTAGCCGTTCTTCGTCCTGGTGTAGTTACTGTTTACGAAGATGATGGATCACCAAAAAAAATATTTGTGTCCAGTGGAACAGTAAATAATTATTAAAATTTGATGTGGATTATATGAAAACTATTGTAGTTATTTAAATTAATTTCAGATAACGGTTAATGAAGACTCAAGTGTTCAAGTTTTAGCTGAAGAAGCGCATCCAATTGAAGATATCGATGGATCTGCTGCTCGTCAAGTATTGCAAGAGGCTCAGAGTCAACTAGCAACTGCTTCCGGTGATGTTGCCAAGGCTGAAGCTGCAATTGCTGTTGAAGTAGCTGAAGCACTCGTTTTAGCTGCAGGAAACTAATTCTAAATGTAAACTATGTATTATAATAGTGTGAAAATTCGTTTTAAGAATTTTTAAGATACAACTAGGACTCTGAAATCTAATTAAAAATTCTACATATGGTATATTTGTTGGTTTGTGTAAGCTTCAAGTTATAATTTATAATCCTCATCATAAAATTTCTAATAAATTAAAAATGTATTTAATACATGTGTTTTAATTACAATTTTAAGTTTTGGCCAATAAATTATATCAGATTAAACATAATAGATTCAAATAAGTGTTAAAGAGTTAAAAAGTATTTTTTATGTTTAATTATTGTAATTTAAAATAAAAATGTTTAATACAACAAATAAAATAATAATTTTCTTTTTTAGTACTTATATAATGATAAAGAAAATCAAATTAATTTAATAATTTATCTTATAAAATCAAAAATGTAGATTTTCAATACTATTTATACATTTCATTTAGAATTGTGTTTTATTTAATTTATTTTTTTAATCATAATTTTACCTTTTAAATTTCAACTCTTTATGAATTAAAATAACTTAATTCTTTCAACAATAATTATTTTTTGTTGAACAATTGTATCTAAGTATCTTATTTTTAGAATATTATTTAGTAAAATAAAAATCTTATTCTTTGAAAAAAAAAAGAGTGTAATTAAAACACATCATTTAATCTATCAATATTTTAAAATTAATTGTTGGTCATTGCTTAAAATTTATTTTGGAACTTCTATATCTCATTTTTCAGAAATTTTTTTATTGTACCGTCTTAACCTTAGTGCAGAGTAAAAGGGAGCATCCAAGTATTACATGAGCTTATTTTTTTTCATTTATTATTATCTCTCCTTAAATAAAGATAATAATGAGAATTATAGGATGACTTGTCATTGGTGCTGTCGGTAAATCATTGACTTCTTTTTTTCACGCGATAAATAGAATTTTAATAGATATGATGTTGACATGAGATTTAAGATTTAGCCTCATTCTTCTTGTAAGGTACTGTCAAATTTCCCGATCCCCTAGTATGTTAATGTATGTTCCAAATAATTATCCTAGACATTTTTTCCTATGCAAATCATTTTTATTTGATTTCAAGATGTGTTTTATTCTGACTTATAAAATGTTGATAAAATCATAACTGATTTTATGAAAATTATTTATAATTTATTTGCACCCTATAAATGGGTATAAAAATGCCTGTATAAGATGTTAAAGTTTTTGAAAACCGTGTGAATAATCAAAGTTAATGAATGATAATGAAATTATTTTACTTAGGATTTGAATCTATAAGTCAGTTAAAAAATTAATCCTTTTTGCCTGTAAATAAAGTTTATGCATATTTTCTATACAAATAAAAATTGTTTAGTGCTTTAAATCGGGGGTCAGCAACCCGCGGCCCACGGGCCGCATGTGGCCCTCGAAACAATTTTTTATAGCCCTCACAAAGGTGGTTAATTTTTGTATTTTAATTTTGTTCAATAAATTTTTCATACAATTTTCAATACTATTCAATTCTTTTTTCTTTATAAATAATATTATCTAATCGGAGTCAAAGATAATGATGGCTGCACTACTCAGTCATAAGATAAATTAAACATAATTATATATATTTAAAAATTAAAATTTTAAATATATTTAATCTATGGTCATAGTTACTTTGCATTTGTAGCAATTAGTATTACACCGTGATTACGCCCGTACGTGTGACTGTTTGCATTTGTAATAGTTTCATTTTACAAATAAACCCAAACATTATGGCGATTAAAAAAAGAAAAATTTGTGATGAACATCGTTTTTTTTAATAATTCTTCGGTTGATTTATACTTTTTCGTTGAAAACAAAGGTAAGCCATTATGTTTAATTCGTCAAAAAAATAAATTTTTTCTTAAAAGCAATTTTTTCCAGTATCTAACATTCGTATTTTTTACACTCATATTTCTATGTAAAATAATCAAATATAATAGCAATCAATTATTAGTATATATCATAAGTAAAAAAAAAATTTTAATATGGGCCTTGATAAACATTTGAAAAAAATATGGCCCGCGTGGTTCAAAAGGTTGCCGATCCCTGCTCTAAATAGTTCAAATGAGCTCATAACACTGTCAACACTATTTTTTAGACTATCATATACAATTTCCTCATTTAAATTTATAAAAATTAATTTTATTTGAATATTAAGCTATTTAGACCAGTTGAGTTTAAGTAAAAGTTTAAATGGTATGATTTTTAATGTTCTGAACATTTTAATTGCTAAAAATAATAGTGAACTGATTGAAAGAAATCTTATTAAAATATTATTCTGATTTCATATTTACGAGTATGTAACTACTTTGAATGTTCTGTAATATTTTTTATAGTTTTAATAGTTTATTAAAATCTTTTATTCAATGAAAACGAATATTGATAAAGTTACTTCTGTATCTGAAATCTCTAAGTATGAAATATATATTTAATTTAAAGTTAGGTTAATATTTTTAAATATTAACAATTTAATAATTTAAATTATTCTATAATTTAATGTAAATTAATAAATTGAGTTGTTAAAAATTGTCATAAGTAACAGTCAGATGACTGTATAAAGAGGATTGATAAATGGTTAAAGTTATTAATTTTTAATTGAGGAAATAAATATTTATAATAATGACAACCGTAAGTAAATTAATTAATTATTCATGAATATATATTATAGTATTTAATTATTAGGGCCGGTTTTAGCTCTTTCAATGCTCAGTGTAAGAATTATTTTGGCAATCCTCCATTTAAACGATTAAAACATATAACTTAAATCGGCAGAATTTTGGGAGCTGGAGGAGCTTCATTATATAATATATATATAAGCTTCAATCATAATCAAAAATGCTCAAAATAATTTTTTAAATGTGTATATTTGCCACATATTTGTTAATCATTAATAGAACAATCATAATAATATTTGTAGTAATATAGTGATAGTTTATAAAACTGTAATTATACCTACAAGTGCGATCAATCCTTGCATGTCGATAAAATAATAAATAATTATAATAATAATAATATATTGAAAATATTATGAATTTTATTTTCTACCTATAGTAGATAATTTGCGTTGTCAAGGATTGATCAAATTTAATTCTAATTTTGACGCTTCTCGCACGCCCTTCTGATTTTGGCGTCCTGTGCCGTCGCACGCGTCGGTCGTATCTTAAGCCAGCCCTGTTAATTATACTTAAGTTTCAATGAACTTACCTATTAGATTTCTCAAACTATAATTATATAATTAACGCATAAAATTATGTTGAGACAAAATGTATTCCAAAGCGGACAATTTTTTTTTAAGAACCATAATAACCTAATTAATTATAATAATTTTACCATCAAATATTTTTATTATTGGTGGACATAGTTTTAGTTTATGTGTAGATACGCGAATTCGTTAAATAGAAAATCCCTAGTGAAAACTTTCTTGAATATTTTAATTTCCATTTCTTGATCAGATTCAGCAAATAATGACGTGCATATTTATTGTTCATTTTTGTAACACATACTCTTGCGAACGTTTTGCATTATTTCTCGAAATTATTTCACTTCCATGTGATAAATTGACAAATGTCTTTATGCAAAGAAATATTCGAGTGTGATTGTCCATCCATAACGACGTCGTAACCTCTCTACAACGTTGTGTATGGTATATAAAAACGGTAAGTATGAATTTCCGCTTATTCCAATGGTTATAATAATAGTGAACTATTTCATTGTGAAATGTGTGACTATTATAAAAATAGAAATACAAATATACATCATGACACCCCTGTCCTGAACTCAATTACTAAGTATGCCATAATTTTGTATTTGCGACAATTTCATTATTAATTACATTTATTTTTTTAAATTATCGGCAATACACCCGACATATGAAAAAGCCGTTAAGCAATTGCGTTAGGTAGATAATATTTACATCTGTAAATAACCGGTTGGAATTTTTAACTGTTAAATTCTTTGGATTTGGATCTTTTAAAATTTTAACCCAAAAATACCTATAAATTATAAATAAAACAAAATTATCCAAACAATCGAAAGTTTCCAACAAATTTTGGAACCTGTCTTCATTACGAATATCGAATTTCTAACAAGGTCTTTCATGGATATTAGTAGCCACTGAAAATTAGTACTCGTTATAATGATAATATTCTAGACCTTTTAGAGCAATAGAGCAATATTTTCTTCGGTGTTTGCTTGACTAATTCTATTGAAAACACATAAAACAGAATAAAAATGAATTCAGAAATATAAAACGTATAAAATCAAAATTATATTCACATTATCATGATACCAGGGTCATTTCGAATTCTATAGTAATGCACAGTTTTAATAGAAGGATTTAACCCTAAGTTCATTGCCGCAGTCAATTGAAGTGACTTTTCTAGATCTGATTTGATATTCAGTGTTCCGTTTGAATTTTGCTCTGTTGGTTTCGTACTAAAAAATATAAAATTATGAATGTAAGTAGATTTATTTATATATATTCTTTTCATATTAAATCGTTTCAACAAATTATTTGTGTGTTTTATTGGTTGTAGCTTATGTGCTCGTAAAATTATTTACTATCATTATTTTACAATAGATATTATTATATATTCTGTGTAAAGCTATAATTAATGTTCGTAAGTCATCGTCTTAATGATATTTATTTAGCATAAAATTAGAAATTAACTTAATTCACTAAATTGCTTTTACGATGTACCAAACAATTATAATTAAAATGGTTTTTATATATTGTTGCGTATATTTAGATATTTACAAAATTATTTTGTATCCAATTATAATCAGTGGAACCTAGCGTAAATAATTTTGAAATTATATAAATCCACTCGAATTGCCTTATCATATTCGATTAGATTCAATAGTACATTGTAACAAGATTTTGATAAAGTTTCTATAAAAAAGATTTTTAGTTAAAATAGTTGAAAGATAAAGACCCTTTAATTTCTGGATCCAAATAATCTAATTGATATAAATTTAGAAATAAATTGAATTAAGTTGATATTTGTAAATTTTCAAATTTTAAAAAATGTATAATAAATATTTTCATTTAATGGAATTTTCAATTAAATATATCTATTATATGTTTAAAGATAAATTGATAAACAATAATAAGCCAATAGGTATTGTAAACTATTACTATAGGTAAATAGTATTCGACTCAGTCTTTCCGTTTGGGCGCACTGTGGTATAGTGTTTAGTATTAACTGGTTTCTTGTAGTACGTCCTTATTTAACAAGTCTCTTTTTCACTCTTTCTGATTAATTTTGTCTCATTTGATGGTAAATTTATACCATCAATTAAAATCTTAGGACCCGAGAAACGTGCAGTGATTATAGAGAAATCCGTTTGTTGATTTCCAGTGATATTTTTAAGGGGATGTTTGACGATTGGAACGAATGTCCAGGGCAGCTAATTTTAATGGGCGTCAGAAATATGATATCCCAAGGTGTAAAATGTTAAAATATGCTACTGTTAACTTGTAACACGGTGAACGGTAGAGTAAATTTTTCGGTAATTGGTTAAGGTAATACTGTAAGTCCGTTATAATATATCATACATGTTTATTTCGCAACGTCCGTCTTGTTCCCAATAGAAATAATAAACATAACATGACGATACTATGATCATTCAAGTGAATTGTGAAACGCCCAAATCGGTCCTTGTCGCGATATACATAACACATTTTAATGCGAGTCGATCAATTACCTATAGTACAAAAATATACTCCGAACTACGTAATGTGTTAAAATATATAACATATTCGTTATGTAGTGCACTGCACTTAGCTTTTAAAACGTTAGAGAACTTAATATATATTAAGTCATTATATTCGAATAATGTAACTGGTACCTAAGTAACAAGTAACAAAAAAAATTAACGATTATTATCACTGCATATAACTCCTACAACTTAATATATATTTTATATTTCATAATGACTTGTTCTGTAAATTAAATAAAAAAATTGTTTTCCGTTTTAACAGGGCCTCTTAAACAAGCGAGGCCTTAAAGCGGGCGCCTAATGGTAGGTACTGATTATAGCATGTAAGTATAGAGCACACAAAGGATATCCACCGCTACTAGATTTAGAATTTTTTTAACGCTCGAATTTAGAGGGTTGCTATAGCATTATAATTCATGCAGAAGTAACTTTAATATTTACTTTAATTATTTTATATAAATAATCTGGTTTTGCAAAGGCCGAGAGCTGAGAAGTGAAATGCTATATAGTAACATTATAGAAAACAATTATTACATACGGGCTTTTTTTTTTTCTTTTTTAATGAAAGTTTATAATATGCAAACCGTGGTGCATAAATTTTAACTATAAATTAACAACAACGCCTAATAATTTATGGTTAACAATAAATTAGATTAATTTTTAATCGTCAAAATCGTGAATAGTTGTATTTTCTTAACTATAAAATAATGTGGATATTTAATTAATTATTCATATTAACGTATGTAACATGTAATGTATTTAAATGCATATAAATATATTTTGTTATGTATGTGTTTATTTATGATATAACGATTACATGATTGTATAAAAATTTGAAGTGTTCATTAAAATTTCATTACACTCGAAATATGTAAAATATAATTTAGATAATTAAAATATGATGTACAGAATTTTGAATTTGAAAATTTATTATTTTAGTATAATAACATTAAATTATTTAAATCTACTTTTTTAAATGAATTATATGTGTTTCAGTTTTTTTTTAGTGGTTGAGATTATTACGATAAAAATGTCTCTAATAAACAAATATGTGTCAAATTTGAAGTTTTCTATTTAAATAAAGACTGCGAATAATGTATACTAATCTGCTTTTTTTTAACTATTAAATATCATCGAGATACTATCAATGAATTTTGAATCCAATAAATATTAAGTTTTTATTTAAAATGTATATTTTTATAAAAATGGCTTCATATCCCGACACACCAAATAAATAGGAAACAATAAATTTGTGATAATTTATTGTATACTGTCACTTGGTTCGTTTCCTAAAATATATTGTAGTAAGTATCTTGCAATCTCTATTTAATCCACAGTACTATAATTTCATTTGGTTTTGAGTTACTGATAATTTGCCCACGACAGATAAAATATAGAGCAGAACATGTTGAAAGATGCGCTTTAATTTAATATCACCACATGGTTATGTTGATTATAAAAAAAATACTCATCTCACGTTAACAAATTAGATCTTTTAGAAAATAATTTTTTTTTAATAACAATAGACATAATATAATAAAATAAAAGTTTTGCTTTTCATTTAAACTACAAGTAAAAAAATATCATATTCTAGCATATTTCTGGACCAATTTGCTGTATAATTAAATGATACATGTATGTATATAATCCTATATGAATAATATTATGATGACCCAATCAAAATAACCTGAATTTATGGTTAGCACACACACACGTCTTTGTATTTTTATACTTATGTACACAATGATCTCGTTATGGATTGTGGTTAGCTAGAGTTTTCTGGTACCGGTTTTTCTTAATGATGAACACGCATTCCGGTGACATAATTGATGTAAAGCCACTCACACTTGAATTCGCCGCGAAGAAAGTGGTTGCATGGGCACACAGTTCTTATTCGACTTTTGTACTTGATAACAACAACAGCTCTGCAGCTACACTGCACGGTTGTTCTTTCCTTTTAACAAAATCTTAATAGTTTTTTTTTTTTTTTGTAAATCATTCTACAATATTTGTATTATACTTGTTGGTATTCATATATATAATATAAAAAAATGCGTGCAAATTATTTTACAATCGTTATTCTACTTTTTGGATTCAGTTTACGTAACACTTTTTGTCAGACACAAGTTGAGGTGAGTAATATTTCATATTTTCATTTACTATTATAAGTTTTTTCTTGTATTTAGTAATAGTTGATATTATTGATCTAAAATCATACATTATGTATATTAAAATAGCCATCAGGAAAATGTAGAGCACCCGACAAAGCACCTTTAAACCTTGAAATAATAATTAGCATCTGCCAAGAAGAAATCAAATCTGCATTACTACAAGGTATGTAAAATAACTAAATAGTTTTATTGCTGAAGAATTGAATAGCCTGAGCATTTGAATGAATTTACAGAAGCTTTAGATATTCTCAATGATGGCACTTTGGAACAAAATACAGAAAACCAAAGCAGATCAAAAAGAGATGCTGAAGAAGACTTGACAAATGAAGAACGCAGAGTTGCTGGGGTAAGATTAATGAATCTGTTTTCTTTCTTTTTTTTTTAGATAAAGATATCGTTGATTTGGAGATCATGATTTTACTTTTTAAATCTAAATTATTTTTGCTTAGAAAATTAATACATAACTCATGGTATAAAATTGATTTTTTTATTACGTGTATCTACATTTCAATTAATTTAAATATTTAAAAATCTTTTATAGTTAAATCTATATTTTTTTTTTATCTTTTTCGCTGTTTATAATTTAACAAATAAATACATTAAATTTAATGAATTATAGTTTAAAATTATTTTTATGCGAATTAAAATTTAATAAAAAAATTAATATAAATACATAATACGCGAACTAGTTTAATTTATTCGTATACGATATTATAAATAAACAAAAATAATGTTTGACAATATTATTTTTTATAAAACATGAATGAAATTAAATATTTCAAATGTGTAATATATATGCAATGACACTGATAATAAATATATTTATTAATAGAGCAAAATATCAAAGATTAAATAAAAAGTTATACTAATGTTTTATTAAATATTCGTTAGAACTATTTATTTATAAATAAATAACTGAATTAGTTTTAAATATTTTTTACTTCTCGATCAGAATACGTTTTTAATTTAAACTAAAATATAATGGAATAAATATTAATAGTAGCAATTGGATATTGGATAATAAATTACCTAATAGTAAATGACCGGAAGCAAGTTGCACCCGTTTAATTATTATACACGTGTTAAGATTATTGTCGCTTTAAACGGCTTATTTGCTTACAGTCGAATAGTAGTACATGATAGTATATATCTAATCCATTGAGTGAAGTATTATAAAAAAAAAAAAAAACCCATTCACTTATTGCATAACTGAAACCTGTTCCGAATGGTCCGGTCATTCAGTAATATATAAATACCCCGTTGCACATTTCTGCGCATAAATTTAAAAATTATGCTACACGGATCGTCTATAATAGTAATTATTGTTTTCAGTGTTTGCTCCAGTGCGTCTACAAGAAAGTGAAAGCAGTTGAGTAGTAGTAGTATTATTCATCGCGTCCGCGTCCTATTACAATAGAACAAATCGGATAATTGGTCTGCGTAGTATTATTATATATTATAACGCGGTGCATTTTTATTTAGGTTGATGAGACCGGCTTTCCAGTAGTGGACGGCCTGATGAAACTGTACAACGAGGGTGTGCAAGACAGAAATTACTACATGGCGACGTTGTCCGCGGTCAGACATTGTATCTCTATCGCACAGCAGCTGAAACAACAACAGCCGTCAAACCGATTTGGTAATAAATGTTGTCGAAACTCGTTCGTTTTGCGTACCGTTTTGCATTGCACGTAATCGTCTAAAGGGCAAAAGACCCTGCAGGCATAAGACCTTAGGTTAGGCGGGTGCAAGGTTAAAATTAAATAAAATTGTTTTTCCAAGAACAATGGTACTTCATTTAATAATAATTTTAGAATTATTACTGATATATTGTTGTGACAATAATAGTTTTTTTTTTTATTTAGATAAGTTTTGAATATCGCAAATTTGTCTTTTTATCATATTAGTGACCATTTAGGTATTTAATTGGTTTACGTGTATAATAAAATACCAAAATATTCTAAACTTTACTAAAAATTATTATCATCTAAAACCCATCAGTCTCTATATTACAATTATTTTTAATAGAAGTATAATTATAAATTACAAACAAGTGAAAAGTATACAGATAACATTTAAAAGTTACAACTTATGTAATATTAAATATTCGAAATTAGATAAATTGATAAATATTTAGAATGTTATTAAATTAAAAAAAAACAATTAAAAAAACCATTACTTACATGTGTTTTATTATCAATTAAAATTGTTACGTGCATAAACTTTTATGCCTAAAGAAATAACTGTCTAGTTATAATGATGCATTATAATAATAAAATAAAATTTATAAAATATAAAATGAATTCACTTAAACTAATCAAAACAGGTTCTTATTACTGTTTTCGAGCTATATTATTTTAATAGTATAATACTTTCACAGTTCATTAAAAATATTCAAAATAAAATCAGAAAATTCAAATAATTGTAAAGCTTTTAAAAATTGTGAAGCTTTTAATTATAATGGAAAATCCATTTACATTATAATAGTATTAAAAAGTACTCTTTTTATAAATATAATTCACTAATTTTATGACATGTTTTCAATTTTACATGTTATTTTGAAGTTAAATAACAAAAACTCACTCACACACATCATCGGACAGTATAGTTATGAATGTTGAGAGTTCTCAGAGAAAGTAGATACCATTATTGAATAAAACGTCATATAATGTTATGTTATTTTAACGCATTTGGACGATTATTTTTCAGTTAACACAATTGTTTAATAATTTATTAACTATTTAAAACTGTCGTTCATAAGTGTAGTATCTTATCGTTGCACGTTATAATATAATTATTTGTATATACAGATATATATTATATCTTTGAAATCATGTAAAAAGACTTAATCTGAATAAAAGATTTATCTTATATCAATCAGTAATATAATCATTTAATATTTTTAATAATTAAATGATAAAAAATAAAATAAAATTATTAAATGGTTAGTACTCGTAAATTAATATATAAATATAAAGTTTATATCTATATAAAAACAAATAAATAAATGCTTAGCCTGGAATGTATTATATAAATATAATTAATAATGTACAATTGATTTCAAATTAAAGAATTCATTATCAGGTATACATTGAAGGTTTCCTGTAAATACGAGTAAGTACTAAATTCAAATTTTTATCTACTATAGAAACTGTAAGATAAAAAAATTTTGTTTATTATTTATTAATATTATATTATATAATATTACTTAATTTAATAAATATTACAAAATTTTCTGTTTGTTTATTTGAACTTTAAAAATTAGTTATATTAAATTATTTTATGTATACTACTGATACATTTTTTTTTATTAAAACCGGGTCGTACATTACAAGTATAAAAATACTCCAGACCAAGCATTTATTTATTTATATAATATTTTTAACGTGCTTTGAAATTTTTATTTAATGGATTTTTTTTTTTTTTTAATAAGTAATTCATCTATTTTTATAAACACTAAAATAGATGAATTCATTGTTTAGAATTGATATTGTAATTTAACTCTATAATTTTTTTTAATTATAGACGATGGACAGACATGTGATCTTGCATATGAAATGTTTGAATGCGTGAGCGCTAAAATTGATGAAGTATGTGAAAAATGTCCAAAAATTTATAGGTATTCAACTTGCACTAATGGATTTTTTATTTTTATTTTTTTATTTTTAGAATTGTGGAGTGGAAAATAAATCAAACAATTTAGGTTAATGCCATTTACTTTAATAATTTTATGTAACGGTAAAAATATTATGTGTACATAAATAACTAACTATATATCTAATGTTTAAATAATTAGTAATTTTGTAATATTTTAATTTAAATAAATTGTTACTACATCGTAAATATTAGTAGGAATTAAATAAAACTAAATTTTAAATAATTTTAAAATTTTATTTAAAATGTATCATTTTGTATTATAGATCTTAGAGTAAAATCCCTTCTTGTAATTATAATCATATATTTTGTGTGTTATATGAGATATTGGAAATTTATTTAACTCTCAATATAAAATTGTTTAGGTACTTAATTTTAATATTAAGATAAATCATGTATTAATTAAAATAAATGTAAGTTATTCCTTCAAAACCTTATTGGACAACATATATACAAGTACTTTAAAGTTTTCAATGAATTTCAAAGTGTTTACTTCAAATTCTGTACTTATTTCTTTTTATTTTAGGAATAAATACACATTATGAATATAACATAGTGTTATTTTGAATTTTTGTACATTTTAATCAATAATCCTATATGTTTTAAATTCATGAATATATAACTGCAATAACTTGTTCTCATATGTTTACTTTATTTTATCTCTATATATACTCGTATATATATAAAGGAATTCCTATTTCCTTTGGTCACACCATAACGCGTGAACGTCTGGGCCGATTTTGCTAATTCTTTTTTTTTTTGTTATGTATGTTATTGGCAGAAGAAGGTTCTTACAAAAGAAAAATTAAGAAAATTGCGTGGTAAATTAGAAAATTTAAGAATACTTAACTACCATATAAAATTATTTCTAATCTAAATTTAGCGCTTTAGACAAAATAAACATTTTTAATGTAACCTTTTGACATTTGTCATAGAATTGACAGAATGCGTACTGCAAATATCGTCAGAGAATGTGAAAAAAACTGAATATCATTTAAAACAGATTGTTTGGTCGGAGTTATTTTATTGATAAAAAATATATATAGACGAGTATTTAAGATAATTAAATTTCTTAGTGCACATCACGATTAGTTCAGAGCCATTATGCCTAATATTAAAAATTTAATTTAATAATGAATTTTGGTAAGTTTGGATAGTCTAACATACACGTTACTAAAATACCAAGTGATATACTTTGTTTTAAAGAAGAATACTATAGTTTTCTTTCATTTATAGTAGAAGTTTGATTGATGGTTTGGGAAAATGAGGACAGTTATATCTTAAATTATCGGTGACTCTTCCATCAATATGTTGTGGACATGTACGTGAAAGTTGAAACTGAGCGATTGACATTTATCAGGTTGAACCAGGCAAAACTGCGTTATGAAGAATATATTCATCTACGGAATGCCTTCAATGTTGATGTAAATGCACAGAATATAGGTTGAACAACTATTCTTACAGCAACATACGTCGGAGGTCCGCGACATATGAATGAATACACTCAGGACACTATGACATAAGTACGTCATTATGGCACACCAGATTTGTTTATAACGTTCACATGTAATCCACAGTGGACAGATATTCGACAAGAATTATTTCATCATCAATCACCCATTGATCGCCACGAAATTACCGCGAGTATTCAAAAAAAAGTTAAAGTCACTCATGAACTTCAATAGCATATCCGGCGAGTGGTGAAGAAATTAATAAACAACGTCATTGAAGCCACAATTTTGAAAGCGAAGTACAATGGCGAAGATGTTTTGATTCCACGGATTCTCTTGATTCCGAAAGATATGCCTTTCGACTTTAAACGGTTGTAATTTCCAGTGCGGCTAGTATTTGCAATGTCGATAAATAATTCTTAAGAGCAATCGCTAAGTGTTTGTGGCATCAATCTTGAAAATTCATATTTTTCACATGGCCAGTTATATGTCACCTGTTCCCATGTCGGAATACCAACAAAACTAATTATAAACGCGCAAGACAAAAAAAACTAAGAATTTTGTATATCATATTTTTGAAATATTTTTTTTATTAATTATACCAATTCGAATTCAATATTCATAATTAAGACAGGACAACGTATGTCATGTCAGCTAGTATTTGATAAATAAGTTAAAAATATAAATTAATATTATTTAATATTTTATGAGTGTTTAAAATCAAGTTAATTAATTTATATTAAATTAGTAATCTGTATTATATATGACACAGTTTTAAATATTTGTTTAAAAAAAAAAGAAAAAAAAGAAAAAAAAAAGATACTTGTTAATGAATATTAATAAATAACCTATGTCCAAATATATAGTAATAATATAAAGTAAATAACATAAATATTACATACAGTTAATAGAACACAATTTATTTTGAATTTTATAGAATACTGTTTCTAATTTAATTTTTATATTATACGAGTATAACTATAATCAAGTAAAATGTACAGTATTCTACTATTATTTAAATAAAATTAGAAAAATAGTAGTTTTAATAACATTTATTATTCATTTAAATATGAAATGACTATAAAAGTTTATCTTTTCATTTTCTTTAAGTTAAATATCTAAACAAACGGCAATTAGATATGGTACAATAGCTATAGAGTATTATTTTTTAACAATTATTATTGTCATCTCATGAGGTCATTAATCCCATTTAGTGGTTAAAATACATCTGCAAACTACACTTGAAAATAAACCGCATGATGGTCATTTCTTAATCATGCATTAAAATCATTGAACTCTGAGATAACACTTCAATCGTAAAAGAATTTATATTAAGTAATAAATGTAGACAATATGTTATCATATTTTTGTAAATTTTATTTAAATCAATATTTATTTAACTATAAGTTCTCTTGTGTGGTTTATTTTAATTTATTAACTATATACGGATATTCATAATAGCAAACGTTCTTAAATCTCCGTAGCAAACCCCAATTAAGATGTTATAGTGTAATCAATATTTCTTCTGATATTATATGAGTAATTGGTACATTTATATCATATATTTTACTAAATTTTTAACATTTATAGACTATTTAAAAATTATATATATATACACATAAATACACATTAGTTCTATCAAAAAAACACATAGATATTATAAATGTATTAATTTCACCTATTTTAAAGTAGTAGAATATAATGGTAATGCTTAGAGATTAAATGATATTACTATTGTTTAAACCTTGTCACACACAAGGTAGATTTATAAGCACGGTAATTATTCTATGAGATGTTGAGAAGGTAAATAACAAAAGCGGCATAAGCGCTTAAGTCCATTTTATTATCTTATCATATAATTAGTGAACATAATTAATGATCTATCTCAGAATGTATTTATTTGATGTAAATTGAGAAATCTGTAAAAACGTTATTTATTATATTTATGTTATTCACTTTAAGGTTTTTCAAACCTCCACGGCCCAGCTGAATATTTCGAATAAAAAAAAAGAGTCTGAAATAACCGTCAATATAATTCAATACAAGTCTGGGGAAAAAAAATCGAAAAAGCTTTCAATTTTTTTCATCGGAAAAGTAGTAGATATATTTAAATACAACATAATTAACTCAATTATAACAGGTTAGGTCTCCCTTCTATATTATATTATACTCTACTAAGTCTATATAAATGCTCAAGTCAATATAGACAGTTGTGTATAGCAGCAATTCTCAAACTGAAGGTCATCAGTAATCCTTTTTGGGTTACCAATTTATAAAATAAATAGTAAGATATTTTTGTAAATATTATCAAAATAATCATTGTTGAGAATTGCCATTTATGAAATTTTAGGATTGCCAATTTTTAATGTGATCATAATAACAGGGTCACTTAAAATCTTGGTGAAATAGGGAATCGTGGCTTCATAAATATTGAAAACCGCTCTTGTTTAATATGCTGATACCTAGACAATATTTTTAATTTATATTATAAAATTTGAAAACATAAACAAACCCTTAAAAAAAATCTAAAAAATAGTTACAATTACAAAACGTAAAAAAACTGCGCTAAAAATTATTATATAAATATTAAAAATATGGATTTCATATTATATAAAATTAATTTTTTTATTAGAAATTCATACATTTTCTGAAAATTAGTGTTTAATCTTACAAAACTACCTTATATAAATATATTTAATTGCCAATCAAATTATAATGTATAGATATATTTATAATTTTACTTCCAAAATTAAAGGTAATAAATAAAAAAATATTTAATTTTAATTTTAATTTTATTTAACTCAATTTAATTTTTATTTATCTACCATTTAGTTGAAAGATTAGAGACTAAAGTAGAGTAACATATGTTACGCTGTCATTATATAAAATAATTACTGTAAATATAACATTGAATTATTAATTCATTGATATTTAATGTGTAAGTAAATTTTCATTAAAAAAATGATTTTAAAAAAGTATTATGAATATTGAATGTAAAAAGACTAATTTTATTAATATTTACGATAAAATATACCAATATACTAAGAAAATAGTCCTAATATATAATAATTAGCTTCGTTTAACTTATTTCGTAATATTAAATCAGGTCAGAAATTATAGCAATTGTTATTTTTTGTATACAATGGGATGCATTCGAATTCCGTGCATTTAACAATGGTTAGCAAAGTGATTTTATTTGCAAATATTTCGAGTGTAAAAACTAAAATTAACAATATACCAATGGCACCTGTTGACCGTGACGTCAGTAATATCTTCTTAGCATCTTCACGGTGTAATGGGCAAGACCTTAAATACATACATCAATTCTGCTCGGAATGAAGAGACCGCTGGCCACTTGTTTTTTGGCGCCATTCGAAATAAGTCGGTGTACCTGGTAAAACCTCATAACTGTTTAGCAACACTTCGAAAGTATACATTTTTTCCTGCATTATAATATTTTTGTAAGTACCTATAATTTTTATAAATAATATTCAGGTTTAAAGTTAGTAAACATTTTAAATTACTACGATAATTTTTAAAATAAATACTCACATTTTGTAATTTCTTACATACATTGAAGTATTTATTTATATTATTTTCAAAAATTATTATAAAAAAAAAAAATTAATTTTTTATGTTGTTAACTTTTTAACTTAATTTTAATTTAGATATTTAATGCATATTTCCATACTTTGACTTATATGATACTTAATATTGAATGTAAATATTTAAAACCTGTAATTTTAACTCCATAGATTTTTAGTAACTGTAGATGCAATCCTACCCCGTTGATCTTGAACTCATCACTCCATTCCTATAAACGGTCAGATTTTAGGAAAACGAAATATTTCTCAACTATTCTATTTAGATACTGAATTTTCGTTTAAGAAAACGCTAAGAAACAAAAATGAATTGTTAAAATCTCAACTCAACATTTGGCACGAAACACTACTTATTTATAACCATATAATAAAATTAGATAATTATTTATCATAATATTTCTATGTTACTTATATGTGTATATATATATAAAATATAAATTTTTATCGGTTGCATAAATAATATTATAATATTTATTTATTTATTTATATATTTATTAAATATATTTGACTGTAACATTATGATGGAAAAATTACATACACTAGCCGTAAATAATAAGAATTACAATTTCACTCAATTTTAAAAAATTTTAAAACTAAAAGATTAATAATATTTAAAAAAAATTCTTTGGCATCGTGGATCACTTGAGATGAGTCCGCGGATCACCAGTTGGAAACCACTGGTTTATACAATAAAAATCAATTCATAAAAAATACACATAGTGTTTTTTTTATCGTTTAAGTTTATTAATTATTTTTTAATATTTAAACAATTATTTTTTGATTTCTTCTTCTGAAAATGTTGATTTATTAAATTCAAAAACTGAAAAAGTAATATATTATTTATAAATATATAAAGTTTCAATTGTTAAAGTGGGTTAGCAGAATGGAGATTCTCTTATATTATAAAACAATCTATAATTAATATCATTATAATATATTATTTTTCAACTTGAACTGTTTATACTTGTTTAATTATTTTTGTATTAATTATTTTAAACTCTATACGAGTACATTTATATTTTACGCTAAAAATTTGGTATGTTAAATTACTATAAGAAATTAATACATTTTAGGATAATATAAAATAAAACTATTATAATGATTTGCAAAAAGTGCATATAAATAAAATACTACAGATCTCATAATATCATGCGAAAATAAAATACGTACACAAATGTTTACGCTTTATAATACTTAATTATTTGTTGACGAAATATGATATTTTTATAACTAACAAGTAAAAATTATTCCTATTTCTCATCAGTATTATTATTATTTTTATTGTATAAAAAAAAATAATCATACGAATTTTCACAGCAAATTATTATAACAGTCACACGAATTATGCTATAATTAGAGTAAAACTTATACAAAATATATCCTTGACCATTTTATTATAAATTTTCTCATGGCTTGATTAAATTACAACAAAGCAATTATCAATAACACCAATACGTTGGTGTTGCTAAATTGCGTGTATTATGCGCCGTCTAAGGTTGTTCAATATTTTAATTAAATTCCCTTAAATTAATATTTAACTATTTGCAACATTGTGGGTTTGATATCTATATTATAAGCTTTTACTTCACATAATAAAATTCATAAACGGCCAAAAATATTTATAAATTTTTTCTTCAATATTTTATACCATGCTTTCCTAGATAAAAAATATGTCTCTTTCAATACATATTTTACAGAAAAAATTAAATTTTTCCCAATCATTAGATTTCTTTATGGTTTTAAATAAGTAATTTTTTTTTTTTTTTTGAGCTATTTAGATCATAAATACATTTATTCCAATATTATTTATATTTAATAAAAGAATAACACTCGAACCCTGAGTGGAAACATCTAAAATTGATATTGAAAATAAGAATTCATAATCTTTGAGAATCTAAGAATAACGCACTTTTTTTTTGTTTTAAAACCAACGTAATCTATAATACGATAATAATTAATTAATTTAGTTTCAAATTATGTAATCCTATATAAGTTGAACATAATATGTCATTAGAAACTTGTTACCCCTAGGTTTGAGAAAATAGTATTACTTCGGCTTCACTAGATTTATTTATTTTTTTTTACTCAAATAGTTTTTGAAATTAAAAATTGTCCCGCTAATTATTTATATAACACGTATACATACATTATTAGTCTCGTAAACCCACAGAACACAGTGTTTGTCTTTTTTTTTTTATAACAATATTATTTAAACGGACTTCATATTATATTTTTCGATTTCCATACGCGTTGAAACGTGCATGGGAAAATGCTACGAATTCACTATTAGTGGTAAAATCAAAAATTGCCTAATGCAATCCACCGACATCGACGGTTGATCGTGATTCGAGTACATATTCCGTACAAATCGAATCGACAAGTCCCGGATATTGTTGTTCCATGGTGTGCGCCGTGTACGCATTGTGCAGACGTTTTTTCTCACGTTTGACGTTGGCTTTATACCATCGACAGTCGCTGCCGATTACGTGAGCAATAAATGATCTCGCGCTATGTAGACACTCGCGTGTGAACGGCGCTGCGGCTTACACGATGACGGACTCGTCGTGGTGTTATCAGTGTTCGGCAAGTTCCTAAAAAGAAAATGATTCGTTCCTCGTTTTTTTTTTTTTTAGTTAATAAAATAAAAATTGTATTAAATCAAAATATTTATTTTTTTTTTTCGTGTACATCACATACTTTGATAATTTATACGAGAAAAAGAGAATCATAGTTAAACAAAAGTAGCTGTAACGATTAATGTCAATACTCGATAACGGTCACTCATTGACAATGCACACACTAAGAAAAAAGAAAAATATTGGTATAAATCTTGTGAATACTTAAATGGATCGAAATATTTCGTTCTTTTTCCTTAAAAAAATAAATAAACAAATGATTTGTTCAATTCCTCGTTATATTTTTTCTATATAAAAAGGAATTAGTTCGACGTGCCGTTCTTTAAAATATAATTCGTTCCAGGAATCCGTTCCTTTCAAACACTAGGTATTTATGCACAGTCCTCGTGCGTTTCGCTGTACACATGTTTATTGTGCATGCGCATCGCTTCCCGTTATTATTATTCAACCGTCGTAGGCCGCGTCATCGTTGCATTGTTATCGCGTGCATTTAGGGTGCTCTCGCCCATCAGAGCGACTGCCAGTACACGCGTGTCGGACATATGATAACGGGCGATTAATCGCGATCGGAAATCGCGTAGACACATGTGACATTCCACAAGTCATGTATATTGTACCGTGGCACGTAATGGTTTGAAGTCGACTCCAATTTCGCGCGCACAGTAGACATGTGACCGGCGGCCACCTCGCGATTTTTAGTCGTGTGTCGACCAAGTCTCAACGTTAGTCTAGTCGTTATAATTTCACTTTTTTTCTTTTTTTTTTTTTTTTTTTTTGTGAGTGTTTGTAATTAAACGTTCGTTCCTTTTAGTGAATAGCTATATTTTATGCTAATTTGTACAGTTTCATTTTTTTGACGAAACACATATTTAACATTGAACGTGTACAATTGAGACGGCTAATTGTTTACAACTAATAAGTGATTAAGACGAAACGATATAATGAATATAGAATCGTGTGGACGACCGCGTTCTAAGCTTCGTTGAGTGGTGTATGGAAATGAAAATTTTAAGTAAAACTATTGATTTCAGTGGTGAACTACATGGAAATTTTCAGGTAGGGCATGTATGTGGACTTAAATTTTTTTAATTTGTAGGTGTCTTCGAGTACGATTTTTCATTCCGTATGAACCACAAAGGCACCAAGTTTTGAAAAAATACAATATTTTTTTTAGAGTGATTAAACAATTTTTCCAAATAAGATAACCGTAAGTACAAATATTGAACGGTCGGTTTTTATTTTTCAATTTTTATCATCACTATAATTGTTGATTATTGCGATTACTGCTATTAAGGGGTCGCGAAACCAATGCGTGTTGTTCACGATTCTTACTTAGGTATTTACTGTCTAACAATGCGATTCCGCTTTATTGCATCGATACAGATTCGGCATGAAGTCTATATGAAATCGATGAGGCCAACTATTTTAGTTATATTTTATTTACTTTTAAAAAAAAAAAAAAAATAAGCACACGATATTTGAAAATGTTTTTAGTAGTATTCAAATTCGATTTATGTAAGTTGAGAATATAAATCTAAAAACGTGATCTGAATGTTTGATCGACGCAAAATTAGACTTCATGAAAAATTTGAAAAGGGTCTTTTGGAATCATTATAGCTTCACTAAATCAAACGTACCGATGGGACAGGATATGCGGTTGGTGTTGGTTATGTCGCACGGAACTAAGACAATTCGGTTGGTGTTAAATCGCCATTTTATTATCATTATCTGTTACTGTTGTTTTAGAAAAAAAAAATGTTCAAACTATACAACCGTGACCGCGCTATGCGTTATCATCGTTAACCTCACCGATCTGTTTCGCAGTGACGGCGACCATGGTGCTGCAGTTACGCGGCCGGTGCGTATTAACGGCGGCGGTGATGATGGCGGCGATCACTTGTGCCGCGGGAGCCGGACAGCCGGATGACGCGCCGAGGTCTGCGGTTGACAAACGGCAGGCGCCCGCGGAAGGCGACTACGCGGACAGGTCGTCGGACGGATCGTACGCGTTCCGGTACGCGGACAGGAACCAGTTTCACTCGGCCGCCGCCAGTAAGGACAACGTCGTCTCCGGCAGGTACGTGCCCACATGTTCACGTGCACGTGCATACGGCCCGCGCGTTCGGTACTCGTAAGCATCGCGCGCGCGCTATATGATTACGCGCCTCGCGAGCAACCATTCATTACGCGCATCGTTTGACGTACACGTTTAACACACGCAATATGTGCAACTAATGCGCGCGCTTGTACGTTGTGTGCACGCCGCGTGTTCGCGTAATTAAAACGTGCGCGTCCGTCGTTTCCGGCAATGTCTAATTTTTATTAATAAAAATTAAAAAAAAACACATACATATGTATAGGGTAATCTCCGTGTTTGTTTTAAGGTCGAGGTGGTTCTTTGATCGCATGCGAACACATTCGGCCGGCTTAATTTTACGATATATGATATACAATTGTTTCTGTCCATCGGAACGCGAACACTGAATGCCATTATTATATTAGTACTTTTTCCAAAAACCGCGACGACATGTTTCCGTTTCGTCCTTCGGCCAACATGCAAATTATAACGTATAAATAAAAACAGGTAGCAGTAACACAAGAATGCGATCACTATACCGCTATTATCCTGTGCGGTGAATAATCCATGACCATTTTTGTAGTATCGTTAGTCGCTGTAAATCGTCGGTGAAAATGTAAACAAATATTTGTATTTTAGCAAAACCGATGAAATCCGATAGTTACGTGGACCGTTGAACCTATGCTTATTGAACCTGTGAATTTGTCTAAAACTATGCCACGGGTTACTCTGTAGACTATGTCAAAACGAATACAAATAATGACTCTACAACTTAATATAATATAAATCACGTATTTAATACATTTATTTTTCGGCACTGACCTTTCTCTGGTTTGCCATCGTCTTGTAACTTTTACGACCCATATAATAATACAAATAGACCTACGCTAATTTTTTGAATAAATATATATATATATATATATATATATATTCAATTCCATTTCCAGATTTGGCTCCAGAAGTCCCGAAACCGGCCTCATCGTGCAAACGTCGTATTCAGCCGGCCCTCGTGGTTTTCGTGCTCGCGGTCCGGATATTGCTAGACAAACCGATTTATCGCAAATCCGCTTGCCATATTCACCACCTATTCCAACCGATTCCTCTAAATACGATCCGGCCTATGACCGATACCACGACCCAAATGAAGACCCTAGTTACAAGTTCGCTGTTCGGACGCCTACACATTCGAAATCAGAAACCGCTGATTCCAGAGGTCACGTCGAAGGCGCATATTCGTACTTGGACGATGTCGGTAAGAAATACCATGTTTGTATTGTTTGCATGTCAAGCAATGATTAATAATTAGTAATTATATACTTGATAAGAACATAATATTTTAATAGGAATCGGTCCAAATCTATTATTATTATTTATATAATACATCCAATAGACGAAATATGTAGCTTATAAATATTCTTATCTAGACATTTTTAATTTCATATTATCCATAGAATATATGAATACATTTTTGGAGCAATTTTTATATCTTATATTATCACTTATACACGCATGGTTCAATATAAATCCTTCATGTAATTGTGCACAATTAAAATTTATTTATACATTTAAAATATTTACCACCCGAAAATCGCAGAAAATATTTCAAAAAAAACTATTAACTACTTTCAAAGTATAATAAAATCATTTCCGTAAACTTAATTGAAATTTCTTTAGGATAATATTTACCAGTATACCCCAGGATGGAGTGCGTATATTATGATTACAACCTTATATTCTACGTAAATGGTTGACATACGTAAATAAAGAAATCAAATCATAACCATTATTTCTAATATTAACAATCGTTAAATTTATATTAAAAAAATACAACAGTAACGCACTTCGTGAGCGTGGTTTCTAATTTTTCCAGGAAAGAGACACGACGTGCAGTACGAAGCCGGAGCCGGAACCGGATTCCACATCAAGTCTGCGCACCCGGACTCGGACACGTTCAGAGGTGTCTTCTATAGCGGCCCCCCTGGAAAACCCGGCGGCCGGCCGCGTGGCCATTCATCCGTGGTGCTGGGCAAAGACGGTTCGTATGGGTTCACGGCGTCCGGGCCGGACCAACGACGGTCGGAGGTGAGCGATTCCAGTGGTCGCGTTCAAGGTTCGTACACGTACGTGGACGATAAGGGCGTGCAGAGGACGGTGCAGTACGTTGCCGGCCCCGAGATCGGTTATCGAGTGGTGAACAACGCGGCGGCGGGGGGTGCGGCTGCAATTGCCGCCGTGTCGGTGCCCACTTTGTTGCCGGGCGGCAATGTCGTGTCACTACCACCAGCCCTATTGATCCCGTCGTCGTCCACGCCGTTATCACCGGCCGCATTCGAACAGGATCTGTTCGGACCCGCGGCCTCCAGCACGCCCGCAGCACCGTTGCATCAACAGTCAGACCGCCGACGCCCGAAACCGATTCAATCATCGATCAGCATAGGCGGTGGAGGTGCTGATGGCGTAGTTGGCGGTGGTGCTTCCGACGGGTTCCTGTCACCGGACAGCACGCTGCCACTGGGATCGGCGTTCCCGGAGGACGATCCATCGCTACCACCGAAAAAGTGGCCAACCGTGTACAAGACCAAGGACGAGGAGTCGTTTTTCCAGTCTTTCGACAAGTTCAACAAGCGCTGGGAACAACAGCACCAAAAACAGCAACACGACCCGAAGAAAGGGTTCGCGGTACCGGACTCGTCGTCGTCGTCTTACGGCGCACAACCGACATTGAGACCGTCCACCAGCAGGCCGGCCGTGACCGACAGCTCGTCATACGACTACCACTCGTCGTCCACCAGCAGGCCAACCGTGCCCGACACGGTGTACGGTCAACCAGCTCGGCCTATAGTGGTGGACGAGAAGTACGGCCAGTACGGCGGCACGGACTATCAAAAACCCAGTAAAGACCATTCGGAATACAGTGGACACGAGGACCACGGGTTCAATCGGTTCCCGGCTGGCACCATCGTGAAAGCGCACGTGCACAGCTTGGACATATTACCGTTCGGGTACAGGGTACCATCGCCGTCGTACGTTTTCGAGAAACAATTCGGAAACGATTACCAGAACGCAATCAAAAAATGACCATTGTAGCTGACGCTCTCGGCAACATAAGAAAACGGTTAGCAGCATACGCGACTAATATCGTATAATTGTATGATTATAACTGTTATTATTCCGAGTACCCGGGGGCATATTTTTACTCGTATAAGTTATTTTTAATCTCAACAATATTATATTATTTATGGACATCGGCTCGGGTGCCTCATACGTACATCGATGTGAAAGCTATGCAAATATACTTTATATTTTGATCAAATTTAGGACCGTAACGTTGCCAGAATAAATATTTTTGAGAAAGTCGCTAACAGTCACTGTAATTTATAATTACCAGTGTAATTAATAGTAATGTATCACACGATTTAAAAATACGTAAAATTAATATTATAACATATTGTATTTTATTAAATAACTATTATTTAAGTTAGTCATAAAATAGTCAATAATTACTATAACGTACCGTGGTACTTGTATTTTTACCATAATTTAAATAAAAAAATAATATTATATATTTATAATGTCATTTGTTTAGAGACATCGTCTGTCGCCATTTCATCCTTCGGTTTTGAAACCATACTTTTACCTATACGAAAACAATATAATAATTATAATAATACACAAATATGAAATATACACATCGTGTTATTATAATATAAAAGCGGATACACACTGGAACATTTAGGTTTTTTGTAACAGAGTTCATTTTCGGTTGTATGTTACATGTTACAAATCACCTTACCTAATTACTACTCTGTATCAGTTGTTCATCGATCAATCCATATGTTATTCACCGTTTGTTCTCATGAAACATCGTATGCAATATCTAATTTACTAGTCGCTAAAGTAATATTTATTTAAATTAATTTATACTATTTTGATAAAAAATAAAATAAAAAAAAAAAAAAGGTGAATGAAAATAATGCAAAATCTGAATGAAAATGAATAAAATCTAGGTACATAGTTAGTGAATAAGATTTATCAAACAATCTTTTTCCTACATTCATCTGATGTCGTTTTCATTTCTGTGACCAACCCTTTCCATGCATGAGATTTTGCAATTTTTTTTTTAAATATTTTGGATTCTTTGAGAACCATAGTACGAGTTAATTATGTAGCACTTAATAAAGTCCAACATCTTTTAATTTTTCCATTCCGTTTTTAAAATTTAAATTAAATCAATACAATTACAACATGTTTTATTAATATAAAGTTCAGTAGAGGAAAAAAATGTATTAAAGTAATTCGCAGCGAGCAACTGGCTTACATACTAGTGGTATATCGTAATGTAACATTACTTTGATGTTCGTCAAAATACCAACATTCGGGCGAATCGACGGTATCGCGAACCGATCGCACACGAATGATACAATAACACCATACATAAATTACAGTTGCATTACACCTAAAGCTTCGGTGTATGCCCGCTTTAAAATACAAATATTGGTAATAATATGATGATTACAACTAACTTGCAAGTCTGTAAGTCCAAGATTGGACGCCAACACGTTTCTATTTTGTTTTGTTATATATTTTTCCATTTGAAAATGGTATTCTAGCCAATTTTTCTGTGTAATCGTAAACACCGCTCTACCGGTATACTTTCCTTTATTCTTTGCTAATTGTTCTGTTGAAAAATAATTAACTAATATTATATGATATTATGGCACACATACGTATACAATGCGTACAGATAATAGCGTTTTCAGGATTTTCTTACGAGGTGAGACGGGCTCAAAAATTAAAACATATCTAAAAAATTATTCAAATTATTAAAATTATTATTATTGAGTTAAGATTTTATTAAAAATATTAACATCTGACATGTTTTTCAAGTATGGTGTCAATCATTAAATACATCGATATATAGGATTTAGTATCAATATTATATTGGTAGTTTAGATATATGAATGAGATTGAATTAACTGATCATATCTCGCGCTCTTCCATATCGAGAAAAAACTCCTTTTTGAGTTGATATTTCAATACACAATGTGTTTTTGTACAATGAGTTATTATTTATGATTTTTATTTTTAATAAATAAAATAAAATAATTTATTAAATAAGGAAGGAATCATTTTATGGAATATTATAGAAATGTATTATTGTAGTTTAAATTTAATTAAGTATAACCATCTAGAGTAAAGCGATTAAAGATAATTTACACCTTTATAAATAATTTCTACAATAAGAGTAATAGTATATTAGAGAAGTTAGGTATTGGGTTTTAGATATTATATTAAAGGTTAAAGTTATTAAATTTTTATTTTTATTTTTAATTAATTGATTGATTAAGTCGATAGAAAATGTATGAAAGTGAAATACATTCAAAATAGAGAGATCCATCAGCCCTTCCGCGAGAACGCCCATATTCATAAAGTAATTTTTCATAAATAAATATAAATATAATACATTTATTTATAAACCATGCCCTTAATAAAAATATATTTTTACCTGATTTGGTGTCATTTTTCAGTATTTTATCTATACTGAAATTCAAAGTTTCCGTTTCGTCATGACATGATTGTGGTTGTAGTTCGTCCATTTTTAGTACTGAATACTTAATAATATGTTAGGCTCAAAAAAGCTATGTTATTATTTTTTTTAAGATATTCACGAGAAGGGGAAAATAATTCATTCTTAAAATGTTCAGTGGTGTTTTAAAATTCTAATTTACGACCGTTGTGGTTTAAACATGGTTTAACGTATTGTTTACGTAATAAGAACGTTAAATAAAAAACATCAGTATTAACATTAGATTCTAATGGTTTAACGCCTAACAACCATTTGGTCCCAGCTGCTAAAATACATAAAATGTATTCTATAAAGACTATAATTTTAGATATTAATAAATACGTTAAATAGCTTATGTTTTATAAATATACTATATATATATATATATATATATATATATATATATATATATATATATACATACATACTCGAAGTATATTGGTTATAGATAGTTTTATTTATATGTTTAGATGTTAGTAGAATATGTTACACAAAATAACTTAACTTCATAATTTATTTTAGCATGTTCGAATCATCATAGTTAAGGTACGATTCCTTAGGATACACATAATAGTAGCAATGCTATAAATCAATATCAAGATTGATTTTCGTTTTAATAAGATCTCCATTTTTTTTCTTCGTTACTATTTAATTTAAATGGTTTATTTTTCATTGATTTTGCACGTTAACATTAGAACGTTAATGTTTTCTTATACATATTACCGAAAATATTCTGAATACATATATTCTGTAACAAACATTCTATAGAAATCCTCCGAGACGTTCAAATCTCGAAACTGAGCTATAAACATTAATTACAGGGAACTTTAAAATATCTAGTTCGGAGATATATCGAACTATATCATAGGGATTCCATTAGATAACTCTATTGGCGGACATTCACTATCGTTAACGAATATCGAATAGTCACGTTAACAACTATAAACACATGGATTTTTAGTATGTAATTTATTTGAATTTGAAAAAATAATTAACAGCTCATGACTTTTTATATGATTAGTTTTAAATTTTTAATTAATTTTGTCTTTACTTTGTACATTAATTTACAATAATTAGAGAACTAGGTCACATATATAACACATCACTGTCACTTAAGTGACACAAATGTTGATCATATAGTGCAAAACACGGTTGGCAATTATTTACGGCAAGTCTACAATGTAAAATATAGTTTGAGATTTATAATATCATTTCTCGACAGCGAGCACTCGTATAAACATATATCTTATTGAAGGTATACAAAACTTGGAAGCTTCAACCATGAATATATTACTTATAGCATTAAGTTTTTCGTTGATCTGTTATTCAAACGGAACTGAGGAAGAAAATATTTTAAACAGAAAATTCATGGACTTGGAAGCATTACCGTTGGAAAAATTGTTGGAAATGAAAAAAGAACTGAGGAAAAAAAGTAAGTTTAATTATACTATATTTATAAGTATTTGATAATTTTCATACATTAATATATAGACGTCATTAATTTGGGCGAAGTCCTCAAAATGTACTTGAGTATAACATATATAATTTGGACAAGAAATTAACCGATCGTTTTGGTGAATTTATAAATTATTGAATAAAAGGGAATTAACAAACCTATTCAACTATATTGTATTACAAATGAGGCTGAATCATTTCACAGTAAATGTAACCCACAATATTATCATCTACAACCTAATATTTATCAAGTAAATTATATTTAAAAAAAAATTCAAATAGAAACCTAAATAAAAAATGAATAAACATTAAAATTATGAGAATAATATCAAATCGAAATATTAACAATAATCGATTATATTAAACAAATAGGTATATGTTACCTTACCGATAAAAAAAAAAATAATAAATATAATATAATAAATTATATGACAGTATAATAAATTTTTAATCATACCAAATAGATTTAACTGAAAGTCCTATGTTTCTTTAAAAATGGAAACGAAAACGTACTAGTCCATATAAATTTCATGAACAGATACATAAAAGTTCACCCGAACGATGTACTAGACATATTGAGGATCATATAAATTCATCATCAAACATCATTGATTATATTGTCTAATTTGAACTAATATAAAATTGTTTTTATTCTGTTATTGTCCCGAAAACGATTTGATCCTTAATTAAAAATGTTCATATGAAATTCTAATCGGTCCAATTCGGTACAAGTATATAATGTGCATACTAAGAGTATTTATACTAAGTTATTCTATGGTTTGTAATACGGGACTCGAATTCGCTAAGTGTCCATGAAAGATTGCATTAATTTTGTGCTGAACGCGTATTGTACCGAAAACCGAAATTGCGTTTTAGAAAATAATTTTCTCGACCCACGCTACGGTGGTTGTTAAAGAGTTAACTTTTGCTGAACAATCCAAATCGAAGGCCGTTCAAAGAAATTATTTCGCACGCCGTCACCTCGTACCGATGCATTAATAATACGCACATCCGTGTCCGTGCTGCACGTGTGTTACAGATTGTCCAGCAGTACGGCGAATGACCATGGCAACAGAGACGGCGGAACAGAATGCGGCCGCGCCGAATGCCATGGCCTTGCGGCGGCTGGCCGTCTCTCCAGGACCATCGGCCGACAGTTCGGTGCAGACTGCTTTCCAAATGTCGCTCACTATCCTCTCGTTCCTAGCATTCGGCGGCTACGTCATCACCATGGTTGCGCAGAACATGCGTACGTCTCATCGCAATGGTGGCGTCGGCATGACAGCGCCACTACCGCTTAAGACCGTTGTGGTTAACCAGTACAAACAGCCAGCCGTGTCGAGACCGACCGGCACCCTGACCACAGTAAGTTTCGGACGACGCAAACGGAGTTGGAGGTTTCTTTGAACGATTTCTTTTTCGACGTTGTTCTTTGTTCACTTTCACCATTGTCCTTTATTTTCTTTCCCTTCGTCGTCCTTAACTTCACATATTCGTTTTCTAATATTATACCCATCGTACTGCAATCATCATGCAGACGCAAGACCTGCCACATTTCTAGATTCCTTGAGTACGACTTTCGACGCGTTTTTCAACAAAATTTCAGTACTGTTCGAAAATATCTCCAATAACATCGAAATTACGAGTTTGATACAAACATGAAATGTTTTATTCTCAAATAAATTATCCAATATTTATTATTCTGTTACTGTACCGTCTAGCTATTTAATGATACGATTTGAATATACAGGATGGGATTGATATAATACATCTACTTTTTTTTTTTTTGGATCACTGAATGAATCTGGTTTTCGAGAATCCGAGAAAATGTTTCCTACATTGAAGTGATGATAAGCCCCCCCCCCCATATTCATGCCTTCATTAATATATTATATAGAAAACATATGTAACAGACAACGCATCTAATTACCTACATTAAATGTTTTTTTTTTTTTAAATACATACGACCTTATAATATTGAGCGGCCATACGTGATGGTGATAGCAAGTAAAATATATACCTACTTATTATATCTACTTATATACCTAATTATTATAAATTATAATGTGATATTAATTGCGCTCGTTACTGCAGTGTTCAACTATTAAAATATATATATTGTAAATAAATATTATATTATACAACACTGAATCTTTTTTATTATTATTTATTTCATATATATTTTTTTATATCCTTTAATAATATTTAAATGTATATTTCGTTAATTATTTAATTTTATAAGCTTTTGGATTAAAATGAGAATGGGCAAACTAAATATATATACTTTTCTAACCGTTTGAACTTAAAATATTTATGATCATGAATAATACCAATCCAATATTTATTACACCGTTCAATAAAAAATCGGCTCTGCTAAATCTTTCGCGTGTTTAAATTTTAGAAAAAATATTGTAGGGTTAAATATAGACTTTCTCAACAAATTCAAGCCATAATATAAAAATGTACTATCTTTTATCAAAAAAACTATAATTAAAAAAAATACAATAAATCAAATATAAGGACATAGTACAAAAATATTTAGAAAAATATAATTAAAAATATTAAAAATATATACATACAATAAATCCTAGATAATATACAAGTATAATTCTATTTCAGTTTTATTTTTTCATATCGGAGAAAAAACTAAAAAAATCCAATAACTTTGAGATTATTTGTGTTAAATTTTCTATTTAAATTCTGTTCCATAATTTCTATAATGTGTACATCATAAGAATTGTGGAACAGATTTAATACCCGAAATTTGACAAAAAAAATAGTTATAAATCTAATATATTTCTAACCAGTGTTTAATGTTGTGGTCATTGTTAGTTAGAGGCGTAGAATTGGGGGGCATAATAGGATTATTTCCCCCATCGGATTTTTTTTTTTTACAATTTTGCGGAATCTGTAATTATAAGTTTAATTTCATACTTATAACTACTCGCCTATCATGCATTCCCACCAAATACGGTGCTCAATTTTGTAATTATAATAGAAATTTCTAACATCAATACTACGTTCTATAATAATTATAGATAATAAAGAAAAATCTATTATCTATAGTTATAATCACGGTATAGAGAATTCTAAGTTTATAAGTAGAGGTCGGATTTATATTCTCTTAAAATCCTTAAAATATAATGTTTTATGTCTTTAAAAATGCAAATAATCTTTCAATATTCTGAAGAAAAAAAATTAAATTACTTGGTTTAAATTTATCTTTTATTAAATTTTATTTTTTAATAAATTCGGATAATTCAGATCTTCGGATTTCATGTCCATCCCTAATTTTAATGCCAATTTTAACCTACGTAGATTACCCCTAATATCTAATGATAAATTTTTATAACAACCTAGAAGGATATAAAAATAACTCACATTTTGAATATTGTATTTGTTGATTAATATTATCAAAATGTCGATGTACGTAATACGTGCATGGATGTGAAGACAACTAATAAGTAATATAATAATAAATTGTTTTCTTCGAAAAAAATATTTATGAAAATAACTTTCAAAAATAAAAATGCTTATAAAATATTCTTTCACGTATTTTTTAATATTTCCTAACCCCTAAAATATGCTTTATTTTGCAAAATAAATTTTCTGTGAATTTTGTGTTTCATAAATTGTAAAGATATCTCATTTTCATTTAATTGCATATACTAAAAAAAATATGTAAAATCATGAAAATCCCACCTCTAGTTATAAGATATATAAGTATATATCAGAATTTTTCTCTACACCATGATCATAATCAATAATCAGTATTCTATGATAATAGTTTATTTTTATTATAAGTAATTCTAATAATTATAATTATATGATCCTTATATATTTATATATTTATATATAAAAGAACAGGCCTTTTTTATGTTACCATTTTGTGACGACAATATTTAACATTTTTCCAATTTTTTTTTTTTCATAGAGTTGTTCCAAATATCTTTCTGAATATCAGCAAGTTCCCCAATTTTTCATTTTTTTTTTTTTGTCTGAAGGGAAGAAGAGGTAGAATTGTATTAAAGGTTACTGTTTTTTAGTTTAACATTTAAATAATTTAACGGTTTTTTTTTCATAAGGATCTACAAAATATTCCTACGAATGATATATTATTCACAATTTTATTTTATTCTTCATGTCAGTTATAATCGTGATGAATTACTCGATACAATTGTTGATAGAGAAGAATCGATACATTTTTCTTCAGAGTTCTTAAATTCACAAACATTTTGGTGTGTCTCCTCATTAAAATATCACTGAAGGCGGGAGTTCCAATCATATTATGAGAATTTTTAATTCTCCAAGGTTATGCTATAAATCTAGGCTCTAGGTCACCTATTTTACAAAAAATGTAATTAATTAATAATTGAAGCTAAAATTTTGATTGCATATGCTAAGGAAGAAAAAATATTTTTACTGGAATTACTATTATACCTCAACGATTTTCCAGTTTAGTTTAGAAGAGTTAGAGAGTTTAGCTATAAGAGTTCAGTGTGTTTTACAATGACAATAAACAAAGCGCAAGGATAGATTTATTTAAGGATAGATTAATTTATTGTGGTTTAGATATGGAAAATAGCTGTTTCTCAAATGGACAATTGTGTGTAGCATTTTCTAGAGCTGGAAGACATAACCATTTATATGTTTATACACAACAAAATAAAACTCTGAATGTGGTATACCAAGAGGTTTTGATTTAAGTCATTTTAGAAAAATGAATAACTCAGTATAGAATAATTTATAAATATTTATAAATTAAATAAAACTATACAAATTATAATTACAACTATAGAATCATTAGAATCATTTTTAAATATAATTATTACTATTATTATTATATTTTATTAGTAATTCAGCACCTATTACTATTTATCACTTGATCAAATTAAGTAAATTAAAAAAATTAAGAATTTAATGTAGAAAAAGCAAAAACTAGAAAAGGGCAAAACTGGGTAATTCAGCTAATTATAATATATAACTATAATTATAAGTAATTATTAAAAGTACATCTTTAATCACAGTTTCTTATAGATTAAAATATTTTATATTTTTAGAATAGTGAACATTATGACAATGTCAAAATCACAGATTTTGCGCTTTCTGAAAAATTAACCCAAATACACTACCTAATGGTGTGAATATAATTGCAGTACTACTTTAATTTATTTATTGATTTTATATATATATATACATATATATAATAAATTATATATTAATAGGTATATATTTATGTATATATATATACCCACTAATTATTGTATTAACTTCTTACCTACATATTATAATATCACAGCCATAAACATTGGTATAATTTGAGCATGATATTAGAAGTTGGAAAAATTACCCAAAATACACAGATCAAAAGGTTGTAATAATAATTATTTTAATAAAAAAAAACTTAATATGTTTTATCGATATATAGTATGAATAAACATATATAATTCTTCTTATACTTTATGTGTTACTTTAATATGTTTTTACCACTAATGTAATTATAACCATGATATTACATGGGTATTTTTATTTAATCCAACTACTCTTTTGCCCAGACTGTCCAGACAAAATATACAGAAACTGTAACAGTACCATTTAATTAACAATAAGCCACAACTATGAACATCTCAGGAGTTTAAGTATAAATTAAATAAATCTATACTATAGTTCTATTCTAAAGTATGAAGATAGATATATATTTAAAAAACATTTATTTTAAATAATACTACAAAATAGGAAATGATAGCCAAAATAGAAACACCACTTCAGGCTTTCTATGAGAAAAAATTATAAGTTTAATAATGATACAAATATATTTATTTAATAAAAAATTACAAATGTTCTTATATTATTTTATTAAATTATTAAAATTAGATAAAGATAATATTTTTAATTTGTTCAAGATTTAAAGGTGTACGTTTGATTTTAATAACAAATTTATTTAAACATAAAATTAAATAAATACTTTAAATAAACATACTATACAAAATAAGCTATATAAGAATAATTAATACATCATTTGGTAGTTTTCTGGTGAATAATATTTAAAAACTACTATTCCAATACATATATATATATATATATTATAAACATATTATAATATAATAAAACCTAATAGATACTAAATCATAAAATTGTTAATAGTGTACAATTCTAATTAATAAAAATAATATTTTTAAGAATTGATGTTTGGGATTGAAAGGTTTAAATTAATTACGTTATACATAACAAGACTATATACTTATTACAGACATAGCATATTCTTCGCATATGTAAGGTAAATTAAATGTATTCAAAATTGTTTTAAATTATATACTATATATATATATATATATATAGTAAAAGTGAATTATGACATTATTATTTGCAATAATATATTTTAGTAAAACTAAATAAAATAAAAAACTTAAAATGTATCAAAAAAAAAAAAGAAAAGAAAAATTACAAGTGTTCTTTAAAAAAATATTTTATCCAAAAATAAAAACAACTGGATAAAATAGAATGCAGTATGTTTTCAATTACCTTTCAGAAATATCACAGTATTTATAATAATTGTGATTTATAATAAATACCTTGAGCATGTAAAACGGTTCAATTCATTTAACATAAATTAATATATACATTTTTAAAAAACTATACATAAAAAAGCAAATCTAAGTACAAGGTTTTGGAATTTAGAGTAGATCAGATAAAACAAACAATAACACAAAATAACTCTTGATATTTATATATCATAAACAACATTGATCAAAATTTTACTGAATAGAATATAATCAGACAAAAGAATAAAATGTCATTTTAATTATTTGAATTTTAAGCTTTAAAATAAAATAAATAAATATATCAAAAATATTAAATAAACTCTGTTTATTTTATCTATGTTTCATTGATAAATAGTTTACTATTTATTGTAAATAAAATGTACATGTATTGATGTTTTTAAAAAAATAATGTATTTATAAAATCATATATATTTAATAAATTACTTTATAGCAAACAAATATTAAACTAAATAATATAAATAACCTTGATTTTTGAAACAAAATTTATAATAATATAATAAATTTAAATTACAGAGGGAGAATTTATTTAATTTCAGTTTTTTTTATTTTTTTTTTTTACAATATTAATTGCATAATAAATTAGTTGTAACTTAAACTTTTATTTATACTTCCATTCTATTTTATATAAATATATTAAAATAATGTATTGGTTTTAAGCTTATTTAATCTTATACAGTTATATGGTACAAGTTTCTTATATCAAAAGTATAGGTATTTTATAATTTAAATTAAATATTAATAAATAATTTGGTATTTATTATCTTTGCAATGAAACATCTTATAAAGGTTGGTTTCAGAAATTATTTGTAGATACAATTGTAAAACTTTTTATTGTGAATTTAACAATAATAATAATAATAAAATAATGTTTAAGTTCAGTCTCATCAAAGTCTCAAAAACAGATAGAGTACCACCGATTTTTCAAAAATATCTATGCTATCTGAAGGAAAGTTTAAATTTATTGGAATATAATTTCAAAAAATAAGTCTACAGCACAGTCATGTTTTTTTTATGCAATGAATTCAGTTTTTTTATCTCATAAAACAAATATTAAAAATGGCTTTATTGACCTAATCTTAACATAGTTATATAAATATTATCTAAAATAATATATATTATAATATTATATATATTAATTTAGTTAAAATTAAACTCAGAAATACTTATTGTTTTCCTTAATAGTTTTTTTTACCATTAAATTGAATTAAATTGTATGATATATTTTTTTAGAGCCTATATTTTGTTTTAATAAAATAAATTATACATAAATACCTATGGCGCAACATGTGTCTAAATCGTGAATCATAAAAATTACATTGAAGTATTCATATACATTCTATCCCTAATATGATGAAATAAGACTTAAAATGAAAAAAATATATTTAGTTATATGAAAAATAACTGTTAAATTAGAAAATCAAATTATATAATAGAAAAAAAAAATTATTTTGAAAATAAAGGTAGGAAAGCAAGATGAAGGAAACCAAAAAAGAAGAGGTGATTAGTAAGATAACCTTGTGAGTATAAAAAAAAGATTTGATTGATGTCATTTATTGTCCCTTTAGGATAGAGAATCAGTACCATATTTGTCACTAAACACTATGGATACAATCTTGCAGCAGACATTTTCTGATACTTAGGTCATATAAATATTTTTATCATTACAAATTATAATATTTTGATAGTAAATTTTCATTTGATTTAACCTAAAAAAAGGTTAGAAAGTAGACAATTTATAAAAATAAAATAAGAAAATATACTAAGAATAGTATGGAATGTATGCCAACAATAATAATAACAATATTATGAAAATATTATGTTGATTGAGAAACTGTTCATCATAAAAAAAATAGTTGAAAATAAGGGGAAATTAGGGACCAAAAAATCTTGTAACCCAAGTACTATTAAATATTTGAGATTAATGCCATGTCATGACGTGTAAAATAGAGAGTAACAATGTTTAGGTTATTTTAAGTATTTGTTTTACTTTATTTAGACTTTAAACTTCAATATTCATATCTGACCTTAACCCACGATTTTTCAGCTTTTCTTCAGCTTTTAATATTGGTTCTTCAGTTCTGGTATGCCATACATATACCTAGAATTATAAATAATATAAATAAGAAATAATATTATAACATCATAACATACAACATTTTCAAATTTACTTTAGTACAATTGTCTGCCAATGGTTCCAACTGGTCTATAGTAGTTACTTGTGAAAGTATGGCACTTTCTTGGTAACCTCGACTGACGTCCCACGAAAATTCAGCATTTGAATGATTCCGTAACAATTTTAAATTTATAGCAAAACCAGCCATATCAACAGGAAATGGTCGTTCTGGTCTCCATGCGCTATTCCATCCAATTACTTTACCCTTACTATTTATCAATGGTTTTTCTACTAAAAGACCACCAACAAGACCAACTGGCCAAACACCAACACCTTTAACTTTTCGTATCTATGTATGTATAGAAAAAATATACACAAAATAATAGATAATAATAGATAAAATAAAAATATTAAATTAAAAACTCATTTTTTACTTCATTAAATAAATCTACACTATAAGTATTATCATCGTCAGCAAAATAAACAATGCCTTCATCATTTTCATTAGCTTTATTATTTCTTAACCATTCTAATGCCTTATTTCTTTGTTTTACACCTCTAGGTTTTTTCCATTTAGGTTCCTAAAAAAAATGTTGTTATTGTAAATCAAAAATTATGATTTAAATGAAAGTCAATACTTTTAATTTTCTTTTCCATTCAACAGGTGTTCCAATAGCTAAATGTGTATAATTTAAATGACTTCTAAAAAGCAAATTAGCTACAAGTGATGTTTTCATTTCGGAATCTTCGACAATAATCCAGTGAAAATTATTTATAAGACGAAAAGTGTTGGACAGTCTACACCATTAAAATATTTTTGTATATATAAAAACTGTAATGAAATGTATGAGTTCATATATACCTTGTTAGTTCTGCTCTTTGTACAGGTCTTTTGTAAGTAGGTGTTATTGCATATATAACTGGATTATTTGGTTGCCATTTATCACATATACTCTCAAATCTTTCTTTTAAATTATTGTAATTTATAGATTTAATTTTTAACTAAAAAATGACAAAAATTATTGATTTGTACTATTAAACACAAGATTTTAATTAATTACTGCAAAATATATTTATAAAAAAGAAAATGTGTATGAATATTGGAAATACAATTTTAAATTGTTTAAGAACAATTTAGATTAACTTATTATTAATTATTATTTGATAAGTCAAGCTTTTTTTAGAATAATATAGTTAAATTAACTATTTAATATTATCCTTTTATCAACTCTATGAACCTATACATTTATACAACTAAAAAACAGAATTCAAATTACAAATCTCTACACAAAGATATTAAGCGTTCTCAATTAGCGTTTACACATTGTATAGTGATATTATATTAAACGTGTAACTTTTATAAGTATTCATACTTCTTGTTTAGTGTGTTCCAATATCTGTTTTAAATCTTGATAACGAGATGCATCTAATACAAAAATAAATAATAGGATTCAATTTACATTATCAGTAATTTAATTAAATACCATATACTATTCACCTTTACTTCGAATTCCAACAAACCAAAATACTAATAAAACAAGAAAACAAAAGTAAAACATTATTCTTCTTTTATTAAACATGTCTAAAGACTTATAGTTGGTAATAGAACTAAACATTTTATTTAACTCAACATTTGAGTATATCTTATTAATTTATAACATTATTAATCAATTTGAATAGAACAATAATAAGTTATAATTAAATATTGAACTGAATAAAATATATGTAGTCTATAGTAAGAAAAATTATATTTTTAATGTCAAAAAAATATATTAATATGGTGATACTAAAAGAAATAATGAAACTAAACTATATTATTAAATAAAAGTACAATATTAAAATTATCACTAACAACTTTCAGTCTCAAATTTTGTCTCTTAGAGGATTCTTGTAAGCATAATTTTTATTAAGGGTTCCCTCAATTAACTTATTATGCTATGATGGACACGAAAATAGATACTATCTATAACCATACTGATAACTGATAAATTATTGTGATAGTAACCTTCCTTTCTAAATATTCTAGTAGTCATGGTTTCTAAGTTTTAAATCCTCATGCCGACCTGCTATTTTTTCATATTATTATTTTATCATTTATTTATCATCATTGTTCATTATCAGCATTAGTAATTATCCGCTATGTTAATTAGGTAGATTTGAAGGATGAGTATTAATATTACTTTTATGTTTTAATTTTTAATTATTATTTTTTATTTAATATGAGAAATATTTATAACGTCCTTTTTTCGTAATATAATTTATCAGGTAACCTTAGCATAATAGTTAAACATCATAGGTAAACTCAGCATAAACGTAAATAAATAGGTAGTAATAATATTAAGATAATTAATTAGAACATTTACGTAAATAAAGGGTGGTTAATCACAGTTTCTAACTATTGTTCTCAATTATGATTTTTTGTGGATTATTTATCTTTTTCAATTGTATTAGAGGATAACCTATCTAATCATTATATATAAAAAAAGTTTGTCGTTCAATTATATATTAGGATAACCTAATCATTATTCAAATATATTTTATTTTTTAATTTAAATAATTCCTTATGAATGATTGCGTGTGTTGTGATGAAATTATGCATAAAGAATAAACTGTGTACATAAATTGTATTATTTTTATAAATTATTCAAGCAAATACAATTTTTTTTTAGAAGTACATAATTCAAATATCAGCTAAGTTTATCAAATTAATCAAACGTCTTATCATTCCTGTTAATTATGGGTATGTAATACTTTTACTTAAACTTAATAATAGTCTCAGAGTAATAATAATAATAGTTATAAACTAAATAACCTAACAACTTTTATTAACAATTATTATTATTAACTAATTAAATTACGCTATGTAAATAATTTAAATATAATAGGTATGTTTATAATTTATCAATTTTATATATAATTTTAATGTTATTTATGATTATATATTTCCTTTGAATCAACTAAGAGATTAAGAAAATTGGATAACATTAGTTAACTACTACTACTCCATGTTATTATCTTAGTCTGTGGTTTGTAATTAAAAACATTGAACATTTCAACTGAATAAGTAATTAAACTACTTATTTTGTTGATCATTTTTAATACTTATTATTGGTTCCAGTAATCCTTAACACTTGCTCCATTGATATTCGCAGGTAATTATATAATGCAATAAGCAATATTGTACTATTCATTAATTAATTTATGCTCTCCTAATGTATCCTAGATCATTTTTAATATGTTACTTTTATATTTTTTAACTATATTTACAACATTATCCAGAAAAAAATCTTAATAGTATTCTGTTCTTCCTGTATTTATTTTATTGAAATTTAGTTTAGTTAAAAATACTTATTAAAGACATTTATAGCAACTATACATTTTTTAAAATATTCGTAAGCATATGTAAATAGTAAATTTTTTTTTAAAAAATAAACAATTATATTATTTCAGTAGGATTTATAAAATTATCTTAAAATTATGTATGAAAAACTGCTAACTAGGGAATCAATTTATTTAGTAGTGAATACAAAATAATAATGTTTACATTCAATTTGTTCAACTATTTATATTATATTCTAATAGATCATTTTTTGAAATCCATGAAAATTATTGTTTCAAAACCATAAAGTGTTGTTTTTTTTTAGCTTTTTTATGTTATAGAGTATAAATTACCAATTCTGATTACATTTTTTTTGCACCAATAGGTTATTTTTGCTATTTTTCAATTAGGAATAAATTGTACTTTTATTATTTTATACTTGCATAATATGTATATAATACAAGAATTTTTTTATTTTTTAATAAGAAATTTGTGTGATATCAAATGAGTAGAACATTACATTTAACCTCTCAAATAGGTAAAAAGTGTATAATCATATTCAAGCAAAATTATGTTGCCAATTCTCATGTCCATTATGATATAAGTAAAATAATTATATACAAGTATTTCTATATATTTTTAAATAACTCAAGTTGTTTTTCTTAAAGTTGCAGAAATAAGATTCAACTAAACTTCTGGTTATGATTTGTTTTAAATTTAAAATTAATGTTTCCTTATATTTAAGGATTATATTGTTTAAATAATATAATATTATTAAAATACAAAATAGCTACTACTTATATTTAATGAACACATAAGTTGTTTATCAAATCTTTTATTAAAAACTATGTTTCAGTAAAAAGAGTTATAATAATAATTAATTTCATATAATAGAAAAGTATTTTTATTAATATTTTTATTTATATAAATATGATGATTCTAAGCAATAAGATAACAATGGATGAATATGTATATAATTAGTAACTACAACTAAGCTGAAATCTAACTGACTAATGGGGAAACCATTAGTTTAAATAAGAGAAAAATTATGGTTGGCAGTATTCATATGTAGTATAATTTGGTTTTCTACTAAGTTAGCCAGTAAGAAAAGAAAATTATTCCATTACTTTTTTAAAATATAATCAATACATTTTAAAAGTATCTTTTGATATATAAACATTTAAATTTTAAGTACTTTTTTCATTATTATTAAGAGTGAATTTTTACTTTGAATAATTTTTTTTTCTAGTTTGATAAAGATTTAAAAATATATAAAAGACTATTGATTATAATTCAAAATAAATGTATAAATTTTAAAAGAAAAAAATACATGGCAATATAAAAACATAAATATACTTTACCATACATAAATTGTACATCATTTACAGCTTTAGTACTTAAACACAATTACAATATTATTTGTTGTCAAAAATCTTTAAATACAGTCTAAATTTAGATAGGTATTTTTTTATATGATAATATTCTTATTTTATACTTAATCTCGAAGCATCGGTAATTTTTCATGTAAGATACATGTAGATTTATTGTCAAAATTAACAATTGGCTCTTGGCAAATGTTATCACTTTGAAGAATATTGCAAGCTCTGAATAAAACTTGTTTAGGATCTTTAAGTACATGTTTTTTACAAAATTTACTCTTAGGTATCATTTTTCCAGTACATTTTATTCCCATTTCAACAAATGTACAATGTGGAGGGTGTGATTTTCCTTTATTATTTAATAATGAAGTTGCTCTTATTTTTCTATCCATTGCTGACTTAAATACTACTGCTTCTTGTCCTATTTCTATTTTTTGATAGTGTTCTAATAATTTAAGGTAGCGAAATTTGGCATATTCTTCATCATTGGTCCATTTTGTTTTATTTAATTGTCCATATGATTCAGAATCACATTTTTTATTTAACAAATATTCTCTACGTTTTATTCGATACTTGAATAATAAATATCTAAATAAAAAAAAATTGATTTTTTTGGTTATTAATGGTTTTAAATTATACAATTTTAGTTAAATTTATTAATATATACCTGTATTCCTGTGCATACAACAATTGCAATCTTATAAATTTGTTTCGAACTCTCCGTACTGCTTCTTTTTCAGAAAGCTTCGGCATATTACACAAAGGATCCGATTTGGTTAAATTTATATCCTCTAGTTGGGGTATTTGTTTAAATAAGTCAACAGTTACAGTTTTAATTGGCTCTTCATCCTCTAGTGGTTTGGTGTCTTCTAAATTTAGCTTGTATCTTTCTTTAAGAAGCTTTTTTGAATCAATTTCATTGAACGGGTTTAAACTTTTGTATTTTGTAGCATAATGACCAAATTCTTTTTTTAAATCAATTTGCTTTTTTCCTTCCATTTTCCTTAGATAATAGAATATCAATGGAACTATTTTTTGATTTATAATAATCTATGTTTACCTAATAACATAACGTATATATATATAACATTTATTTTGAATGTTTTGTTAATACATTCGAATGATAATTAATGTGAAACTATACAAATTTATCAAATTGGAGTAATCGCTGACAGTTTTAACTACTAATTAATAATATAAGTAAATAATATGAAAAAGATGGACTGTACCATGTAAGATCTTCCGATATGTATTGTAATATAATTTGTCTTTTTGATTATCTGACATCTGATATGTTGAATGTTGAAGAATATTGCAGTAAATACATAGTAATAATATATGATTTTGGTTTTTCACAACTTAACCTAAATTTAATGTTGTGGTAACTACTTCAGGTATCTGTGGTATTAGCTCGGTATATCCATTATTGTCATCATTACGCATGCGCATGTTCATATGATTTAACAGCTGTTGAATCAATCTTGTTTTTCCATTGTCTTTTCATGACGTTGGTCCGTTTTGGGCAGTGTAGTTGAGAGTGTGTAGTATACAAGTTTTGTTTGTTGTTCGACATGATCGAATTAATGGCACTTTTCATTCGTTGTACCTGGACTAATTGGTTCATAAGAAACTATGAATACTGTGCATTACAATAAATCTTTATACATTATCATTCCCAATACGATTAACTTCCGGTTTTCTGGTGAGTGTCCTGGGAAGGGATAGGTATTTTGTTTTTAAAGATGAGTAGTTATTGTTAACTACCATGATCATTTATCAGCCTTAATGGTGAACTGTCATTTATTAATTAATTTATTTTGAAAATATTCATACATTTTTTGTTTACAATATATAAATTACATAAATTATTTGTATTAGTTCCTTTACTGATAAATGTGACTATATTATAGAAAATTGTTATTTGATTGTGGCATGATTAAATTGCTTGGAGGTGACGTCTATGGCCGAACAAGCTAGTTCCGCGTTTGGTAACGCGTCTTCTATAAGTACCAGGTCAGAAATGTAACAATATTTACCACTGTTTTTATTACTTTTGTACTTTTATATTTGTGCTTTAATGGGTGATTTTTATGATAGGAGGGGAAATATAGAAGGAAATACTAGATACAGAAGTGGTTCTCGTAAAGATAGTAAAAAAAGTACAAATAATCAAGAATCAGATTCTGTTGTAAATACATCTTGTACTGAAATACCGTAAGTACCATCAACATTTTTTTTTATCTATCAAAATGTTTAAATTTTTAATTATATTTCAGCATTGTGAATGAATCTTCTGTATCTGTTCAAAATAGTCGTAAAATTAAATCAAGTTCTAGAAATACTCGAACTAGTATTTCTAGTTTATTAATTGTAAGTTGACCAATTTATAAAAAAAAATTATATTTAATTATATTTAATTATAATTAATAAAAAAAAGTAATAAATTATAATAATAAATAATTAATAGTTAGTAATAATTATTATTATTATTATTGACTAATAATAATTATAAAAACATGAAATTTTACAAACCTCTTAAAATTATTATTTAAGCCATAAATAAATGTTTATACTTTAAAGTTTTGTTGGGATTTTTAATACATATTTGTTTTATTTACCCTGCATCAGTTGTAAATTTTACTATTGCTAAACAATAATAATTTAATGTTGGATGGTTTTGACATTTTCTGATCACTATGTTAACATACCTTTAAATACTATTATTTTATTAAAAACTTATAATTTTGGAGTGAGGCTTTCTGTAAAATTCTTCACATGTAGAGCAATCAAAATGTTTGTGATTGTTCTACATATGTAGATGCGTGACTACCATATGATATTAAACAACGCAACTAATGCATGGTTAATATTGTTATGAATACATGCATACTTATAATATCTCATGTACAATTTTATATATCAATTAACTTCATTTTAATGTTATATAGATTTATATTTTAATTGTTAACATACTTATCTATTAACTTTCACCATATAAATTGTATTAAAATGTTATTCTTTGATATTTTTTTAGCAAAAAGAACCAGGACCAAGTAGAAAATCTACATCGTCAAAATCACCTAAATTAAGTAATTTTTCTTTGCTTTACAATTATTATTATTAACAAAGTTTATAAACGTATACTTTGATACCTTGAGATTTACAAACTTGATTTCTCTATTTATTTATTGATTAAAATAATTAAATTACATATTTTATCGTAAAGCTTATTCCTTTATATAAAAAATAAAATAAATATTTTATAATGGTACAAATTAATTATTATTCAATTTTGATTTATAGACAATCAAATTTAATTAAATTTTTCTACTCTTCAAGGAGCATAATTAATAATGTAAGACTTTTTTATAAACTGAAAATAAAAAAACTTCAACATGTATTCTAGTTTAAATTTGTTTTTTAATACATGCCTTTTATTATTAAAATTTTACTTGTACTTCTATTATATTTTGGTTTAAAAATTATATAACCAGTTTATATTATATTCATTTTATAACAATTATTTTAAATCAAAATATTTGAAAATTAAGTAGACCTATTTTTACTTTGTATTAAATACTTAAAAAATAAAACAATATTTTTTTGTGAACTATATTTTAACTTTTATTTAAATATATGTTTATGTTTTTATGTATGTTTTTGTTTTGGTTTAATCTTGTATGTATAATTTTCTAGGTCTGTATAAGATACTTTATATTGTCTCATTCCAATATTAGTTAATACACCTAGTATTTTCCTATATTTATAGACAATGGCATTTATAATTTATTAATTTATTTTATAAAAAAAACAAAAGGGAGTAGTCCTACTGAAAATAGGTATCCGTTGCGTAGCAAATCGAAAGTATCTTTACGTTCTCAAGAAAGCACTATAACTAACAAACTTTCTATCCAAGAAATAGAACCTTCACCAAATAAACGTCCTAAATTAGAACTCCCTACACTGGGTATGTAATACATTTTCGAATTATTATTTTTAATTATTTTATTATTTACTAAATAAAAAATTTTATTAGACAAGTTATAATATTTCTGTTATATATTTGTTAGGTGCGTCATCAAGTAAAAATAAGGAAGATAATTTACGCGCATCTTTATCGTTGCGTAGGAAACGCGGAAGACCAACAACGGGGTCTTGTGCCAGTACTAGGTATTGATAATAATTTTATGTTTTACTTAATTATAATTTTGTTAATGTGTATTGTCTTATAAAATTATAACTTTTGCTTTTATAGTCGCCGCGGTCATACCAAAGCGAGTGGTAGGGAAGGTGTAGAAGTGGCTATGGAAGGAGTGGTTGAAGGGGATGGAATAGCTGAAAGCAGCGAGAATCTAAATTTATTACCTTCCACGTCTAGTTCAATAAGTACTAATGTTCCTGACATGGCAACATCATCATCCACTACAACCATCACTAATCCTTCTTCTTCTGGCACACAAGCTACTGGAGGTGGCGTAAACTGTAATTTATTTTAATATAATAGTTAAATTATTTAATACGTTTATAAATTAACTTTAAACTCTTTTAAGGGCCTACTGCATGGAGTAGTGGAACTACTAGCCATGATAGTGAAGAAGAAGGTGAAGTTGGACGTTTACAAGCATTATTAGAATCGAGAGGATTACCGCCTCATTTATTTGGAGCTCTAGCTCCTCGTATGCATCATTTGTTTAATCGATCCATGGGAGCTGCTTCTACTAGTATGTATTATATAAATATTTATTAAACTCATGTAAAATTATCTAATCATAACAAAATAATTATTTAATATTCTAAATGCTATTCTAGCATCTAAAGCTCAACAACTACTACAGGGAATGCAAGCTACAGGAGATGAAGGGCAACAACTTCAAGCAGTTATTGAAATGTGCCAAATGTTAGTAATGGGCAATGAAGATACTTTAACTGGATTTCCAGTAAAGCCTGTAGTCACCGCACTAATAGTTCTACTTTCTATGGAACACAATTTTGATATGGTAAGTTAATTTTTTTTCTTTTTTTTGGTATTTTAATTTTTCATTAGATTTTGTTTGTTCAAGGAAAAACATTATCTTAAAAATAATTTAAAATTATATTTCATTATTGTTTAAAATAAAATAAGATAATGTAAATTTGTTTACTATGATTTGATAATGTTATCAGTATAAAATTTTTAAATGTAGAAAAACATTTTCATATAAACGGTTATTTTTCCTTTTTAATTATGAGTGTTTTTCAATATTTTCAGATAAAAAATGTTACATATTGTGTTAGAAGTTTTGTAATTATAATTAAATTTTTTTTTACATGATCTATCAGTTATATATATATCACTTGATACCGATCTTTATTGAAATATAAATTTACATACTTATTTTTAAATTTATACAAAAAATATCACAGTTATGCATCAGTATTATATAGCGATTATACTTGGTTCAACAATAATTTTACGACCTCTTAATCTATTCCTGGTGAAATTGTATTTTGTTTTGAATTTTTATAATTTTTTGTTTGAAAATGAAAATAATGATTATTTTTATATGTGAATGTAGTTTTCAAAATCTACTTATTTAGTTCTTATTAAGAATCATTAAATTATTAATTTGATTAAAAATTTAATTGATTATTGCATAACATGGTGGTATAAATTTATATTTTATTGAATAAAGATTATGGTTGTAGGCATTTTTCAATTTAATCAATGTCTGTGTTAAGAAGTACATTTTATAATAAACAATTAGATTCACTGATTTGACAGTCTATTTAGGAATTTTTTTTATTTATTTTTTTATTTTATTTTTTTTTGACATATTCAATTAATTTATAAATATTTTTACTCTTTTTTTTTTTCATTTGTTTGCATGAAAATATAATAAATAATATATATTATATAATGCTTTTCTAGATAGCATATAGCTAATGTCATACTCTAACTAAATACTGATTTTTGTATTTTATTAGTATATTATAATACTAAATAACTTCTTATCTTATATTTTTATTTCTAGATGAATCATGCTTGTCGTGCATTGACATATATGATGGAAGCACTTCCACGTTCATCAGCTGCTGTTTTGGATGCTGTTCCAGCTATGTTGGATAAACTGCAAGCGATCCAGTGTATGGATGTGGCTGAACAGTCTCTGTCTGCTTTAGAAATGCTTTCTAGAAGACATGGTCGTTCTATATTACAATCTGTAAGTTAATTGTATAATATGTGTGACTCAATCTTTTTTTTTTTTATTAGAGAAAATCATATTATATACTGTGTAATTTTTTTTTCATACAATATTTTGTTTGTATATACATTTGGGAGAATGATTATAATAGAATTTTATTTAACAAACCCTTGGCAGCGAAGACATTATATAGTTTGTTTAATTATACAAGGCTTTTCAATTTTAATTGTTTTAAAGTATAAGAATTTAACCTTGTTATTGAGAACAGGCTCCAAATCAATAAAAAAAATATAGGTAGAAATAGTTTTAATTTTGCGTTGAAAAACATTAGTTATGTTTCTGGAAATATGCCCAAGATTAATTAATTTTTTATTTCCTCTAACAGGGTAGTGTGATATAGATATCTTATTACTACGCAATATATCCTTTCTTTTGTTAGCTGATAAGTGTGAAAATCTTTTTTATTGTGTTGTAAAAATTTTATGACGGAGTAATAAGATTCAGGTTATTGAGTAAAGAGTTTTACACCATTTAATGAGCTTTTGCAAGTGACTGTTCTTCTTTGGTTATTTCTTTAATATTAACGCACAATGAATTGAAATTAATGGCAATGCGAATAAATATTGGAGGTGGAAGTTTTTTGCAAGAATTGCAATTTCAATATGATCTGTTTTTAATTCCATATCGTAGGTTTAGTGACTGGTTAATTTCGAGCTCATTTGAGAACAATGAGGAATGATTTTTCGATGCATAATGTTGTTTTTTGTGTTAGCAGCATTAGGTGATGTGAAATGGCTAATGAATACTTTAGATAATATAGGAGTAATATTTCAGTCATTTCGATTGGATTGAATAGAGGAAGTGGAAGAGTGATTTGACACACTCTGTATGCAATTTTTTTGATATTAAAGATGGGACTATTTTAAATTTGTTGCTATGTATGATGAGGCTATTAAATATTGATTATGGAAGGGCTGTTTATCACGAGACAATGGCGATAAGTGGCCTGCCGAACTGCGGTCAAAAGTGTGGTTTTGTCTAGAGACAAATTTTATTTTTACCTACATAACTAATTAAATAATTAATCAAAATTGAGTTAGTGAGAATCTTTTTTTTATGGAACGAAATTTTATCATAATTTTTGGAAAGCTTGAACTTTTTTAGACAGATTGGTTTTTTTTTTTTAATAAAAACAATAGAAACACACTAAGCTTAAGAAAAGATAATTATAATGACGACATTGTGATGTTTCATATCAATGGTCGCGAACAAAGCAGAAATGTAGTAGATTTTTATAGACTTTTTTTTCTATAAATAGTTTTAATAATATAGACTTTAGAACACATAGTGAATGTAGGAGCATAGCCTTGTCACCCATCTGGAAACTAACAACACACTATCGTAATAATATATATAACAATAATATATAACATCAATAATTATCAGTATTTAGCTAACCAAAAAACTCCCTTTATGAATAATTGTTTAATATTCAAAGTTATTTTACTGTTTGAAACTATTTCTATGTTACTATCATATATTAAATATTTTATGTGTTGATAATTAAAATATATTTTTATATTTTTTAGAGCGGTGTGGCTGCTTGTTTAACTTTTATAGATTTCTTTAGTATTAATGCCCAACGAGCAGCATTAGCTATAACTGCAAACTGTTGTCAAAACATGAATTCTGATGAATTTCATTATGTTTTCAAGTCATTACCATTACTATCAAGTCGTGTAACTCAACAGGTACGTGATATATTTTTATACATTTATTAAACAATAAATATTTATTATTTCTTGTTTAAAATTAGGATAAGAAAAGTGTTGAAAGTGTTTGTTTAGCATTTAGTCGTCTTGTTGATAATTTTCAATCAGATCCTAATAAATTAAAAGAAATAGCAAGTGATGAATTATTGACTAATCTTCAGCAATTGGTAATATATTCATATAATAGTATATAATTATACTGTTAAATATATTGTATTTTTATTTAATTATTTAGGTTGTGGCATCCCCTCCTGTTATGAGTACAAGTACATTTATTATGGTGTTAAGAATGATGTCAACATTATGTACAAATTGTCCAGAATTGTCTCAAACTTTACTAAAGAATAATATAGCTGAAACTCTAGGATACCTTCTTACTGGATCTCCTTCTCCAGAACTTACCCAGGTGTGTTGAAATTATTCTGTATTGTATTACTCAATTTTTAAATTTTTTTAACATTATAAAACCTTTTCTTTTATATATTATTATTAATAACTAACAAAATTGTATGTATTATGAATATCATAGTATAACTAAATATTTAATACCTAATACCTAATAATAACTTTTATAGATTGAATTGCTTCCAAGAAGTTCACAAGAGTTATATGAAGTTACATGTCTTATTGGTGAACTTATGCCCCGATTGCCTGCTGATGGACTATTTTCAGTTGATAGCCTTCTTGATAGACATGGTATTTATGGTGCTATTCCAGGATCAGGATCTTCTCAACAGATGGTACAATGGCAATGGAGAGATGATAGATCTATGTGGCATTCTTATACATCATTAGACTCAAGAATAATTGAGGTATAAATATAATTTTTAAAATTTTAACTTTGCCAAAGAGATTTCCCTGTATTTAAATATAAATATTTTTTTGTCTTAATAAACCTTATCCTTTATACTACTATGATATATTAAATATTTGGTCAATAAAAATAACTTAATTATGTGTATAAAATAAATTGTTGATTTTTGAATTAATTATGACTAATTTTTATTGTTTTTATGTTTAGGTTGCACATCAAGCTGGTGAAGATGAAGTTTTATTAAGTCATGCGCCTTACACAATTGATCTCCATTCTATGAGACAAATTAATGAAGATACTGGTACTACACGACCTATTCAACGTAAAGTCTTGACAGTTCCATCTTCTTTTAATAATAATCATCAAACACGATCCACGTCAGATGTAGATACAGTAGTTGCATCATTTGGGTAATACATTTATATTAAATTTTTTTTTTTTTTTTTAATTTAAGTTATAACTTAAATATTACAGTACTATATCAAAATTAACTCAAATTATTGAAAACTATGTAACAGTCACTATTTAAAGAAAATAGTTATAATAGATATATATTTAGTAATAGAGATATTAAATAAAATAACTTCTATTTTATTTCTATTAATGTTTTTTTTATAAACAAAAATATTTTTAATATTTAACTGTCTTTTTTTCAGTGAAAATGAACTTGCTGGATCATTTGTACGATTACTTTTCAGTATATTATATGAAGTTTATAACAGTTCAGCTGGTCCTTTAGTCAGATATAAATGTCTTCGTGCATTATTGCGTATGGTTTATTACTCTCCTGCAGAATTACTTTTGGTAATTGAAATACATTTCATTTTAGGTGCTTTGTAAAAAAAAAAAATTACAAATATATCACTAAAATAAATATATAAAACTACCTTTATTCTAATTTATATTGGTGAAAAGCTATTTTGTATTTTTGAGTTGGCCCCTTTCATTATGTGTTGTACCTAGAGTATTACAGCCATTATAAAAAAAAAAAAAAAGCTTTGTCAAAGTAAAATATCTTGAAATTCCTATTTATTATTTTCTCTCGTTTAATGTATATACATGTAACTGTCCATCTTCATTAAAAAATGAACGTAAACTGTAAATAAGGATAAAAGTAGTTTTGAAAATTATATTCATCATGATTGACTTTTAATTGATATTTAATTAAAATTATATTATTTAAAATTACTTAATGTAATTTTAGAAGGTAGTAACACAAAAACAAATGGTTGCTAGTCATATTGCTGGTATGATGGCTTCTCAAGATTTACGTATTGTTGTTGGTGCAATGCAAATGGCTGAAATTTTAATGCAAAAACTACCACAAATTTTTGAAACTCATTTCATTCGTGAGGGGGTTATGCATCAAGTTAAACAATTAGCTGAAACTGATATTCAAACATCCGTTAAGTCTTCACCATCTACTTCAAATGTTGGAGTAGAAGGATTACCAGGACCATCTAGAAATACTCCAAATGGTATTATTTAAAAAATTGTATTTTATTGAGTACTCTTAGTTTAAATAATAATAAATATACTTTAAGATAATACTTTTATTCAATGTCCTACTCCTGTCGAAAATGGAAATAATGAAGTTCAATCAACAACTAATAGCTCTGTAGTTGAAACAAATATTATTCCAGAGGCAACTGTTTTAGCCCAAGTAGCTCAACGTTGTTCCACAAAGTATGTAGTTTATTTTATGGCAAACATTTTACCAGCATAAATTTGGGCACAACTACAACAATTATTTAAAAATAAAAATAAAATTATATTAAATCTATGGCAATTATATCTATGATCTTGTTTCATACATTTTTAATTGTATTTAAATTTTAGTCGGATGTCTGAAGTATTTAAGCGAAATAAAAAACACAACAAAAGGCAATCTGCTAGTGCTGCTCGTAAAAAAGGAAATCAAGATAATGAAATAAATGAGGTGCAAACTATGGCTAGCAGTAGTAGCAGTGGTAATAATCTTTCACCAACTTCTGCTCAAGCAATAACATTGCATGAATTTTTTATATCCAAAGGTAATAATCATAACATTTTCTTTATGATGATTTTATTGATGATAAATTAATAAATAATGTTAAAATTAATACTAAAAATAGTTTAATGTATGTTTAAATATTATTTTAAGGAGGCAATACTGCTTCACGAGCAGTTGGTGTTAATTCGTCGTCAAGAACTCGTTTTTCTAATTCTAATTTTAAATCGACTTCAGGGTTTTTAGCATCTTTGAATCCAGCACGACTCCTACGAAGTACTGAGAGAGCTTTTTCTAAAGTATGTGTTCTAAAGTTACTATAATTATATATTTATTTTTGTATTAATTAGTAATTTCTTAGGAATTAAACAAAAATGCCAATATGTGCAACAATGGATCAACTTCTACCTCTGCAGCATCAAATATCAGTACAGTAAACAAAGAAAAGGCTAAATTGTGGGTAAAAGAAAGGGCACAACATTTTTTGAATACTTACGATAAGAGTATAAAAGATAAAGAGACGTATAATGAAAACGAATTATCTGAAAGTATTTTAGTGCGTCTTACAAAAGCTATTAGTAAATTACAAAATGAGGTAAATAGTTGTTAAAAAATTCAACTGAAAATTAAAATGATATTACGATTTTATTTATGTTATTAATTAGGAAAATGAAGACATAAATGCTCTTTTAGAATTAAGAGAAATTGTTCTCACTTCAGATATATCACCATTTGAAGTAAATCATAGTGGATTAATTAAATCACTTACTGTATATTTAACTGAAATAACATTAGGATTGGATCATAGAAGTGAACGTTTACGAAAGTTTTTACATGTATTTGCTGGATATCCAGTAAGTACCTGTGTAAATTACAAAAAAAAAATATTTTAGCTTAAGAAATTATAAAAATATTCATAGTTTATAAATTAACTTACATATATTTATTTTATATATTTTTAGCTTAATCTTTTTGATCCATTTACACCAAAAACTCATGATAACAAGGATACTCGGCCATTTTCTGCATTGATTGGAAAATTAGGAAGTTGTGTCTCACAGTTGGAACAATTTCCAGTAAAAGTTCATGATTTATCAACTGGTGCTGGAAATAGTGCTTTAAAGTTCTTCAATACACATCAACTTAAAGTAAGCATTCATTTTTAAAATATTATTTAAAAACTTCTTTATCTATCTATTGATTTCAGTGCTTATTACAAAGACATCCTGACTGTAATAATTTGAAACAATGGAAGAGTGGAACTGTTAAAATTGATCCATTAGCTTTGGTTCAAGCAATTGAAAGATATTTAGTGGTAAGAGGATTTGCTCATATCAGAGAAAATAATCAATCTAAATCAGATGATGACAATTCCGATGATGATATTGATGATACTTTGGTAAGTTTATTTTATTTTATTTTATTTTAATATATATTATTTAATTATATATCTATGGTTTGTCTTTCAAACTAAGAAGAATTATATTTTGCTGCCATAGATTTTACTCTTCATACTATTTTTTCTTTTGTCATATTTTCAGGCGGCAGTTGTAATTGGTCAAGGTTCTGCTAGACATAAACTACAATTTCTTATAGGAAACCATGTACTTCCTTATAATATGACTGTATACCAGGCTGTTCGTCAATATGCTACAAGTAGTGATATGGAGACTGATAATGAATCTGAACTTCCATTGGGATCTGCTGGAATATGGGTGCAAACACATACAATATATTACAGGTAAAAAATAAATTGAAGAAAGTTATTTTGATGGATAACTTAAATATATTTAAATTTTATTAATCTAAAATTAATTTTCATAATTTTTGAAATTGTTGAATTTATGAAAAATTGCTCTTATTTTTCCAATTTTTATGTAAATAAAAGTACATATACAATTTAAAAAAACAGTAACCTCAACTAATACTATAATATGAAGTCATTTTTTATCTATTCAGTTTTTAAAAACATAATTATTTTAGATTCTGAATGAAATTAAAAAAGCTATCAGTTTTACCATGATTTGGTTTTTGTTGTGTGTTAATATCTACTTATACACGATTTCGACAAAAAAGATTGCTCCAATCATCACATTTCTGAAGGGTGATAGGTTTTTAATAGAAATTTTGTCTAGTTGGTACATTTAGAAGAGGTTACTAATAAGAAGTATTAAAAAGAAAAGTTAAATATTTATGTATGACCCATCTATTTTTAACAAAATTTAATTTTTGATTTTGTTTTTATCAAAAAAAAATAGCAAAAAGTAGTAATTTTTTCAAAATACTCATATTATAACTTTTTACAGTTTATATTATAATTTTAAAGATTATGATTTTTGATTTTTTTTAGATATTTGAACACTTCATGTTTTCATACCTTTTTTTTTTTTGTAAATTATTGATTAAATTATTTTGGTTTGACAATAAGTCTTGAAAATTTAAAGCAAAATTCCTTGTACGTAACTCTTACTGGTTAATAAATCAAAATTTAGTTTCATTACAAAGAAATAAAAAAAACATAAATGATTGAATTGTAAATTTTGACAACAATTATGTTAGTTTACAATACTTATGTAGTTCAAAATTAATAAATTATCCATTTATTACTTAAGGTTTGAAAATTGGATCCAAGATTTTCTTTATAATTTTAACACAAAGTTGCTTAATATTTTTTATCGGCATTAAAATTGAAATTATGTTAAAATAAGGTATTTGGTTATTCTTCATGTATTAATCATAAATTTACTGAGGAATTATAAGTTTTTAATAGTCATTTAATCTCTATATGTTGTTTTTTTTCTCCAAAAGTTCTAACATTATAAATTGAACCTACTTCTTTTGCTCAGTACATTGTTCAATATTACATATTTTTAAAGCTTAAAATATCAATACTGCAATATCATTTACTTATTTTTATAACTGATTATTATTGTGTTAAGGCCTTTACCTGAAGATACAGAAGTACATTCGCCTAAACCTACTACTAGCAGTTCTGGTAAAAAAGGAAGATCTGGAACTCATAAAAGTGCCTCTAAAAGAGTGAAAGATGAATTATGGTTAGGTAAGTTATCTTTTATATTATTATTTTTATTTTTTTATTATCACTAGTTAAAATAATTATTACTAATAAATTAATACAACAATTTTATTTTTTATAGAAGGGATAGTATCTCCTGTTAAGTCTTCACTTGAATCATATCTTCAACTTTCATTGCCAGATTATGTTCAGATTCAAGATCCTTCATTACCTGTACTCAGCCTTTTACGAGTTTTGAATGCCATTAATAGGTATTGGACATCACTTTACCCAACACAACTTCATAATAATTCTATCATACCATTTAACGTAAGTAAACAAATAATCTATAAATAAATTATAGAAAATTAAATAAGAAAAAAGTGAATAAGGCAACTAGTCTTACTACTAAGGCTAACTAGATGTAATTCAAATTAATATATAATTTATCAATTTATTGGAGATAAATTTATGTATATTTGAAGAATATGAATGGCCAACCACTAATAATTAAAAGTGATCAAATGAAGAAAATATATACTTATATTATGTTTGTATTAAATTGTTGTAGGAATTTATAAATGTTAAAATATCAGCAAAAGCAAATAGACAACTTCAAGATCCATTAGTTATTATGACCGGAAATCTACCGGGTTGGCTTCAACAGGTTGCTTCTGCATGGTAAATTAAATAAAGCAGTATAAATCAATTATTTCTTCCATATGATTCATGTATATTTTTTATGATTTTCAGTGCATTCTTATTGCCATTTGAAACTCGACAATTGTTATTTTATGCAACTGTATTTGACCGAGACCGTGCATTACAACGTTTACTTGACTCCAGTTCAGAGCTTCAAGGTGCTGGAAATAATACCAATGGTGACATGCATGAACGTGTTGCACCACGTCTAGATAGACGTAAACGTTCGGTTACTAGGTCTAACATACTTTCTCAAGCTGAAGCTGTGATATCTGAAAATGCTACTTCACGAGCTTTATTAGAAATTCAATACGAAGATGAAGTAATCATTATTTGACATAATTCGTTATAAAAATGTTATGAAATAATTTTTTTCAGGTGGGAACTGGTTTGGGCCCAACTTTAGAATTTTATGCATTAGTTTCAAAAGAGCTACAAAAAGCTGATCTCGAATTATGGAACAATCCTTCTAAGTCTGAATCTGATTCTTATGTTTATTCACCTGAAGGACTTTATCCTAATCCAATATCACGAACCACAAAACTTCCACATCAAGTAAAAATGAAATCAAAATTCAAGTTCTTAGGAAAGTTTATGGCTAAAGCTATTATGGATTCAAGACTAGTAAGATAATATAAATTTAAGTGACTTAATTTATTTATAATTTATTAATTTTAATCTTTCAGCTGGATTTACCATTAAGTATTACCATGTATCGTTGGTTATTAGGCCATGAAAATTATCTTTCTCTTAGTGATCTTTCATACATAGTTCCTGATGTGTACAAAACTTTATCAAAACTTCATCAATTAGTACTCGAAAGAAAAGTAATCCTCATTGATGAATCTCTAAATGATGAAGAAAAAACTGAAAAGGTTATTTTACTATAAATAATTATAGAAAATAATACTGCTAAATATATTCTATTATTACTATTATTATGACTTCTAAATTTTATATTTAATTTCAGATTAGTAAAATTACTTTAGATGGATGTTCAGTTGAAGACTTAGGACTTAATTTTACATTACCTGGGCATTCCACTGTTGAACTACGTAAGAACGGTCAAAATATAGATGTTACAATTGAAAATTTGGATAAATATATAGAGGTAAATGTTTGAAAATAGTTATTTAAAAATTATATTTTGTATATATGAGTATATTGAAAATTTTTATAATTTCAGCTGGTTTGTCATTGGTTTTTGCGTGAAGGTGTTTCAAAGCAAATGGAAAGTCTTAGAGAAGGTTTTGAAAGTGTATTTTCTCTTAAACGCCTTGGACAACTATTCTATCCAGAAGAGTTAGAAGCAATATTTTGTGGGCATATAAATACAACTAAAAACTGGGACGTGCGTATGTTGTCAGAATCTTGCCGTTTAGATCATGGATATACAGCAAATTCTAGAGCTATTGGTTTTCTCTTTCAAATATTATCTGAATATGATAATCAGCAACAAAGAGACTTTTTGAGATTTGTTACTGGAGCTCCTCGTCTTCCTGTTGGAGGTAAATATTTCCTTTAATTATAATATTGAATTTTCTCTTTCTTTCAGTTTTATATTTGTTCTCGTTTTATACTTTCATGATAAATTTAATTTTTATTTAAATATTTAGTTTATTTAATCTATTCTTATTTGATGACTAGGTTTCAAATCACTTTCTCCAGCATTGACAATTGTTAGACGAATATTTGAAGATAATGATAATCCAGATGATTATTTACCATCCGTCATGACATGTGTGAACTACCTCAAACTACCAGATTACTCCAGTATAGATATAATGAGGAAAAAATTACAAATGGCTGCTTCTGAGGGACAACATTCCTTCCATCTTTCATAATTGCAGTTTACTTTGTAATACAGTATCACTTATCAATAATTTTCTTTTTAAATATAAACCATTTTACAAGATATATTCCAATAATATTAATTATATTGTATCTTATTGTATCTACTTTTAATGGCAAAAACTGGTTGAAACCTAATAATTATAAACAATTAAACAAATAAAAGGCAATATATATAAGTATATATAGCTATATGTTAAGTTAATATAAATTATTGTCATGTAAATACTGTGCAATACATAAAAATTCAAAAAATTGTTTTAGATTTAATTTTTATTTTATGATCACTGAATTTGTTTTATTTAAAATATTAATTTAAAACTAAGATCTCTGACATGTTTCTTTGTTCTTGGGTGTGTGATAATTAATATATATATATATATATATATATATATATATATACTTTTTTTAGCATGTGTAACATTTGCATACCGTTTAGTGTCTTTATAATTTAGCATGTATAAATATATTCAACAAATTTGTTTTTTCTCTTGAGGAAATAATTAGAACATTATATTGTTTACAAACATTTATCAAATTCCAAATAAAAATTATCTTATAATAAACACATTTATTTTTATTTTTAATGGATGCTTATCAATTATAATTAAATTATTACACATGAGAAACATAAGTTAAATATTGAAGCTTCTACAAACAAGTTTTAACAGATAATAAAATGACTCAATCCATCTTGTTAAGAAAAATGAATGTAGTGTATTAGTATATAAGTTGAAAAACTAAAATATAAACTAATATAATAAGTTCAATTCATTTCTGAAAAAAAAATACATTAATAGTGTATAACAACAATGAATTTTGTAATAAAAAATATTTAAAATCATATTTAAGATAAACAAAAATTACCATTTACTATTATTTGTCAAGCTTTAGTGGATGAAAATTCATTGAAGCACTGTTAATACAAAATCTTCGTCCTGTTGGTGGTGGCCCGTCTTTAAAAACATGTCCTAAATGTGCATCACATTTTCCACACTGCACTTCAGTTCTTATCATACCTGGGTTGGTAATCAATAACAGCAAATTTGCTCCAACTGTATCCATCACCGTCATAAGCGACAGCATTGTTTTGTATAATTGAGGAACCAAGGAAACGCCGCCAACACCACAAATTATTACCATGGTAAAAAAAAAATTTACTAATCTAATCCAAAGCATTAATACACTGAAAAACGACTGTTTGAAACAACGGTATAATCAAAATTTAATGAAAATCAGTAGTTATGAAAGTAATTTTTTATTGTAGTTAAATGATAAAATTAACTACTAAAGAAACAAAAACATATAAAAAAAACCCAAGCTTTGTGTAGATTAATATCAATCAAGAATACAACTATTTAAATATAAATTAATCAATTTGTACTGTTATAAGAATTTTGCAATAGAAAATGCATGAATATTTCTTTTACATACTTCTATGTAAATAATTTGCATGAGCCCTAATGAAAAATGTATCATTAGATATTTAATGTAAATGAAAAGGTTTTTAATTAAAAATATGGTATAAGAAAAAAAAAAATTATATATATTTTTAGTTTCTGATGAAATCAAATTATTCGCTTTAATAAAATCATAATTTTTTATGAATATATTTATCACTAGGATCCATTTTTAATAATTTACATTTTTTTTTTTTTAAGTTTGTATTTAATAGAATCCTAACTCTTTTTAAGATTGCTATTTATTCTTTTGATTAAACTTAGAGTAAAGATATTACTTTTTTATAATATGTAGTGCTATTTTAAATTTAGTCTAGGAAAAATATTTTCTTATTGACCCTGAGAATAAAAATTATATACTTAAAAATATTTTGACTGTACACTGAATCAAAAAAATTAAAATGTTCAACATATATTACACTTTATATTTAACAGTAATCATAATTAGTAATGTAATAAATAATATTTTAAAAGAAAATAGCTACAATGTAAATTATTTCTATTAGGCATTATACTTAACATAACTCGTTTAAATAAGAAATGTTTAATTGTTGATTTTTATTTAAAATCATTTAATAATACATACAAAAAAAAAAAAAAAATTTTAACAAAATATAATACTTATATAAAACTTCTTGTTTAGTTTTAAATCATGTTCTCATATTATACCATATTTGTTTATTAACTAAAATACTAAGAAATAAAAAAAAATGAACAAAAGAAAATCTTATAGAGATATTTTCTCATGTTTAGAACAGCAATACATTATTTAGCATATTTAAATAAAAATATTTGCATTGACCAACACCAAGCTATATATAATTCACTCTTTTTATAGTAAATTAATATTAAGGAAATTTAAAATTATTTTTAAAACAAGCAATTGTAACTAGATGAAGTAAAAATGTTATTAACTAAGCAGCGTTTCCAATCTCCTGACAATACACAAAATAATCTACCAACACCATAGACGTTTTTACAATCCTTTCAACATACCATTTGAAGTATCAGAAGTTAATTTCACTTTTTTTTGATCAATAACATCATTGAACGCAGGCCAACCACAACCGGAATCAAATTTTGTTTCTGAAGTAAATAATGCTTCATTGCAAACTACACAAGTGTACAAACCAGCTTCAGTAGTTTTGTTATATTTTCCAGTAAAAGCTCTGAAATTAAATGATGCAATTTAAATACTGTGTATACACTTTCAAATGAATTTAAATAGTTACCTTTCTGTTCCTTTTTCTTGCGTAACATGATACTGAATAGGTGACAAACGTTTTTTTAAATCGGCCTTGTAATCAACAGACTCGTCTTGACTCATGGTTCTTACAATAATGTTGATTTTATTACTAAACCGTGCGATTTTAGTTAAATTCAATAATCTATTATGAAAATACATTCATAAATATCTAGGTCAACAATTATTTTTCATCAATGATTCATTAGTTTATTAATACAACACTATTCTTGCACTGGTCACTATATATAAATATAATACAGTGATGAATAGTGATTATAGTGGGTGGTCATATGGATATATGGTATTCTGATGGAATATTATCTACTTATCTATAGCTTATCATATCCAAAATGTTGTGGTAATCATGAAGACATAGAGAGAGGACAACGAACATAGCCGGCTGAAGCGAAAATATGTGATTTGTATTTATTGCATCCCAATGTATATTGGTTATACTAATCTATGTTGCATCCGCTAGAATGAGCTCCGCACAGTGGTTTTTGCATATTTACTAAATATTATTTAGTATGATCGTATTTATTGTATTTGAGAGCGTAATAATTAAACTGAACAAAATATATAACTTGGTTTTTTTGTCAAACATAAATTATTTTTTATAAATACAATAACCAATAATTATAAACTCTTAACAAATCACATTAATGATTATAAAAAAATTACATAATTTTTAAATTATTGTACTAATTTTATATTCAAATATTCAAATTTTAATTTAATTTTTTTTATTATTGTTTTTAGAACGTGGATTTGTTTCAACCTAAATAAAATTTCCTTCGAGAATAATGGACCTCTTTCCATTTTTTTTTTTTTTTTTTTAATTTTATACCTACATTAAATGTTTAATAGTAAAAATTTCATAAGTTTTTATCTGATATTAAATATATTAAAACTTTTAAATTATATGACTAAAATTCACTAATAATTATAAACGTCTGTTAAATTACATTAAAAAAAAAAAAAACCAAAGCAATTTTAAATTATTACACTCATTTAATATTCAAATATTCAAATTTTAATTAAATTGTTTGGATGTTTCTTTTTAGAACGTGGATTTTTTTTTATTTCAACCTAAATCATGTTTCCTTCGGGAGCTATGAACCCCTTTTCATTTTTTTTTTCAGTTATTTCAAAATCTTACTTCTCTAAATAATCACAATAATATGAATTTAAATAAAATAAAATATGTTCCATAATAAAATAAAACACTAACAACATACAAGATGAAATTAACTTTTTAAAACCTAACATTGTATTAAAATAACAAATTAAACCCTTCAAATCATAATTTTATCTTAAATAATTGTATAAATTTATTACATTTCAATTAAAAATGATAAAATTTGTTTCTTTTAAAATTGTAAAAAATCTTATTTTTTAAAATAATTTCTTTAGTATAATTTAGTTCTTAGTACATCTTAAAACGAGGTCATATTTAATAATATGACATTCAAAATGGTATTATTATTATGTCCCGTATTTAATGAAAATTATTTTGTTACTCAATTTTTAATATATACTTAATCATAGTAAAATCGAAATATTTTACTAAAATATGTAAATATTAATAAATAATAATCAAATATCACTAAAAAAAATCTATGGGAGGTTGAAAATCCCTTACACCCTCCCCGTAACTACGCCACTGCGAAGAATTATCGACAATACAGAGTACAGACTACAGATTATTCGAGTTATTCAAAGGTATCGATTATTCGATAGTTTTAATTATTTAGTCTTGCATAATATTATTCGATAGTATATATGAATAATCAAATAATAATCGATAGTACAAATTATTCAAGACCGCCCATCACTAAAAAATACTTTCAAAAATCAAACAGTGTTACTAGACTCATTATCAGACTTTTCGCTTTCTAAACATGAATCACAAACTAATTTCATATGATTTTTATACATAAATATATCACACTTATAGCAGGAACTTTTGGTTTTTTTCATCTTTATTTCTTTGATATATAGTACATCTTCCAAATGAGCGATTTCCTGATGAATATTCATTTTAATCTTGATAATAATTGAAATTAAGTACTTATGTGGACATTAGAAATTTGCACGGGCCGGACTAGCCCGACTCAGCCCATACCCAACCTGGCCCGTACCGGGCTTCGACCGAGCCGTGCCATAATATAAATATTGCGGATTGATTATGGGTAGAATAGTAGTATTTCTTTCTTTGGAATAGTCCGATAAAAATAAAACTACGTAAATATAACATAAGAGTACAATTCTAATGCCGATTATTGGCGTTTAAGGAAATTTTTCCAAACTGATGGAGTAGGTTTGTTATAAATCATAATAAAAATATGTCTATATTATTAGCAGAGTTGGGCAAAATTTTATCTAGATAATTATTCGAATAAAAATGTATTCGAATAATTTGGAAACAATATTATTGGAACAATTTGTGATCATAATATTATTTGAATAATTTTTAAACATAGTTATCCTATCTTAGTATTTATAGTAGTAGTTAGTACTAATTACTAAATATGTGTTATGAAATAATGATTATAATTCTTCTAGTTTGTCACTAGTACTAGTTTACTCCAGTTTCTGTACTATATTATATAGTCTCAGATATTTTGATACTATGTACTAACTACGTATGTTCAATGTTGTATTTCATATTTATAAGTTCAAATATATAGAGTTCTACACAAAAATATAAAGATACTAGATAGATATGGGCATATAGCTATAAAAATTATTTGTTTGAATTTATGATATCTAAACATCGAAGACGTGGTTTTATCAAATGTTCATCAAATGTAGATTGTCTAATGATTACTTGTGTCGTATTTGTCGCGTTAGTTCTGTGCGCGAGTCCGCGAGTGTATGAATGCGTGATAGGGTGTTTAATTTAATCTAAAATATCAATTTATTTCAATATGAATTCTGTGAATATACGTAGCGAAGATTCAAAAATTTCAACACAAGAGTCATCCGTGGATAATATTGAAGTGTCTGAAATGACGGACTTTAACTGTATGTCTATTTTAGATGGTAAGTTTTTTAAAATAAAATCCAAAATGGACAAAAATAAAGTAATTGCTACTTGCGTAACACGTGAGAGCCACACTATGTTGAAATAAAAGGGTCATTTTTTATATTTATTTTCATTTTTGCTAAAATAATTAATTGACATTTTTGTTATTATTATTTACTACTATTTATGATTGTTGTAATATTTTTACGAAATATGATTATAAAATATTATTTATATTCAAATATTATTATATACATATTTCTTTACTTTCTTATATAAATCAATATTTGTTTTTTATTATACAATATTTTTAAATTTTTCCAAAAATTATTCAAATAATTTTTTATTCGGATAATTGTGTTTGAAAATTAGTCGAATAATAATTTATTCGAATAATTGAGTTTGAAAATTAGTTGAATAATAATTTATTCGAATTATTATGTTTGAAAATTAGTCGAATAATAATTTATTCGAATAATTGTATTTGAAAATTTGACGAATAATAATTTATTCGAATAATTGTATTTGTAAATTAGTCGAATAATAATTTATTCGAATAAAATGTTATCTAAATAATCATCTAAATAAAATTTTATTCGAATAACGCCCAACTTTGATTATTAGTGTATGTGATATTTTTAATAATAGATCACTGATGAAAACAAATAATAAATATTGCAAACGGGCCCGGTCAGGTTGGACTTCAAAAAAAAAATTGAGGACCGGACTTAAGTGGGAGCATTTTGTAAGTTTAAGTTTCGGGCCGGATTGAGCCGAAAAAAAATGGCCCGTACAGATCTTTAGTGGACATCGACAGTATTGTCATTGATTAAACACTTAATCAATGGTATTGTTTATCTATCTTATAGAGTAATTACTCTATGATCTATCTCGATAAATATACTATATGGAAGTACTAAAATAGATAAGAATATATTGGAGCGCGGACTCGGCTGTAAAAACGAGCCGTCGTGTTTCACGTTACTTCCCTTCCAGTATGACAAAAATGATTATATATTATCTATGGGCTACCACCAATCTAATCATATTTATGCAGTTTAACGTTTACTTCTTCTGTTAATAGAGGAAAACTGTTTATTGTTTCAAAGGCAATTTCTTTGATTGTTCAACATTTAGAAAAAGCATTTCAAATAATTGTTGTAAAGGAAAAAAAATGTATCCTTAAATATTTTTGAGTGTGCTAAGAAAAGCATACTAACTAAAAGAAAAAATTTTTTTTTTACTGAATTCCACCCTATCAATGTTGATATTGGTACTCCTAGTCATAAATATACATTATTTAAAGCTATTCGTAGAAATTTTATTAATATAAGAATACGTCACTATCAAAAAAAGTACAATATTCGTGAAGTACAAAAAAATAAATCTTCATTAAGGATTAAACTTTCCAAATTAGTTTTATTTAAACATTTATAAATGTTTTTATGTATTAATGAACATTATGTTTGTATTAATTACCTAACTTTATATATATATATATGAACAACATTTTTATTAATGAAAAAATAAAAATGTTGTTCAAATAATTTTTTATTTTTATTTTTGATAGATATAAATTTGGGGTCCACATTAACACAAAAAAGTTGAAACAAAAATTAACGCAATACGACCATTTATCCCAAAGTTATGTTAAGTTAAAGTGTGTAGTCTTTCAATGTTATTTGTATGGAAGTTCAAATTCGTGCCATACGGTGGTGACCCCCGGCAGTTGAGACGGCCAATTTTTCGCAACATATGAACATGGACAAGTCCCATAGAGTAATATGATGAGTCTGTGTTCCAGTATATTCTTATTTATCTCAGTGTATGGAAGGTATCATCCACAGATATGTATAATAACATGCTATTATACATATCTGTGGTACCATCACATATTATATAAAAGTTTAATATAATCTGTGGTACTATGTGGCTAAATTTATGATCACTCTTATAGCAGCGTAGTGTTCAGAACACCCTGGCTACGTAAATAAAGATTAAAAGTATAAAAATCATAATAATGTAATTAAAATAAAATTATTAAAATTTACCAATAAAAATAAACTCTTAATAAGTAAAATAAAATCTAGGAAATATAACATAAAAATGTAATAATTTTTATAGTTTTATATTAGCTTATTACCATTGTCTAATTATTATTATTTTTAATGGATTTTCATTATTATTATTTTAATTTTAGTTCTTACAGTAAAATACTTAAAATGTAAACCTGATATTGCTCACACAAAAAGGGTTATTACCCGTTTATAATAAATAAATAAATAAAATTATTTACATATTGTTGTAGTGTTGGTAGCGCTGGTATCCGCATACAACAGTTTTATTTCTCCATGAATTATTTGGTGCTATAGCCTACAATAAAATAAACTGACTAAAGGCTTCACGGCTTCTCTGACTCCTACTTGGAACTATGAGTTTCCCGTATTCGCGAATCACGTTAATCCTTATTGTTTAATGTGTCATGTGATTTGTTCGATGAGAATCGATTTATTTTTTTTATGAGTTATGATGTGTTTTTCTAATGCGGTTGTACTGAACGTCATTTTAAGCGAATATTACATTTAAGTGTAACATCAACAAAGTTCGTGAATATTTATTCATAGTTATTAAATGTAATCAATAGTTTGAAAAAACAACTCGTTTATACTATTACCGTTGTTTTGAAGCCGAAGCATTATGTATACAGTAAGTTCTTTCTCATATCTGAATATCTTGGAAAACTACAAAAAACAATTAAATTAATGTTAATATTTTTGTTATGTTTGTGTATCAAAGTACGCATTTGATTTATTCAATTTACAAGCCAGTTTTCTAGTTATTTAACATTAAAATCGTGCATGTCTGAAGTATATATTCATTCAATAAGATTTTAAGTTTTTAAACAAAAATTCACCATTAATGAACCATTTTCAGTTACATTTTTAAAAAAAAACTAAATATATTAATTATTCTTATAGTTGAGGACATTTTGAATCTATATTGATAATATTTTGACAATGGATTTAAGCAAAATATTAATACTTCAACCCAATTATAAACCCCAGATTAAATAATAACTCAAAAAAACACACGTGCAATATATTATAAGTTATAGATATAATTATTATTAGTAATGTTAAAAGTAAATATAAGTTTAAGATAAAAAAATTTTCAAAAAGTTATTTCTTAATTAATTTCAAATGATTTTGGGGACCATACTTTTTTTTTTTTACATTTATTAAAATCTGCAAAATATATGTTCATTACTGTGTTCATGGTTACTATCCATGCTCATTTTTCCGAATATATGTATGTATCATAAGTAAAGACAGTATGCACATAAGCATCATATTGGACAAATGTTAATGATGATAAATAATATTAGTTAAATGATTAATGGGTGGATTATATTATAAATAGTCTTATGGAAGTAGTTGATATCATCCTAAATTTGAAAATGTTGACTTCCATGATGTCATGTATTTAAGAAAATTAATTTCTGATTCAAAAAAAGAAAGACTGATTACTTTTAATGTTAAGTCCTGATAATTTTAAAATATAGCAATATATATTTATATAATATAGGTACTTGAAATAAAATGTAATAATAAATAAAAAAATTAATAACAAAAATACTCAATTAACCGTGGTGTTCAACACTACCATTATTCAACACTACTCTACCATTATTCCAGATAATCGATGTTCTACTATACATGAATTTATGAGAAAATATATAAAACAAAGCTAATATATTTAGAACTATTTAAAATAAATTCAGTTGTTGTCATGGTTGATGAATCTTATAAAATTCTGAAAATCAAAGCTTAAGGATTGCAACTTGTATTTTAGATTCATGCTATTGAATATAAAACTAACATTATTTAACATATCAAAAAAAAATTTAAAAATTTAAACTCTGTAATAATATCTAACTGTCAATTTATTTTTCATTAATTTGGATATTAAATTTATTCTATGGCATATTATTTAATTTTAAGGGCACTAGTGCAGATCAGGATACTAGGTTCAGTGACAAGGAAAAAAAACTATTGAAACAAATGAAATTTAGTGAATCTTTAAATGCTAAGGTATTATAAAAATATATTATTTTAAATTATATATATTTTCCAAGTAACTATCTTAAAATATTTTAACAATTATACTTTTTAAGGTTGATATGAACAAAGTAAAACTAGATACTATCAAACCATGGATTGGTAAAAGAATAACTGAATTACTAGGAATGGAAGATGATGTTGTTGAAGAATTTGTAAACAATCAGTTGGAAGCAGATACTGTATAATGAGATAAATTGATTATTCTATAACTTAAATTCAATTCTAATTGAAAAATAATTTTGATTTAGTGCCCTGATCCAAGAAAAATGCAAATCAATCTTACTGGTTTTTTAAATGGAAAAAATGCTAGGGTATTTATGACAGACTTGTGGGAATTACTTATATCTGCACAAGAATCACCATCTGGTATTCCTCCTAAATTTATAGAGCAAAAGAAAGAAGAACTTAAAAAGAAAATGGTAAAAATAGTTTGTTTAGTAAATTGTTGCATCTGTATTTTTTCTTTATAAATAATTTATATCTAGTTATTTGATTATTATATAATATTTACATTTTGTGATAAATTAATGTTACTATAATAAATTATAGGAAGATCAAGAGCGTGTTGGAGATATGCTTAAGAAGTTTGAAAAAGACAAAGAAGATAGAGAAAAAGAAAGGAAGAAAGAACGAGAAAGGTAATATTTTTACTTTATGTTTAGTAACTGTCAATACTTGTAAAAAAAAAAATGTTCAAACATAAAAACCTTTTAAAAATATGACTAATTCAATTAATTAATATTAGGGTGCATAAATTAATCTTAAATTAGTATATAGTTCAAAGAACATAAATCATTGGATGGAAATATATAACATCCAATTTCCTACTTAGAATGTATGGTGCATAAATCATTTCATTCTATTTTATAATTCATAATTATTTTTAGTATAAAAAATATCTAATAATTAATATATTTTTTATTTATATAGTTTAAAATTTATTGTAGCTCTAATATTTTATGGCTATGCTAAATAGTAATACATTTTTTAATTCTGCATTTTTTTGAATTTTAAGTATAATAACTTTTGTCTTTAAGTCCAAATGTTGTTGAATCTGGTAAAATAATGGAAATAAATAATGAAAAATACATATAAAGAAAATATATAATATTATTGCTTTTATCTGAAAATTTCATTGTCAATGATTTAAAGTGTATTGAAGAACAGTAGTATTTTTTTGTCTGATTAGCTACCGGAGAATAAATAACTGAGATTTTAATAAAGCTTAATTTCAGACAAGCAGAAACTTTGTTTATCTTATTATAAATATTATTTTAATAACATTTGGATCCACAATGTGTTTCACTCTAGTGGTTGCCTAAAATATTTCTGTATGGTGACGTCTGATTAATGAAATGGGGTTTTTTTGGAGATGATAGAAAACACTAAAATACTTTTTTTTATGACAACCTCATCAGTATGTGCATGCATAACACAACTTGCATTTTTTTTTTTTTTTTTTATGGTAACCATTATTTTTTATTGTACCTTTTTAACCCAGCGTTAGTTGTGCTATGGTCAAAATGACCGCACTTTTTTTACATGTTTAATAAAACATTTATGTTTTATATTTTAACCTTTGATACTCTATATACCTTTCAATAATGTTATTAAAAATGATATTATAATATTCCAAGTATACTTAATTTCGTATATATAGAATAAATTAAGATTAATGTGGTATATCATTAATAGCGGTTATTTTGACCAAATCGCGACTAGTGATGTTATTATTTTTATTATTACAACTAAAATTGCCGGTTAGGTTATTATTAAACTAACATTTCTGGACTTTATTTATATTATTATTTATTTTATTTACTAATTTAAGTTACTCATACATATATAATATACAGTATACAAATTTAAATAAAACTCGTACATTGCTTTTTTAAATTAGCTACCCAATTTATATGTAAGGAAGTAACTATCAGTTTTGATTTTTTTTGCTTTGTAAATAAAATTATAATTTATTAAAGTTGTATGAAAATTAATTTGTCTTAATAAAATTACTAAACGTGTATGAAACAACGTTTTTTATAATTATATTCTAGAAAATTATAACACGGTCAAAAGGACCGCGGTGCGACGAATGACGTAATATACACAAGTGCGACTAACACCAGGTTAACACTAGATTCTTATAGATCTAATTTTTTTATAATTAAACTATTTCTTATCTCAAATAGTTGAAATAAAACAACAATTTGCTCAACTTATGACAATTTCAAAATTTTTGTATTTTGTTATTATCAAATTATTTATGATTGAAAACAGTAAGATGAAAAAGAAATTGTAAAGGTTATTTATATTCAGTTAGAGTTAAAATTTTATTTTTATTTTAAACAAATTATGATTCAAATTATTCATTATATTTTATGAATTGTTTGAAGTTTTGTCCATTATGTTGGTTGTGATCATGCTTTGAAATATCATATAACTTCATCTTGAGTAGCAGCTGTAGTCTGTTGAAATGGTTAGTTAGTTAGTTAGAAAAGGTTATGAGAATCATCAAAAATTTCTAAATTACATTAACTTATGTACTTTTACTAACAAAAATGGTCAACATTTTTTAGACATGGTTGTATTTTAAATTTTTGTAGAAGGAAAAGTCGCAGTAGGTCACATACACGAGATCGACGTAGCAGGTCAAGAGATCGTCATCGTGATAAGCGTGATAAAGAAAGAGAAAAAGATAAATATAAAGACCACGATTCAGACAAAGCACGAGAAAAACATACTAAAAGAGAGTAAGTATTAATTTAATTTCTATCTAAATTGAAAAAGGTTTTATACGAATATCTATTTATGAATTTTGGACTATTTTTAATTTATATTTATTTAGTTCTCGCTCAAAATCTAAAGGAAAACTTGTTAGTAATGGACATACGTCTCCGGCTAAAAAAGAAAAAAGTCATAGTTGCTCACCTAAAAATGATGTTACTGTGGTAAACGAAGAAAAAATAAATAATTCAAAGACCTCGTAAGTTTATTAATTAGATAATTTAACTATCTAAGAAATATTTAATTTATATAAATATAATTTATTAAAATGCTTATTTCATTCAAATTAGATATATCCAAAACATACTCCAATTATCTATTTCATTTATTTTCAATTTTTAATATGTTAAGTTTTTAACTGTTTAAAACATGTATATTGAATATAAGCAATTATGTTTAAAACAGTTTAATTTTAATAATTAAAATATTTACATGATTCTACAATACATGAAATTAAAAATGATGGTCATTAAAGAATTAAAATTATAGTCAAGTATTAAATACCTGTTTATTTCACAGAGTTTCTCCATTAAAAGATAAAGTTGTTGATACTTACAACAAATCAAAACCTAAAGAACGATCTTCATCTAGAGATACTAGTAAACATAGAGAGAAAAAACGGCGTTCTTCTTCATCAAGCCATAGTTCTTCTTCATCAAATTCTTCTCCTAGCCCTGGTATTTATCTGCTATATATATGGGTTAAACTTATAAGATGACTATAAAAGATTTTTTTTTTTTTTAGATCGTAAAAAAGATAATTTTGAAATTCAGAAAAAGGAAAATAGTATTCAGAAAAAAAGGCAGTATCGAACAAATAAAGATGACTCATCAGCTAGTGAATCAGATAAGGATAAATCCTCAGATAGAAGGGTAATTTCATGTCTTAACTAGAAAACTTAAAGTAAAATTACTTGAAGTTAAATTATCATTGATTTTCTAATACAGTAGAAACTCGATCAACTGTCATTGTTGAAACTTCCCTATTAGGTTAACAGAAAATTGTTTTTTTTTTTATTTTTATGCTCAAGCTTTTTTAGCTGAAATATTTATATTTTATGTAGCACTAAGACTGTCTTACACTCGTTAGTCACTGATTTAATCAATAAAAAATAATTCAATTTGTTCATTCATGTGATGTTTTTCGCATATGTTGGATATTAGAAAAAAATTGTATACGCTTGATAGGAGCCACTACAAGTTTGTGACTGCATCATTAACGATAGCGATGAAGGATAATAGAGGGTGATGGTTAATTGAGTTTCTACTGTATATAATTGAATTTATTTTAATAATTTAAATTCTATTGTAAAATGAAATAATTTGAGTTTTTATATTTTCTTAAATTTTTTAATTATGGGTATAATAATTGTTTTGGAAATTAGATCTAATTGAAATTTCAAATTTGGGTCATCTTTTTCTTTTAAAAAGGTTTATAATGTATAATATTAATATAGTTAAAAATTAAAAACATCAATTATTTAAAAATGTTACTATAATTAATTGGAAATCAATTTAAATAAATCTTTTAATAATTTGTAGCATTTTAATATATCATGAGCTCAATTTTGAACTCTATCAGCATCTAGTTTGATTAATTTTTTTTAACAAGCTCATATATTAAGTTCAACTATTTTGATTTATTATTTATTCAGTTATTTAATTAAAATTCTTAATGATGATTTTGTGGTCTGACCCGAAGTATTAGAAAAACTAATAAACATTAAACATGACAGTTTTATTTAGTATTTATATGTAGTTAAAATAAAATAAGTTTCTATTGATTTTTGTACTAAATAATAAATATTGAAATTTAATATCTGTATCTCTAAAATTATCAATTATTTTCCATATGTACTTGATTTAGTTGAATAGTGTCCTCTTTTATATGAGCTCTGTGATAAAACTACTTTGATTTATTTTTTTTTTTTTTTTGCAGCTGAATATATTTTTAAACACTAAACAATAGTAATGAATTTTCTGTTAGATAAAAACCTTGTTTAACTTATCAATAATATATAATCTATATTGTTTCATTACCAAGTGTTAAAATTATATGGCATTCAATTAATATGCTTTTCTAAAGAATATATAATATAGATTTAATTTATATTTGTAGGATCGACGAGACCGTTCCACTTCTCGTTCAAGACGTCCATCTAGGCGTGGTTTTAGTCGTAGTCGATATCGTGAAAAAAGTCGTGATCGATATTATAGAGATAGGGAAAGAGAACGTGCTAGAGAAAGAGAACGTAATCGTCGTGATCGTGAACGGGATCGCAGAGAACGAGGTAGAGTAATTCGTGAAAGAGAACGTGAACGTGATAGACGTAGGCAAAGGGAAAGAGAAGAAAAATCATCACCCAGAAAAAGGTAATTTAATATGCTTATACTTGTAATAACAAATTTTTTAATGACATTTTTCTAAAATTGAAATTGATTTTATTTTGTGGTTAGGAAATCAAGAAGTCCTGAAAGGAAATCCAGATCAGGTAGCAGGCGCTCAAGAAGTCGTTCAAAATCTAGAGTATGTAGTAGTATTTGATAATCACTCCCTTAAATTATGTATAGTATTGCTTGTAGTTTTATTTATTTATAAATGTTAAACCTAATATTATTGATTTTAACAAGTAATCAAAGTAACAAATATTATTATGCTTTAAATTTTAACTACATCAAATTATAAAGTCTATTTATGTCTATATATTATTATTTTTTAAATTTTTGAAGGATAACATTGACAACTAAGCCTATTAACTCTCTTCCTCTGTTAATGATTTTGGAACAGTAGTTGGTAGATTTAATTTTTAGAATTTAGTTTCGAGATGATGGTGGTTGTTGAAGGCTAAGAAGACAGACAGAAGGCAAAGTTCTAGCAATTGTTCTATCATAGCATTCTTGTCATGCTCGACCACAATGATTTGTTTATTATGTAATATTATTTATTGCATACAATTAATTTTTATTACTTAAATTTATTTTCTGTTTGATTAATCTTATTTTTGATACATTTTTTATCTATTGTTTTTTTAGTATAATAATTATGACATCTATTTGTAAATTTATTTAATTTTGATATTTTAAGAAATAATTAGTTATTTAAAATTTATAATTTAGAGGAGACGAAGTGGAAAATCACGTAGCAAAGAACGTGTTATTAAAGATTCAAGAACAGTTTCCCCAGTAAAAAAAGAAAACACTAAGACCAAGGTATTTGCTAATATTTAAATTTGGTAATGTAATAAATGATTTGTTCAAATAAAAATAATTTAACTTTAATCCAGCAGGTATCTCAAGAAAGTTTATCTAGAACCCCTTCACCTTTTAAGAAAGTTGAAGACAAACTAGATCGTAAATCAATTAAAGAAAGACTGTGAGTATAACATACCTTTTTTACTTAAACTATTAAGTTTTTTTATTTTTTGATAACTTTTACATGTATAAAAGTATACATAACTACTCTTTAACAAGAAAACTCAAGGCTATTGTACATATAGTACACTCTGCATTACTCTTTGCATATACAATAACCTACTATTATTTATCACTAGGGAATGGATTTACATTCACAAAAGATCTTCAAATAATGCTGTAATATGTTACAAAATATACACTTATATTAAATCATATATATATATATATATTTTAATTATATAAAATTTCACAAATATTATAATACAAAATTGAACCGTCTGTTTTAAAAATATCTTAATGCTCGTTTATGTCTGTGTCTGTCTTTGTCTGTAAATGACTCTTAATTAGTATTTTTACTTTAGGCATTTTAAAATTACAAACGAATAAAAAATAAAAATCACTAGACACAAAAACTGACAGTCTTATTTGTAAAAATATACTCATGAATACACACACTGACTGATTGGTTTCCATCTAGTTCAAGTGTTTAACTCTATCATATGAATTTATCTATATTAATATAATTTGTATATACTCATATGTTGCATACGAGTATGTAATTTTATTTTTGGCTATAATGACCAGTCTTCATTTTATCTATATGGTTGTAAACTTTAAAATATAGGTAAAACAAATATATGTGCTATAAATAAAAATATGTACTATAAAACTGCAAATATGCAAAATAAGGTGAAAACATTAAAATTTGCAAAATAAAATTAATGTTATTTTCATGAAAATGATCTAAATCGGAGACAACTCATCAGATTTCAAAAACTTGATCAAATATATACATGCTTTAGCATATAAATCCGTTCCTTACTTATCACTATTAGAAATATATTGAGAAATACTTAGATTTAAACTTGTTTTGTTTGACGTATCTAAGCACTTACAGTAAGTTAAAAAGATTTTATCTTTGAGGACAATCGTTGATTAGTATTTTTAGATGTGTGAAGAGCAATAAAATAGTCCTTGTGGAATTTAATTTTAAAACTAAATTATAATTTACGAAATGAAGGGCTATATGTCTGAAATGGTATAACACTTAATTATTCTTATACCTCTAGTTCTAGTCCCTATTGCTAATAATAACCTGTATGTATATATGTATACCAAACCTTTAATCTACATTTGCATAAACAATGTTAAATGTGGTATACATTAATAACTTATATCTTAAAGTGTATAAAGTATCTAAATTACAATTATATAAGTATGTTACAATATTATAATTGCTCATTATGCCGTGTCGACATATAAGAAGTTTGTACATGTACTGATGGGTTAAAGGGTAGTTAGGCATTTAACATGTATAGATATTTCCATAATCAAGTATTTTATGTTATAAATCCATTATATAATACTGTTAATACATGATTGCATTACAGTATTCTTGTTTATTATATGAAAAACATATATAAATTTTCACTGATGTGGTGAGAGTCATCATTAAGGCTCATAACTTATAGCTCTTAAAATGTTAGTTATAAGTGTTATAATATGCTCATAAAAATAGTCATAGAAATGCTTGAGTATGCACTGAAAATACAGAAATATGCGAGAGAGAGAAAAAATGTCAAACTCATTATAATTATTAAAATACTATTTTTATTAATTAAAAAAAAAACTTATTATTAAAATACTGATTGCGTCAATATATGATATAAATAAATATATAATTTAAACCAAAATAGAAGTATTAATTTATTAAATATTATAAGTATAAATAATTAGGTACTACTATAATTACTTGTTATTGTTAAGAAAATATGTTTTAAATGCTACAGAATGAAAAATGACTCTAAAAAGCGATATAGCAAATAAAAAATTTCTTAATATGCAAAAATATGCAACATACAATTTGTTGTGTATTTAGCTTCTTGATTATCTGAAACAAATGTATAGCTCACTTAGGTATCTAGGACCTCTAAAAAAAAAAAAAAAATGAATAAATAGTACAAGTTATGAGCCCTGGTCATCACTATTATATTAAGACTAATCTAAAAGTCTTTTTTTTAACTGTTTGGTAATAGTTCTTTTAATTTTTATTTTTAGAGGTGTTAGGGATGATCAATCATCTAAAACTTCTCTGCGACAAAGATCAGGGCGTTCTCCTTCATCAGAAAAAAAAAGTAGCAATGATAAAAAGTAATTTTGATATTATTTCACTTACATATTAAATGTGCTTAATCATGAAAAATATTTTATTTTAACATTTTACATACTTATTTTAGGAATTTATCGAGTTCTAGGCGCAAATCGCCATCTCCTGTTTCTAAGAAAAAAGAAGAAGTGAGTGTTATTTTGATTTATTAACCTCATAGAACTTTTTATAAAGAACATGTAAGTGAACATATGTTCTTTATAAAAAGTTCTATATTTAGTTTTGATTAATTAATTTTCATAATATTTAAATAAGTAAATAAATTATTTATAGATTCAATCTGTTTAAAATTTACTTATATTTTATATACTTTAGGAAAAACCTGAAAAAAATAAAAAAGTATTAAAAAAACGTGAATCATCACTATCTGATGCTGAAAAATCCAAGTCAAAGAGAAAGGATGAATCAAGTTCATCTGATGAATCTATAAAAAAGACTAAAAAAAAGAACAAAAGAGATTCTAGCTCCGAAAATGAAAAAATTAGAACTAAAAAACGAAAACTCAAAGAATCCACATCATCTGAAGATGATGAATCAAAGAAAAAAAAGAAACGTAAAAAGAGATCATCCAGCTCAAGTTCAGATGTATGTCATTTAATTTTTTTTATTTTTATTTCTATGTTAATGGAATTTTTATTCATGTGTAGGAGAGTGATGGAGATGATAAAAAAAAGAAAAAAGATAAGAAACATAAGAAACATAAGAAGCATAAGAAACATAAGAAGCACAAGAAACGCAAAGCTGAAGGAAGTGTAAATACATATAACAAATCAGTTATAACAGTTTCAATTTTAATTTATATTTTGTATTACTTACTAGGGTTCTGATGTCAAATCAGGAGATGAATCAGAACAACGTTTACGAGAAAAAGCACTGCGTTCCATGAAAAAGAAAAATCAGGCTAAACATGAAGGTACCCCGAATAGCATTAGCAGTGATTAACAAAGAGGTTAGTTAATTCTGAGAAAGAAACCTTTTTTTAATATAGTAAATATTTCAATAATTATGTTTAAGACTATTTATACTTGCATGTTTAAAAAAAATCAGCGTTTAATCTGTTGAAATTTAATAATACTGAGAAAAAATGAAAATAATAAATGAGTAGTCTTATTTAAACAAATTGAATTCTGTATATTTATAATACATTTTATCTTAAGTATTTTTTATTATTACCTTATTACTATTTTAGAATTCAGTTAAATTAAAAATATTAACTAAACACATTATATTCAAAGAATTTAGATTTCTACTGATAATTAACAAACATTTATATATATATATGCATCTCTATATCTACTTATATTTTATGAAATAAGTGACTGGGTGCCCACAATACCTTTGTATTTAAGTGTTATATGTTTTTTATTTATTAACTGCTTTAGTTTGAATAAATAATATTTAAGGGTGAGATATTCTCTTCTTTTTTTTTTTTTTTTTTGTCACATTGACCGTTGTAATTCTAGCAACGAGAATTTGACAGGTTAGCCTACTGTCCAGTCATCAAGGCTGCCGACTTGTTGGCAGAATTATACTTGCATCATTTTCATAGCGCTGTTTGATCGTTTTTGAAGCCCCTTCGTTTGTTTTCTTTCTATCAACATTTTTAATCTACAACTACAATACTTCTATCAACATTCGATTTTCATTTCTGCTATCAACATAATCTACAATCAACATATCTTCAATCAACATAACTTCTATCAACGTATCTGCAATCAACATAACTTCTATCAACATAGACGCCTACAATCAACATAACCTTTGTCAATCATCTGTACTACAACTAACATTACTTCTATCAATATATCTGTACTGCAATCAATAATACTATTGTCAAAGAATCCAGAACTCAAACATAATTGAATGAGTTACACATAATCAATTCCTTGAAACAAGATCGTATTCACAGTGTGATGGTACTCAACCTGTATTACTGTGTAAAATCAGGAAAAAGATATATGAAAATGTGTATACCTCAACCAATATCTATTTTGCTTTGGTATGCATCATTTATGTATGAGTATTTCATTATAATCTAGTATTATAATGAATCTCTTTTTTTTTTTTTTCTAGTATTTATACAATACCTGAGTTAGCTGATTGAAACTATATCTAGACATTAGCACCGATTGAAAATCCACGCTGATCTAAGTTTTTAACTTATGCCAAATATACTTTAAATTTATATAATATAATCTAAATTTGTCTTGATTTTTTTATTTTTTTTTGAGAAAATCTAAATAACTAAATTTTGTTTCAGGTAGTTTCACTGATTAAGAAGAATTTGAAGTATCAGTTAACCAAGAACACAATGAAATTTTCTTTTTAATTTTTAACATTATTGAAATTATTTTTAAAGTAACTACATAATACGATAAACCTGTGTAAATATTATGCATTTATAACATTTTCAGTTTGAATTTATTTTATGTAATAAAAATAATATTCTATTTCTATTGTATAATTTTTAGATTTTGAATTTTTTTTTATTATGTAACGCACACTATAAAAAAAAATTAGATTCCATGATTTATTATTATTAGCTACGGTCTACAATAAAATGTTTTAAAATATAACCTTTAATTGTGTTATTTAAAAAACACATTTAAATTATAATTTTATCTGATCATTAATTTAAATAATTTGATAAATGTTCTACATTTGAATAAAAAGTAATAGAACAGAATTGTTAATGCATTTTTTTTATATTTGTACCGTTAAATTTAAAAAGTGCTTAATGATTTCAAGTTGAATATAACAAAAATTATATAAATGGCTAAAGCTCTCAATTGGATGCGATACACGGTTTGGTGAAAATGATTAAAAACTTTTCTAAATAAAAGAGATTGTTTTTTAACTAAAAATATGAATAAATAGATGTTTTATTTAAAATAATCTTTAAATTTAATTTTTATTTTTAATAGTTAAACATATATGTATGAGAAACTTTAATATACTTTCAAGAGTATTTATCAAAGTAATATAATTTTATTGATATATTACAAAAAAAAAAAAAAAAATACTCAAATAAAAATAAATACTAGAATTTGATTAATCTTAATCTTTTGCAAAATTGTTTGGTCTTCTACACACGGAGCTATTCAAAAGAAACTAAACTAGTTCGTGATATAAATTACTTATCGATTACTAATGTATTGGTGACTGAGATCTGCACATGAGTCTACTGAAAAGTGATCAAAATAACTAGTTTATTCTATTGAGTTATAAAAGTAGGACATGCATTCTTTAACATCAGGGATGAAGAAACGATTGCATAATACAATGATCAAAAAAATTTTCCTGCTTAATTCTATGCAACTTCCGTCTTACCTTTCCTAGAATAGACAGAAATAGTAAAATAGTATGAAATGAGATATTTCTCTACTTCTATCAAATTTACGTTAGTTGTTTATCCATTTATTTTTCTAATATTTATCTTTAACAGAAGATAAATAGAAAAAATGAATTTTAAAAATTCATTCAATTTGGCATGAGTATATGACGCAACTTGAAAAAGACTATAGTTGAATCACTTGAAACTGATCACTACAGCTTCAATAACTAATTTGTAAACAGTAACACTGTATGTTGTGTTCCATTGAATAACATATGTTAAGACTCAAATTGGACTGGTTAGTGATTTGCGTCAGTAATAAGTTTCTAATGAGCAGCTCCATGTGTAGGTGGCCTAACACTAATATAAATTGCTTATTTAAAATATATTTTCTATGAAGAATATTTTTAATTTAAATCCATTAGTTTCATGAAAAAATATTTTAACAAATAATTCAAAGAATATTAATACAGTATTTTGACTAATTTGAAATTTAATTAATTATTTGTAAATTATCTTCAACAGATTGTGTAACATCAAATTCTTCAGATATATATTCATCAATACAATAAAGTAATTTTTTAGCTTTTAAGCTTATATCTTCATCATCACTACTGCAATATGTTGTCACTTGTTTGATAAAAGTTGAATTTTTGTACAAAAGTAGTTGTCTTTGATTGATACCTCCTAAAAAAAAAAATTTAAAATCCTCCATGTATATTCAAATAATTAAATATTTTTGTTTAGTATATTTAATGAATTTTCAACCAAAATTATAACCTCAACATAAGCCTAATATGAGCCTATTATGGTATAGTATTTATATGATATAAGTTGAATGTAGAGACATTGGTGGTTTCTTCTCTTTATCCAAAAATCAAAACCAGGTTCAACCAATTATTCCCACTCAACAATGATATTATGATTATGATTTTTAAACTTACAATTTAATATAAAATTGAGTCAATATTAAAATTTGATAAATAAAGTACACACAATATGATTATTTATATTAATTAAGAATTGAACATTTTTACTTCACTAAGAAATAAATGAGTTAACCTTTTTGAATTATGCATCCAATTACATCCAAACTTTTCATAATTATTGGATTAAAAGTAGTGTGATTTAAAACTTCAATAGTAGATTTAATTAATTTATTTTGATCATTTTCTTCCATAAATTCAAAATTTGTTACATACAAGATATTTCTAAAAAAATCAAACGTTTAATTAAGCTTATAATAATATAAATAGCTTATTTATAAACTTACTTAAACATACAAAGTATAGATACTTCCATCAATGAATTTCTATCACTAACTGATTTCTCCAAAGTATTTATAAAACATGATATATGTTTTAGAATAACTTTAGCTGGAATTTTACCTATATTATTTGATTCATATTCTGAAATTTTATATATTTTAATTAAATAATATACCAGTCAAATTGAAAACCAAAAGAACACTTACTAAATCTACTAAAATTTCCTAAAGATCTTACTGCAGACAATTTAATATATAAGTTATTAGAATGGACTTTTAAAAGTAGCCATTCCACTAAATATATAACTTCTGCTTGTTTATCATTATCCATAGAATTGTCTAAAAAATGTAAAAATAAATATTTTTTAATTTATTATAATATGGCTATTGGTGATTTTACTCTCTGGGCAGGGTGACCGCCGAGAAAAATACTGCCACCCAACCAAACCGATAAAAAACTTTATGATCTCAGTAGATAAGTAAATAAATTAATAATTAATTACCCTTACCATCATTGGAAAGTAAAATTATGATATCACAAATTTTTTTAACAATACATTTGGCTTCTTCTTCTTGATTTTTTTCATATTCATCTAATATTAGTACTAAAGCTTTATGTTTTTTTTTTAATATCCAACTATATACATCTAAAATTATGAATAATTATTTTTTTTGATATGAATATGAATATTTATATTATTAAAAACTATTAGTATTTACTATAGGTTTTAGAAACTTGTTTTATAAATTTCACACAAATAGAAGTAATATTGAGATGCATATAATATTTATCCAATAAATTATCAATAAAAGAACATTTTTCATAATCTGTTATTTTTCTGATATTAGAAGATTTTCTGACAATATTAATCATTATTGATGACAAATTAATATATAATTTAAAATTATTATTATTGATGTATTTGATACCCAAAGCATTCAATTCTTCGATCATATCATCTGGAAACTGAAAAAAAATTAATTTTAAAATATAACTACATACATCAACCATATAAACCTTGTAACTATAACCATCCAAATGAGTTAAATTCAATAATAATCCAATAAGGACAGATAGAAGGCTTTCTTCTGAAATTGTTTTTATAACTTTCATTGTAATTATCAGACATCCTTCTTTTAATGCATGCTTGGTATTTTCTTCTATAAAATTAAATCATTATGTTTTTAATTAAGTATTTAAGTAATATTTAATTTAAACTTCAATAAAATTAGAAATCTAGATAAACTAGTTTATTCAGTTCAAACCACGTAACTTTAAATATCAACTTCAATTTAGATTAATCTAGTCTTTTTACTCACTTAATTATTGTTTATGTTTCAGATTTTAAACTAAAAAATTAGAAAATTTGTAAACATTAAAAAAGTAAAGTTTGATTTAAAAAAGAATTTAATATATTAGTTAAGATGTGTTCATATTACAAATAATTTTAAAATTTAGTGTAACATGAAACTAGAGTTTGACCCATACTTAGGTACTATAACTATAATTTAACATATAAATATTATTCATTACCATGATAATAACAAAGATTTCCAATAGCACGACATGTTTGAAGAAAACATTCTTGAATATATTTGTCTTTGACTGAACGATTTATTAACGATTTAAATATATTCACAGTAGATATTATTATTTTTTGACCGAAATACTGTCTAGCTAATTCATCTGTACTTAATGATGCAATTACATTACAAGCTGCCGCTATAACTTGATCATTATAAATATTTAGTGATAAAGGCAAATATTTTATTAATTTTTCGTAATCTTTTTCTCTTAAACCTAAAATATCATTAAATGTACATAACATATATATATATATATAAATATATTCATTTATGTAATCCAAATATATCTAATATTCAATAAACTAGAATTATAATTTATTTTTATATACTTACATTTTGGATCAAGTTTAGATAATTCATTTAACAAATGAGTAATATCATCAGTAATTTCATTTACTTGTTCGTTTTTAATATTTGTAATAAAAAACTCAAAATAAGCAATTTTTTCCATTTCAAAATTCTAAGTGTTCATAAAACAAAAAGAATATTATTTATTGTAATATTTATTTGAACTGTTCATTTCTATATAACTAATTTAATATAAACTAATAATTATACCAATATGGTCTGTATAATTATGTCAATATAATTAAATTACATTCTTATATATGTACACAAATCTTATGTTTAATTAAATATATAATGATTTCTATATAAAGTATAACTATATAACTTAATAAATTTAATAAATGAATATAAATTATATAATTACTTTATTTTGAATAATTTACTGAATTCTCTAAGTACAAAAGAAGAAAATATTTAAACATTTGTTGAAATCACAGTTTTAAATAAAAAAAACTTTAAAAACAAGTATTTGACAACTAATATAGTCTTTAATTGGTTCCAAATTGGTTCAACAACAAAACATTAAATCCTTAAGAACCTCTTGATAAAACTTACAGTTATATGTATTATCATAAAATGTTTATGTTTATGATTATCATAAAATTATAAGTAGTAAATTGATATAATATAATTAATTGCCGATATGATATTGAAAAAAAGATACTTTGTGGATTTATCATGTTATCAAATACTTGGCGTTCAAATTTGTTTATTCAGAAACTTATCATCATCAAAATAATATTATCAATTATTTCAACAGCAATAAAATCACATAGGTATAACTATCTAGATAAAGAATAAACATATAAGTAAAATATTAATTGATTATTCTTTATGGGTATAACCACAAAATATAATATTATAGCTATAGTATAGTATAACTTGAAAATACATATCATGTTAGATACATTATAGATAATTACACTTATAACCATTGACTTTTAAATCCTAAAAAAAATCATATACAATCATGCTTAATGTGATAAGCTATCAGTTTTATCCGTTTAATGTTTATTGTTTGTAAGTCGTCAAACTATGTACACGTAGAAAATTATATTTATTTGAACAAAATGTTTTTCCTCTGTTTTTATTATTATGAAATTATTGTGTAGGATAAATTAATAATGTTTAGAATCGAATCATATATTACATCGATTATACTGAGTTACGTTGAAAAATATGTGAAAAATTTAAGGCGTCAAGATGCTCAAGTATATTTAATTATATTATATTCATAATTATTAATATTGAATATATTAAAATTTAACATAATTGTAGGTGTCATTATGGGATGGCGAAGGTCTATTTCAAAATCTGGAGCTGGACTTAGATGTTTTAGAAAAAGAGTTAAATTTACCTTTTATTGTGTTAAGTGGTCATATAAATCAATTGTTAATTCGAGTTCCATGGACTAAATTAGGATCTGAAGCAGTTAAAATTACTATTGACACAATCGGTAAGAATAAAATATGTTTATAAGTTTAGTAGGACCTAAATAAATAATTAAAAGCCATTTTTATTTTCTAAAATTTAATACAAAATAAAAATGGAAAATATATCAATAAGTTATTATTGATTAATTAAGATTATAAACTTAAAAATATTGTAAATATATTAACATTTATCAAATATGACAATTATTCAATGGTTAACTCATTTTTACAAAATTTAGATACTGATTCTCCTTATTGATAATAAATTAATATATATCACTATGAAAATTTGATAATTTTTATATACTTAATACTGTTTTTATAAATTATTTTTTAAGAAAGTATTTTCTTATTAGGTCTGTTTGCTCTTATTTTAAAACATTTTATAAAATCTAAATTTATCATCATAAATTATTTAATAATCTTAATCATAAAATTTATTAAATTCCAGATTTTACAAAATTTGTTGAATTTATACATATTTTGTGAATTCTTTTTATTAGAAATATAACTTAGGTACAAGGCTGGGCAAGTTAACGATTTTTTTTTAATCAAGTTAAGTTATTTTAAAATAATAAAGTTAAATTGCATTAAAAATTACTAATATTTTTTCATTAACACGTTAAGTTAAAAGTTAAATTTGAAGATAAAAAATGACTTAACTTAGTTTAAAGTTAAAATTTTCTGATTTGCAAAACTAAAAAATTGCACACATAATATTAGTATTTTTAGACTCAAGAAAATTACTGGGCAAATTTAAAATGATACAATATTTATACAAGTATTAAATAGCTAATTAATAACTATTAATAGGTAATTAATTAATAAAGAAATAATAAACTTTCACAGAAATATAATAAGCTAATAAAGTAATAAACTAATAACAATATGTTATAAATCCTAACAAGATGTGAAGACCACATTCTAGTTGAATAATGAAATTAAATTGGAAATTATACCACAGTTCTTTTGTGATTAATCCCCCATTGACACTCGCTCTCATGGTATTTACTATTTTCACAGAATATTCTTAGGATTTTCATGGGTTTATAGTGTATATACAATAACAATGTTATAAAAATATAATATTAAAATATAGCCCATATAATGACTATTAAAGTTATTTTTCATATTATTTTCGTCTACAGGAAATTCATATTAAAATAGTAAATTATAAATATACTAAAAACCTCAATTAATAATTTGCATTATTCTTTGCACTAAAATTAATTTAATTTAGATACTTTTAAATAAAATTAACTTAAAGTTAACACATTAATCTTAAAAAAAAGTAACTTATTAAGTTAAAAATTGATTTGTAAAAAAATTAATGAGTTAACTAACTTAATTAAAATTAACTTAACGTTTTATTTTAATTTAACTTTTGACTTGTTAATGCCCAGATTTGCTTAGGTACACAGCCATTGATGTATATTTGACATTATTTTTTTTTTATATTACATAATAATTATTTCTATTTGGTATTAATTCTAATAAGTATCAATTTTTATTTCTTTAATAAAGTAGGTAGTTTTGAATATTCTTGAATTATTTTAATGATTGACTCATTGTCGTTGTTGATTTTTATATGTGTATTAGTTGTAAATGGAGATGTTTCTTGTACAAATGGTAAAATTGAAATAACTTCTTTAAAAGAGAAACAGTATTAATATCAGCCAAATTTCATTTAAACTTTGGAATAAGCATAGCAGCCATCTTTAAATCATCTAATTGAAAGACACTTTCAAACTCACAAAAAAATAAGATCAAAAATGTATATTTAAGAATAGTTAAATATTAGTATTTATTAATCAAGAATTAATAAATACAACTTAGATCTTGGAACATCATTTTTTTATCTATTTACATTAGAATACAATACAGCATTTAATTACATTTTCTACTCAAAAAATATAAATTAATCTACTATTCCTAGTATTGCTATAAAAAGCTTGTGAAATGATTTTCAGTTTATAAACTGAGATATAGGGGAGTAGGCACAATATAGCACATACCTTTTTTTTTTTTTTAAGCCATAAGAAAATGTATGTTAACTCTGTGGGTACCCATAATCATATTATAAATTACTTCATTATGAATTCAAAAATATTTTCATAATGTGAATTGCATTAGTATATTAAAAGTAGTAATAAAACTAAAAGAATAAATAGAAGTGTACAAATTACTAGTTTGATATAGACAGATAAAGAAAGTATTTGTTAAAAAATATTTAATTATATAACATTCAAAATTAAAATAATAATTTAATTAAAATAGTTAAATAGGTACCTTGTGTTTATTTTGTTTAATAGAACATCAACTAGTAGTATACAATATTTCAGTTGACTTCCTATTATTTAAAGATTTTTTTAAAGTGAGAATTGGTATAAGATAGTTTATTAATACAATTTTATCACCTTGGAGTATATCTAACGATTTTGCTATGGGTTTCATAATCTGTAATAATAATTTAGTAATATAAAAAAATATATGCATATGAATCTACAGTTTTTAAAGAGAACTATAAAAATGTAAATAAACAAGTATTATATTTTACAGATTTTGTTCAAAATGTAGTTATAAAATTTATTTGGATAGTCAGCTTATATTTCACTGTTTATACTAATTAAAATTTAGTAACTTATTTCATGTTAAATGCATGTTTTCAATGCCTGTGATACTACTTAGTAAATTTCAAATACATAATATTTATTATAATCTGATATATAATAAGTACTTTACAATATTCGATCAAGAAATTTATTTAAATTATAGCTAAACATGGTCTAGATAAGGTCAATGCATATCATATTTATTTTTTCAAAATTCATCATCATCATAAAACTAAGTGCATCGTAAAATGCATTACACTTAAGATCATACAAAAACATTTTTCTCCGTCTGGTTTTAAATGTCTCATTTTTGCTGATAATTTAATAATATTCTCTTCAAATAATTATATTAGTATTAGTTACTATGTTATTTTTTATTTTTTTTTTTTTTTTAACTAGTTAAGATATGAGTTTATTATTTAAAATTTAAATTAGTTTTTTATTTAAAAAAAGTACCTTTACATTTTTAACTAGTTACTGTCCAGATTTGTTTAATTTTTTAAATAAACTCCACATGTTGGGTACTTAGTTTCTTCTTATAAGGTAGTTCTTCTCATTAGGTAGTCGAATGTATAGCGGATGTGCTTCAATATACCAGTGAATTTTATAAGGTATTTTCACTGGGCGACAAAAAATGTTTTTCTACAAATAGTCAATGTATAATACCATAGTACGATTATAGTATTACACTTTGTTTCGCATTATTTCGCCCAATTTTTTAAAATACTGTTGACAGAGTATAATCACTGGGCGACATTTGTGTCGCCTAGTTAACTAGTTAAAAAATGCACTGATATACACATAAACAATTTTAGCTAGTAGTTATTATGTAATTTTATGTCTTTGATAGGTATAAAAATCAATGTTAAAAATAAAGCTTCCCTTATTTATGATGTTAACAATTTAGTAAAGCCCCTTACTTAAGAATTTTGATTCACAATTTACATTTACATTTACATTTTTTTAGAGTTACATCTCTTAAATTAAAACAATTTTATAATGTATTATTCAACAGTAGTAATGATAAATTATATTTATTTTAAATTAGTTTAAGTTTTAATTTTATTACCTAAAATAAATATAATTAATATATACTAGTGTATGTGTTTTAGAATGTGTTTTAAAATTAAAAACTCCTCAGCAGAAGAATACTAAAAAAAATGACAAGAGGTAAGTTATTTTTATTTTCAATTCATTTTTTTTTGTCAATGTATTTTAAGTGATATATTGTAATTTTAATCTGTAAAATACGATTGAGAACGTTATTTTTGGTAACACGATTGAAAACGCTCTCGTTTTTTTTTCCATCGTTGCCAAATGTAATCGATCGATAATATGAGCACAATAATCTGTTGATATTTATCGGACTTTTATCGGATTAGCTGGATGTTAATAGTAACTAGATATGAGAGAATGACCATTAGTGGATTAGGGGGCAAAAGGCTTATAGCCTAGGGCTTTTTTTTTTTATATATAGAATTAAGTGTTATTATTGACTTATTAGGTATATTTATTTTAATAATTTTTTTTTATATTTTTCATATAAACACGAATAAAAATAATTTTAAAAAGTTATGATAATATATTAATATGTACATTGTATGATGCGTACCTATAGGCTATAGAAAGAATATTACAATTATTATTATAATTTGAAAATATTTCATTTGTAATAAAATAATTACAGTTAAATACTAGTTATTATTAATAACTTATTAGTACCTTTGTACTTAATTGGGAACATCCGACTATCCGAGTATAGGTATTTTCATATCTGGCTATTTATATTTCCGTTATGTGACTGTATAAGCATTGTTTAATTATACTGGTAATAATGGATCAGAAGTAAAATAATAGACATGAAATATTTTATTTTTAGAAGTTTTCTATTTTCTCTTTTTTTTTTTTGATAAATAAACTGAATAAAATTTGGAAAGAAGGGTTTAGACCAAATATTGTTATTTCCTTAGTAGAGTGATATGGGGGGGGGGTAGCAAAATGATTAAGCCTAGAGGCGCCAAAACGCGAAATCCGCCACTGAGAATGACGGCTTTGCAGTCGTCGCACAAACTATTTGTCAATATAATATACTACATAGCATATTTATTAAAATGGAAAAGAACAAAATTAAAATTATTTGATGCGAACCAGACGAAGACCTAATATTATTAGAAAGTAATAAATTTTATAAATTCTACATATTTTACAATTTTTTTATACATATATACACTATACAGGTATTAGATATTTTTATAAGCCCTACATATTTTTAACTTTTTATTCATATTATATATTACATATTATTAAGCACTTATTTAGGCTTATAATTATTAATTTATAACTTTTTTTTAAGAATATTGTATGTATACTGAATTTTTCAAAAGCCAAATAAATTCTATGACAACGTTACACATAAATTCATTCTCAATCATATCGTTTTTTGGTTTTTTTTGGGTCAGCGGTAAGCTCTTTGTTAATTTTAAGTGTTCTCAATTGTTCGACCAAAAAGGTAAATCATACTTAAATTTATAGATAATACTTCAGATAAAACTTAACACTTATTATAGTATCTATTAGTCAAATTTTTATTCTTTTAGTAGTTTTATTAAGTGTTTATAAAACTTAAAAATAATTCCCAGTAATATTTATTTTTTGATCAACAAGTAAATTTATGTTACACAATTTGTTTATTTAAGCCAAAATTTTAATGTTATCTAAGCTATTTTACCTTAAGTTAAACAATTAAAAGTATTAACCTATTCAAGTATCTAAATTATAACTAACTAATATTATTATTTAATATTTATATGGATTGCAAATATGATGTATTTATATGATGTACATTCAGTGGCATCGCGAACCATGATTTTGAAAAGCAGTTGCTTCTGGAATTTAGAGGGGATGGGTAGTGGAATGTGACTTGGTCATTTATTGGTAAATGAATATATTAGATATAATATATCCAATAGATATATTGGAAGACAGCAATTATATTTGTATGAACCATAAAATTAAGGTGTAGTATAAATTCTAACACTGAATCGATTGGTGGAATGGGGTGGGTCATTAATAAATTGTTTGCTTCTATATTCTTTATAGTTCCCTATGCCACTGGATAAATAAAAAAAATACTACAGTCACAGATTTCATACTCCTGAATATTTCACTCTACCCTTTCTATTTGAACCATATTAATGCATTTAGATAAAATACAATATTATATATATATATTTTATAGCTATAGGGCAAGTACTGATTATGATGAACTACCACCTCCATCATATGTCCAGAGTTTAATTAACAAAATTATTGGAAATCTATCTGTAACATGCAATAATGTAATTTTAAAATATATTGAAGATGATATTGTACTTTCTATGAATATAAAATCAATTACTCTAGATTCGTGCAATGAAAACTGGATAGCTGATATTATAGGTTTGTATATAATTTTTCTTTATAAAAAGTTAACTTCTTCAAAGAATAATATATTTTTGTTATGCCAACATTAAATAAATATAATTTAGTAAAAAAATGATTATTTCAATTTTTTTTATTAGGTAACTATTTAAATGTTGATAAAAATAGATAGTCATACACAACATTTTTTTCAGTTATTAGTTACAATTGTTAACAGACCAACAAAAGTTAAAACACATATTTTAACATCATACTTGTTGAGTATTTGTTAAATATTTGAACAGTTATATTAGCAAGAAACTAAAAAAATTCAACGATTAATTATCAATTGGGACCTTTTATAGTTATTAATACTATTGTTTTCATATAGTATGAAAGATAATAGAATATTCATTAATTTTATCTATTGTACCTAAAATATTATTTTGGACTTTTAAATGAAAAACAATTCATCAATTTACGTAATGAGACTTTTAAAACTTATATTTAATGTAATTTTCAGAATTAACACCATCTCAATTAGTTTTAAGGAAAATTATAAACCTGTCAGATGTAACTATTTGCTTGGACAGAAGAAATGCTTCTGGATGCATAGAAACATACTTAGAACCATTATTGTATAAATGTTCATTATCAATTCGATTATGTCGAATGTTTCGGTCTCCTCATTCTGCTCGACCATTTACTACTCAAATGGATTTGTTCTGTTCAAAAATCGCATTTATACTTACTGAACCTCAGTTACCAATGTTTTTGAGATTGTTAACTATGATATTAGAACTTAATGCTGCTGATGCTCCAGAAACAAATACCTGTCTTGATGATGAATCTTACAATAGAAGCCCTAGTAGCTGTAGTTCAAGTAAATCAACTAATATTTTTAATCAATTTATTTTAATTATTTGATATAAAACATATGTAAATAATTGAACTCAATAAAAAAGTTATATAAAATAAATAACAATTGAATTTAAGTATAAATATTTAGTTTCAGAAACAAATATAGCCCATAATGACAGTTGGGTTGATTGGATGTGGAGTTGGGTACCAAATGTTAATTTATCTAGTGAAGTTAATGAACTTCCTTTCAGTTCTGAAGCCGCTGTAAGCGGCCATTCATTAAATACTGGGATATATATTGATACTCTTTTATTTATCTTTAAAGTAAGTAATCTATGATGGATTAACTAAATTTATAACACCTCAATTAATATGCTCTATGACAGAAAATATATGTATAACAAATTTAAAATATTTAAATTATCTATCCAATTTGGTTTTGTAATTTATAAAAAAGCATTATAATTATAATTTATTAATTTTAAAATGATTAAGTTTCATATATTTTTAGATCAAATCCACAAAGAAATTAAATGACTATAGACCGTTACTGCAAATTACTTTGAGAAGTTCTTTGCTTGAAATGGTTTCACATCCATTAGACTGGATAAATGTACAATTTGGTATAAGTAAAGCAAGCATAGAACCTCTGGGAGACTGTACTTGTGGTGCTCAGGATTGTTATACGGTTAGTTAAAAATTATTCAAAACTCTATATTTTTTGTAAATTAATATTTATAAACATTTAAATTATTTTAGTTAATTTATTTCAGAATACTTATTTTTCATCTGGTGTATTACAAGATTCATACTTATTAAAATCATTATTTCGAGAAAACATAAATATTAATGCTTTTAATGATAATATATTTTCATTTGATCATCATCTAAATCAATTTAGTGGTGAGACATAATGTATATTTACCTTTATTTTAATAAATATTTTTCAGTTTAGTAAAATCATCATAATTTAAACACATTTTGAAACATGTCTTATAGTTATTAACTATTAATTATTAAAGTTCACTTAATTAAATACATTATAATTATAAATTTATCATTAACAAGTTGCTTTTTATATTTAATCCATTTTTAGAAACAATCCTCTTAGAAAAAACCTCTGCATTTGCAGTCGACTATTTATTCACTCAGATTTCCAATATAAACCAGCACAATTGTGATGAAAATCCAGAGAATTATTCCACGTAAGTATGATAAAAAATTACTGATATTATTAAACGATAGAATTTGAATATAAAATTCTATATATCATCGTCCAAAGGCAAATTAAACAACCAATCATGGGTGAAGGCATGACGGTTCAGCTAGTAATAATATAAAAAAAAAATAGCCATAATTTATAATTTAACATAAATAGGATAGAAAAGTTTTTATATAATTTTATCTCTTATACAATTTCACTACAATATACAGCAAAATTACTGTTAAAAGTCACCTCTAAATGCAATTTATTAAACTATTCTGAGATTGTCAATCAAATGAAACAATGAACAGCTCTCATTCTTCAAAAAGATTATGTAGATAGTTGAAAGCTGCAGGAATTGCTTAAATAATAAAATTAATTTAAAATTAAAATAAATAATTTAATTTTTTTAATTTTTATATTTGGTTACGTGCCATGGGTTCGAATGCCATCTGTTTTAACTTCAAGTGTACGAAAGGTCGTATGTTCGAAATTATTGATAAACAAAAACAACATGAATTTTACTTTAATATTTATTATTCATTGATTTAATTCGCAATATCGTTCAGATAAATTTGATTTGGTGAGTCTTGTGAAGCTTGAACACATTTTTTAATTTTATTTTTTAAAATTTTGCATTGAATTTTAACTATATATTGTGCGTGGTAATGATCATTAATAATAGAACAATCATCTTTTTTATGTTCACCGTGGTCAAAAATTATCCAAAATGTTGTTCTACATCGTTTTGTTCATTTCCAATAATATATATTATTTGATTACATATTCGCAGTCGTATCTTATCAAGCATAAATTCATAATTATTTATAAGTAATATTTCCTCGTCGTGTATACTTTTAAACGTCTTTAAACTTGCCATTTAAAAAAGAAAAATTACTTACACAAATTTATAAAATATTATTTAAAATCAACATTCAAACGAAATTGTGTTTGACATTTTTATAATGATGTATCAAGCCGTATTGATAGATGACAAACAAAAAAAAAAAAACGTTAAGAATATCTGTAATACTTTAATCAGTAAAGATAAAATTGTGTGAAATCCAATATTATGAAAACGCAATTATAATGTTATTTCCATTTAGTATCATTTATCAATAATTTCGAACATACAACCTTTCGTACAGTTAGTCTTTCGAACACATGACCCCTTAGCATAAATAGTTAAAAGCTGCAGAAATTGCTTAAATAATAAGATTAATTTAAAATTAAAATAAATTATTTAATTTTTTTAATTTTTAAAAGCTTATATGAAATTTAAATTGTACCTACCTACATTATATTGTAAATTATTAATACATTTTTTAGTGCCCATATTCATATGTGTACTTATATAATATTTTATTTTTAATATTTGTATGCACTTTAAATAGTGGTCATTAGTTTCGGTGCCTTTGGTGACTGTTTTATGGAATATCTACTTTATATGTTTTATAAATAAATAATGATAATTTTGTATTAAATATTATAAATAAAGAATATCAATAAAAATTTAAAAATTGTAGCAGGTATTAAATATTTAATGATCAATAATACTTTTGTTTTTTCTTTCTTTTATTTTATTATTTACTTATAATATTTTAAATCTATTATTCACAAAACAATTTAATTTTTAGTTTTATTAAAATATATTATAATAAAAGTATTTATATATATTAAAGGTCTGAAGAAAAATGTTTATTAAGATTTGTTGCTGGACCAAGTGTTTTGAATGTGTCATCAGGACTCATTCACAGAGTTGAATTCATTTACAAATTAATTCTTGGTCATGATTTATTTTTATTCACTACTCTTCCACAATCTTCACGTTTGGGTATAACTTTATTAAAATTATATTGATGTATTTAATATATATTTATATTGATTTAGATATTGATGAAAAACTCAACACTTTGAATAATCCTAATATTCAAATTATGGTGTATCAGTTTACAATATTTAACCCTACAGTCAAAATATATCCTGCTTGTCATGTACCAATACCATCATCTCAAAGACACAAAGTAAAATTAAATAAAATCAAAACCAAAGTATTATTAGTAGGTAATTTTTTTGTTGTAGCAGAAAAAATCAAAAAAGCTGTTTGAAACAATTTGATCCTGTGTTTAAAAACCCACCAATAGCTATTTTTGAACTGAAAGTTCTTGATGGTCGAATTGTGAAACCTAAAAAAAAAATGAAATGGTCTTCTATACCACAAAATATTACAGAAGAAATAAAATCACTAATGAAAATTAAAACTATATTTAGGGTATGTAATTAATAAAATATAAATTGAGCTTAAAACTTTTCAATAAAAATAATGCAATGATAATTTTTTAAATTTTTAAAAGTCCTTTAACTGTGTAATAATATAATTAATTAAACTTATTCATTCAAAAGTTCTGTATAATGAGTTTATATGTCTAAATTTACATTCAAATTTAAATTGAAGCTGGTGTTTAATAACTATTTATATGTAATTAATGGTATTATTTGTGAAAATTATTTTTATTTTTATTTTATTTTTTATAGATGAAAGATTTTGTTATAAAAATTACATTTTCTAGTTTCACTCATAAGTTGATAAAAATTAACAATATAGGATTTACTTCTACAGTGGACTGTATTACAAATTTTAATTCTGATTGCTTACTGGATATTGGTAATTATTCACATGTGTTCTTACTTTTTCCTTGTTAAAATTTTGTATAGTTTATATGTGCATATATGTATATTTTTAGATATAATAAGTTTTACAACATCAAAAGAAAATTATTTATTGATATATTATATAATTAATTCAATAATTATGTCTAACCATCGAAGGCTTTTACATGTTAATCATTATATTTTTAAATCATCATTATTAAATGATGCCCCAGGTAATCAATAATATATTTATATTTTAAACATTAACAGTAAAAAAAATAATCAAAATCTTAGAAAAATACAAATTCCATACACATAATTATAATACTTTATTTAATTTTTTTTTATTATGTAGATTGGATATTCGAGATTTTTATATTTAGTCTGTTCAATTTTTATTGTTAACGTTTAAAATTTAAAGTATGAAAAAAGTTCTAAAAAACTGATGAATAATTTGTTTCATAATAATAAATAAGTTATCTTGTACTTAGGTTCAATTGTATTGAAATTTAATTTGGAAGGAGCTAAAATATATTATAAATTAGAAAATCAAATATCTTGCATTAAAACTATATTGAACAATATTAGTGCAAAAATGGTATTATACAATTCATTAAGTAATAAACAAAGTGCTATTTTAGTGTCGACCCCTGAATTTATTAAAAATGCAATGCCATTCCTTCATGGTAAGTAATTTTATTAAAATATTTTTTCAATATGAATTCTGCTTTAAGTATCGCATTTTTAAATAGATTATAAGAAATTAATTTTAACATTTATAAGTTAATTTTACAATATTTATTTATAAAAAATATAACTTGTAGAAAATTTTTTATTTAGAGTTGTAATATTATTATGTATTCCAGTAATTCTTCAATTGACAGATAAAATAGATTCAAATGACATGCCATTAATATATTTAAAAGTTGGCAAATTAGATATGAACTTTGATCCAATGTTATTTGATTGGCTAATTTACATACCTGAAATGTATAACCAAAAAGAAATAAAGAAGAAAAATTCTACTTCTGATTTAGCATTTTTTAGGTACTATTTAAAATCTATATTTTCATAATGCAATAAAATTTGACAAATTTTATTCTTTTAGTGCTCCAAGTCGAAAAATATCAGAAACTAGCATTAGCAGTGATAAAAAAAAAAAGCCCAAACCATCTATTCAAAGTAGTATTTCAGAAAATATTTCATTTCATTCTGCTAATTATATGCATTTAAAAATTGAAGTAAGCAAATTATTTTTTTAAAACCAAAATAGTATTAAACAAAAAAACCTACATTAAAATGTTATTAAAAAATTATCAAACAATTTTTGCATAGTAAATAAAAAATTTAATTTATAATGTCAAAGTTTTATTTAATTATTAAAAATTTCATTTCAAATTCAGAATATATTTAAAGCAAAGTGATTTTAATTATTTTTTTTTATTTTATTTCTTTTAAGAAGGAAATATTAATTATAATATAACTATTACAATATCATAAGCAAGCAAACATTGCTTTCTTGTTTTAGTTAAGCTTAATTTTAAACTCAGCCAATTGTGTTTTGACAAAATACTTTTTAAGACCTCTAAATAAATTGAAAAGTTTATTTTAAATATGAGTAATTACTTATATTTTGTTGTGGTTTTGTTATTTGTAGTCTAAAGAAATGAAAATCTTACACTTATTCAACAAATGGAAATCATCAATGGTTTTTGTTGATACATCAAAATTTGCTTTATATTTTCCTAGCAAATCATTATCAATGTTGGAAAAATCACCAAGTTGTAAGGATTTCAACCTGAAAAAATTAATTGAAATGTCAACCAATAATGGAAATGGATTATTGGTATTTAGAATATCAAAAATTTCTTTAAATTGTATTTTACCAAAAAATCAAATAGAACCATATTTAAATACTACTCCTGTACGTTTTCCTAATACATTATGGTCACCTGGTAAGACTTCACTTTTTTTTTAGTTTTAACTAATCTAGAAAAAGATTACTAAATACATAATTTTTTTAATTATAAAATGAGTGTTCATAATTATCTATTTTATTAACTTTAATATGAACTTTAGAATCAGTATACTACAAATGCAAGTATATTAACTGTCATTAAATTGTATTTATTGAAAGTATTATTCTTGTGTACTGCAAACCATGAAAACTCATAATTTAATGTTGTACATGAATAATATCATCATATTTTCATTAGATTTGACTACCTACTTATTTCTTTTTTTTTAGGTAATGTGTATTTTCCGTGGCAACTAAACTTTTTAAAATTAGAATGCTATACCATTCATAGCTCCTACGATATTACATACCAAAGAACTTATACGCATAAAATACAACTATTGTATCCTTTTAGTGCCCAATGCACTTTGGCTATTACAACTCAGTATCATGATAATAGTATAGAGTCATTAAAAAGTTTAGCTGCTTGTATACATTGTGATTCCGATCCAGTATCTATTTGTATATCAGAACAACAAGTAAGTTATATCAGAAATTAAGTTATTTTTATTATAATATTTATAAAAAAAAAAAAAAAAACTATGTTTAGTATAATAAATAATTTATTTGATATAAATATAATATGTTACTAATTGTTCTTGAAATTGTCTAGTTATTTAAATGAACCTTATTATGCTATTTCATGAAATGAAATATATTTTATAGTTTTTATTATAGTTAATCAGTTTCAATACTTTCCATTTTTAATTTATAATTGCATATAATAAATTGAATATTTTATAAGTATGGATTATGCTAGATCAAAGAATTTTATATGATGAGATGTAATAACTTTTACTTAAAATATAATTTACTATTCTTGCATGGCCATATTTATATAATTAGCTAATACATTCTAAATTATTGCATATTGATAGAAAAAATTAAAGTATAAAACACCAATTTAAAAACTTATTATTTATTTTTGTAGTTTTTCATATTCGTAGCATAATAACATTTTTGGTTTATCTCTTTTCATCTTGTGTTATTATAATAGAGATACTTAAATAGTAAGATTAAGTATCAGTTATTGAATGGCTATAAAAGTAGTTGTATAATAAATAACATTTTTTTTCTTCAATATTTATGAGCTATACTATAGCAGTTCCCAAATTTGAGGTCGTAACCCAAAACATAGTGACAAATTTTTTTATAGTGGGTCATAGAAATATAAATAAATTTACATATTTTAATATTTTTTATTTTTTAATTATTTATTTGCTTCAATTTCTTATTTTATTTTAGAAAATGTTTAATATTAACAGCAACTAGTCAACATAATTTACCTTTATAAAATCAAGAGCTTTTAATTCCTAAGTATTTAATGCAATGTGTGATGAAATGTAGTTACTTTACTTACAAATGTACAATGTCTAATCTTTCATGACTTTCTCATAAAAGAATTCTTAGTCGAGTTAACTCTGTGCTCAGAAATCCATATTTTTTTTATTGAAAAACACCCATTTACCAAAAAATTGTCTGACCCTGCTTAGGTAGATATATTAATCTTCTTAAGTGCAGAAACAAATATAAACCAATTCTTTTAGAGAAGCAGATAAAGTTTTATTACCATGTCCAACCACTTATTTATGTAAAGCATAGTTTTCTGAATTAACGATAATAAAAACGAAGGGTGCTACTTCGGTTTGCGCTCTATTGACAAGTTTCTAATTCAGTATGCGCTCTAAAGACTAGTTTTGTTTCAGTATGCATTCTACCATAACGCTATTTTAATTATGTTTTATATAATTTAAATAATTTATATAATATAATTTATATAATTTTATTGTTTATACACCTTCTGAATGTCTTCCAACAAGGCGAAATAAAGATCAGGACTATCTTGAATGTAAAGTTGCTTGCAATAGTAATTAAGATGAGACTGCAAATGGTGAAAAAGAATTCCCCTCATTTTCTTCAATAATTCCATTTTTGTATCTACCCAAGATCTTTCAATGTTATGACTTTATAACATTGGGCTGGGATTTTAATGCCCTAAAAAAACCTCGAAAAATACCTTAAAAAAAAATAATACTTTTATGACCTAAAAAACACTAAAAAATACACTTACATTTTTATTTTTAATAATTTTAGTATAAATAAAATTATATGAACTATAACAAAAAGTTAAAAGATGGAAAAATTCATAAAATGCATTATAAAAATGACTAAATGTATTCAATAAATATATTAAAATTATTAAAAAAAAAGTTGTACATAAAGCTAGATATCATAGACTTGTATTTCGTTTAATCTGAAAAAACACATTGTTTTCAACTCGTTATCTAAGTTTTGACACATTTCAACAATTGTCCGATAATATAATACGAATAACGAGTACCTACTTATAATCTGTTATATTTATATATAAACCATGTTGGTGTAAAAATCTTAAAATTAAACTTCTAATTCATATTTTGATTCCAAAAACTAATATGCCCTAAAAAATTAAGAAAATTAAAAAAAAAAAAACAAAAAAATAAAAAATATAAATAAAACTAAAAACTAAAAAACATCAAATAATGCAAAATAAACTTTCTTATTGTCATTCAAAAGAATATAAAACAAATTTGTGATAAGGCATTGCATAGTTAGCTTTGGAAAACAATACAAAGTGCATCAAAATCCCAGTCTTAGTTATGAATATGGGCTCCTGTATTTTCATCAACAAATGATATTTGATAATTTACCATTTTATGAATAAAACCTTGGCTTGTGAGACACCTTTATGCAGCCCATTCATTAGTATGAATTTCTGATGCTGCCTTGCACTTACATTCTATAATATATAAGAAATACAGTTGTTGTCCGATATAGAACCGGTGTAGAACTGACTAACATAGAACAGGCAAAACTTGTAGAGTCCATACTGAAGTGACACCAAATTAAGTATAGTTATTTACTATATATAACTTAATAAGTTATAGATTTGATACACAACATAAAATACGATATCCTTGCAATAAAAATCAAACCAAGTATTGAGAAACTAATGGACATTAGACAACAATATCACAATAGCCATTCATTTATTAATTTAAGAATAATTTTGCTCTGCTTAAAAAATGTAAGCGAATAGTAGATTGTAATTATTCATTTTTTTTTTTTTTTATTATATAAATTTAAAATTATTATTAATTTGTATACAAATTGAATGTATGTAATTGTAAAAAATAAATAAACCTAACTAATATTCATAGTTTATATCAATATAAAAGGGTAATTTTTTCTTTTTTATTCTTTTTTTTACTGTTATTGGTAAGCAAATATAACTGGATCGTATATAAGTTAATTTTAAATCTTAAATCTTAAGATCACGGTAAAAATAGTTGGGGAACTGCTAAGCTATAGCATTAAGTAGAGATTATAATTATATTAAATCATAGAATATAATTTAGATGTAAGATATATAATATGTAAAAGACAGTGTTAAATATTACCTATTTCACAAATAGATCTTGACAAATATATGTATGTATTTATTTATGTTTATGAATTTATCTATTAAAATTTGCATGAATTGTATGGGTACAGATTTTTGAAATAAAAATCCTAAGGTTTGTTTGTATAAAATATATTTATATGTTTTCAAATTTAAACATTTTCTTATTATAATTACTTGTACAATTATGTTTTTTTTTTCTCACAGGTGCGACTTGTTGCTGATTTATTGAAAAAACAAATTGAAGTATACAAGGTGATATTTTCAAATATTGAGTATGGAACATTTTTTAATCGATCTGTAGCTCATGAAATGTCATCTATTCCTGAAGATGAAATTGTTGAATCCAAAATACAAGCATTTGGTAATTTCTGTAATGTATGTAAAATATTTGTTGCTTATTGTTTTATCATATAATTCATGTTTTAAGATATTAAAAAAACTAAAGAAAATATAAAACTATCTGGTTGGTTTCAATGGACTTTAGCCCGATTCTCATTGATTATTAAAAATAATCCAGAACATAGTTCAACAGAAAATGTTAAACTTGTATTGGACTTAGAGGATGTGATTAGTTCATTAGATTTTGGAGTCTCATATCACAAACTGAAATTGAAAATATCTTCTGCATCTATACAACACTTTGTTAAGTAAATCATAAATATATATTCTGTTTATATATTAATGTACAGATATATTATTGGTAATATATAATTTGTATAAATTATTTGTTTTAGAAATATCAAAGAAGAGCAATGGAAACATGGACCATATTTAGGTCTTATACTTAAAGGTTATGATCCATTAAATAACTCAGAGAAATCAAAAACTGATGGTTTTATAAATTTTACACTAACTAGAGCTTTTAAAAGTTCTTTTCAAGGGCCTAAGTTAAATAAAGATAATACATCTTTATACATGGTAGTATAACTTTCTTTTTAGTAGTAATAACCTTTAATTTTATATAATTAAGATATAAATATCATTTATATTTTACAAAATAATCAAATTTATTATTAATAAATCTATTATATTTCGAATACTAAAACAAATGATTTTACAATTATTAGACAAATCATTTGTCGTTTTAAATAAAAAAAAATATGAAATAGTGTTACATTTCTTCCTACTGTGAAGTTTAATGTAATACTGTTTTAGAAATTTCTATCCTATTTTATAATATTTTAAATTTATAAAGTTAATTGTATGAAAAATTAATTTTTAAATAATAAACAATGATTTATTGATAAATACTAAAATAATTCTAAAAATATTATATGCATTTTTAACCCAATATTTGCTAAAAACCATTTGTATAAATTAACCAATTGTATTATTTATCTTGTTTCAAGATAGACATTTGTTGCTTCTTTAAATATGATTATTAAAATAAAAACATTAAATATCAGCATGATATTTTTATTTTTGTTATGATTTTAGGTTAGTGATGAAATGCTTAAGTTAAATCAACAATTAATGGATGATTATATAATGGAAATTGTAATCAAAGTGCAACCCATTGACATTGTTATATCTCCTTTAAATCTTCATACATTTTTGACAATTATTGATCCACTATTAGAAATATTTATTAATTCGGAATATATATTAAATCCTTCATCAAACTCTCATGATATGTTAGAATCAACAAAAGGATTATTTGGTTCAACATTACCACTGTTTTACTTAGATATTGCATTGTTAAGAATTTTTATACCAATTTCAGTACTAGATTATAAAATTGAAAATCATGATACAGTCATTATTCAGGTTAGAACATTAATTGACATTTTATAATATTGTTTCATATTAGAAAAATTTGTATTAATTTAGGTTAATTCAGTAAAAATAAATCAAAATCCTGAAAATCCTATTGCTCGAACTCCACTCAGGAAAGATTTGTATGCTGAAGCTGAAAAAAGAGGATTATTGACCATTCCTGGTTCAATAGTTGAAGATCGTCAATACCAAATTATTATTAATGGGTTTTCAATAAAAACTGGATTTTGGATTGATTTTAAACAAGTTTTAAAATTTTATCAAGCATCATTAACTTTGGATACTGATCATCAACCAAATGCTGCATTATTATGGAATGAAGGAAAGCGACCTAGATCTATGGCAAATTCAAACATTGATGAAATTAATATGTTAACGTTGTTTTATGAAGTATCTTTTCACTCTGTTTTTGCGCCTCCAATTATATTTGAACCAGAAAATACATTGGTGTGTAGCAGTTGGATGGAAGTAAGTGATTAAAATTTAAATGTTCATGTTACCCATTATTTATTTTTTGTTATTTATTTATTAGGTGAATACATTAAATGAAATAACAATCACTTTATCTGTAGAACAGCTATATTTATTGAATATATTAGTTTCTCAATGTAATGAATATATATTAAGTCATTTAAAAACTAATTACACTCAATATGTACCAAGTGAAAAAACACAACCAAAATGCATAAATGAATCATTGACTCATGATAGTTGTATTCAGTCTACAGAATATAATAATAAATATTTTGATCACGACAACAGTTTGATAACAACGGCTGACAATAAAATTAATTCTCAGTCAAATGCATCAATTTTTACTAAAAAGTAAGTGTACAATATAATTTTTTGACATTATAACAATGCTATAACATTATTAAAATTGTATTACACTTCATCAAATAAAAATAATTATTTCATTTTATTTTTTAGAGACTCTAATACCATAAATAAAATTCCAATTGATATAATCATCACAGGAAATCAAATCAATTTAAATTTTTTCAATTACATTGTGAAAAACGAAATAAAAATTTCTGAACCTTTAATCTTTATTGTTATTCATCAACCGCATGTATTTTTTTCTCTTTCTAATAATTCTGATTCTTGTCAAGTATGAGTTCAAAATATTTTTATTTTTTTATTTTTACTTAATTTAGTATTGATCAATAAATTATTCTGTGTTTTAGGTAATATTCTTTGATCTAACAATGTCATTGGCTCCAAAAAATAAAATGTATGATATTGAAGTACCCGATTCCAAAATTTATTCTGTATCTCTGTTTGAAACTAAGTCTAACTCAATGGATGAAATTCCTCTAGCATTTTTTACATTGAAAATTTCCCGTCCGATTACAATTGGTCAATATAAAGTATGTAAAAGTGTTCTTTTACTTATTTTTCTTACTGTATTGCTGTGGCAAAGGTATTCAATGTGGCCCGTTAAAATTTTTTTTAAATAGAACAAAATAGTAATAAAAAAAGTTTTTTGTGTTTTTATTTTGAAAATTAACAATTTGTCACATATAGTTACAATAAGAAGATGGATGGGGTGTGCATAAATGGTACTGAGGACATGAGTTGAAGTCGTTATCCATTGATAGCGCTTTGGTGTGCACTATTATATTATTTGCACATTAAATTATAAGAAAAAAAATAAAAAGGAGAAAAATAAATAAATAAAATAATTAAAAAAAAAAGTAAAATTATTATAAAATACAATTTTTACCTACTAAAAATTAGAAATACTGAAATACTAAATATTAAAATTAAAAATAACCTAAATTAAATGTAACCAAACAACCCCAAAAATCATATTGAAATTAAATTTTAAAATGTATATTCATTTTTTATGTACATATATACACACTTATCGATTCAAATAATTAAATACTTCATAATTGTTTATTTTATTTTTTATCAAAACTAATATTTAATTTCTTATTAATACCATGTAAAAATGGAAAAATTGATAGTTAAAGTTATGTAAAGCAATGACGAGAGGTAAAAGGATATATGAATGAAAAAAGGATGAGAAACACTACTATGTAGTATGTTTATATATTTTATTTCTTTTTAGGTTGAACTTATATTAGGAAGAGCAATTTCATTGTTATTAAATAAATATAAAATGGATCACTGTTGTAATTTATTAGATTTTATTAAACAAAGTTTTCATACATGTCCTCTGCCTTATGAAGCAACAAAAAATGATAAAAAATATAATCTTTACACTGATCCAAAGTAAGTTAATAATTATTTTGAAAAATATATTTAATTATTTTTAATAATTTACTTGTTATTATTATTTATAATCAAACTAATAGATTTATTGATGAGTTGAAAAGATTTTATATTTATATTGTAATATGTAAATGATTATTTTGCATTTATGCTATTTAGGTCTCTAACAATTTTTTTTGTTTCATTTTTTCATGTTTTACATTTAGGTATAGTTTTAACTTAAACATCATACGTACTTTTGAAATTAACTTAAATAAATTATATGATAAAAAAAAGAATAATATAAGTTCTGATTTATTCCCATAAATGCTTAACTATTTATAATGGACATTTTTAATATTTTTATTTAAACTGTTTGGCATGACTATTTTATGTAAGATGTTTTTCTGAACTAATTTTAATAGTCTTGAAAATATTTCAAGATTTAAGATAATTATATTTTAGAATTTGAATTAAGACAGAGTTTTTTATTTTCATGATAATATTCTTCATTATAATCATAAAAGTAATCAGGAACTAATATATTTAATATTTATTAGCTAGTTGTTTACAATCAGTAGATGTATCTAAATTATTTAATATGTATAAATTATACATTTATTGATCTTAATAATAATTTTATATTTGTAGGCCTAATGAAATTTTGAATCAGACTTTTCAAATTGACTCTATTGTATCTCAATATGAAACCGATAAATTTGGTTTGCATAATTACGATGATACAATTATTGATTCAGTTGATGATAATTTGAGTGAAACTAATAAGGAAATGAACACAAAAATAATTGAAATACCAGTATTATTGGTAAATGAACATTTTTGGTACTCAAAACCAATAGTTATGAATATATCAACTCAACAAATATTTATTAAACTATCCACAGAAAATAATGGTATAATAAAAAATCTTGAAATTTTTTTTTATTATTATTAATAAAAATGTATGTATTCAATTATTTCAGATAATATTATATTTAGTATTGAAAGTGTACTTTCTAAAATACATTGTTTATGGAAAAAACCATCAGAACGTATGAATGGTGAAATAACAATGAACAGTGTAACAATATCTATTGGACATAATTATTCAAATTCCAGTGCAAATGAATTGATATTACACCCATGTACAATGACTTTAGAAATTGTCTTGTCATCAGATCCATGGGTTCCAGCAATTTTGAGACCAACAAAACAAATTAAAATACTTACAGATTATATCTCATTTCATATATCTCCAGTTAATTATAATACATTAAAACTGATATGGAATGAATATAAATATTTATTGGAGTACAATAAAAATGCAACAACAAATTTAAGTCAAAGTAGGTTTTTTCTTATATATTTTTTTTTAAATATATTTAATAATTGGTATCTTAAACAATTAGTTATAAGTTTATAACTTATATAAATATAATAAAATATTTTCAAAGTTAATACTAAATAATCTTTATTAAAATAGCTTTTTATTATATTATAAAGTATTTTTATATAATAAATATATACCTTTTTTTAAGTTTTCATTCATTTGTTTTGTTTACACCTTTCTATTCTTGGTTGTGTCAGTTTTTAAAGAAAAATGTTGGATGAACTAAAATAATAGCACTACTTGAAATAAGTTTTTGCATTTCTTTATTTGAATTTTTTTTTTTTTTAGATTCTGAATCTGACGAACAATTTTATCAAGATGATCTAAGAGCCGGAGCTTTTCAATTTTTGGAAACAAATAGTTCTGATTTACCTTTGCCTTATCAAATTTTTTTTTCAGAATATTTTTCCAACGATCCACCTAAAATAACATGGCGTTATCCTCAACCTCGAAAATTGACAAAGATTGAAATACAACCAGTTCCCATAGATGTATGTAAAATTAAATTATTGTTTTTCATGTATTAATTAAAACTATAAATTATAAAAAATTTTAAGATGGATATGGACATTGAACTTCATTTGCAATGGTATGATGAGATACAGAATTGCTTTAGAGAACATACTAGTTTCATATTTCCTAAATATGAACCTATGTTATTGAGACTCGAATCTTGGCAAGCAGTTTCAAACACATGGCAAATAATTATAAATAACTCATGTACAGTTCACTCCCAGTTTCAGATTAAGTAATTTATACAGTTTATTAATTATATTATACATTGTTGTAACTAACATTTTATGTTAATAGAAGTTTAGTTGGATGCCTTAGAGTCGACTCATATTTCTCACCAAACTTAGTACCACAGTTACAGTTTTCATTATCAGCATCTTCAATTAAAGTAATAATTTCTAGATTAAATTAGTGAAAATATTTTCTTATAATATTTCAAACAGGTAAATATTTCATATGATATTCAAAAGAAATCATATGTGCCAAGATATGATTGTATTTCTGATGTTCCACCAAAACATACACTAGTTTTTTTTATTTTGGATCAAATAAACATTGGCTTCAAACTTCAAGAAGGTATTTAATAATTATTTTCTAATTCTTTCAAATTATCAATGTGTGTGTGTATGTGTGTGTGTGTGTGTGTGTGGAAATGTGGAAAAAATAAAATTATATAGAAATGTAATATCTTTGATTTAATATTCGAACACAAAAATTAGCTCATGATTTTAAGTTTGTGTAGTTATTAAATATATTATTCTTGTTTATTAAATTCTTGTATATTAAATAAAATTTTTTTTTTTTTAGGAGAAATGAATATTTCAGCTCAATCACATGTAAAAATTGAACTCTTAAACTATGGTACATTAACACAAATTCCAATTTTAAAATTGTTTTTTTTATTTACAAGTCATCATGTAACAAAACCAAGTAAATATTTCCTATATAATAGTACAATAACCGTAGATTAATCTTAATATCTCAATTTTATTTTAATAGTACCTGATATTCAATACAACATTCAAACTGGAGCTATTACATGTCAATTTGGTCCAAGTATGATTAACTCTTTGACTGCAGCAGTACATCTATGGAATAATCATTCATATTTTATAACTATGCCATATATTATTTGTAATGATACCAATTTCAAAATAATGTGAGTTTTTAAATTAATTTAATTTTTTTCTTTCAAGTATCTACAATTAATTTTCCATAGTTAAATTAATTTACTAAATATATTAAATGAGTTGAAATATAAAATGTAGGTAAATTAATGATTTATAAATCAATTTTAACCATCTAAATAGCCTTGTAAAGTATAAATTATTAGAAATATATAAATACATACATTTTACAATATTAACTGTCATATTATTAATAATTAATTATGAACAAATGTTCACATTGCTGTATGAAGATCATAAAACAATTTTTCATCCTACTCCACAACTTTTATTATTGAAGTAAAAATATGCAAATGCATTAACTTCATTTATTAGTAAATAATTATTACTGAAAGCAGTGGTGTTAATAGAAATTGTTTTCACTGTAAGCTAATTTTTTTATGAATACATAGTTCTAAATATTGTGTATTACCTCTGGTTGGAGTTAATTCATTACCACTTTATTAGCTATTTGTTATAATAGTATGAACTAGTAATTAGACATTAAATAATTTTTTTTATTTTTAAGCTTTAATTAAATCATAATTATTTATGATGTATATATATTAAAAATAATGCATGAAAGATCTAAAATATTTTCACTTGAAATTTCACTATGGACTATGTCCCATATGTCTCCCTCTATATATACCACTGACTGAAAGCTTCTACATTTTTGACCTTAGACGTTATTTTTAAGATACATAATTTTCTGGTTTTTTCTTTAAATTACCTTTAAGTACATTTCAATTTGTTATTGTAGATTTGGTCAAGAAACCACTAATGAAATTATCACTCTTGATAGTTTGCAATCCTATCAATATACATGGCGAGTGCCTACTGAACATCCTCGCATACGAATTAGTGTTGGAAATATTGACAAGTAATTTTTTCTTATATTTAGTTAAATGCAACTATGTTTAATTTATGTGTTTTTTTTCTCTTTATATTTAGTTTATCTTGGAGTAATGGAATAAGTTTACATCCTGAAACTTTAATGTCATTTATTGTAAAAAATCATAAAGGAAAACCTCATATATTAATATTATCTATAACAAATATGACGCCTTCTATCATAAAAGTAGGTCTGAATGTATGTAAAAATAATTTTTTTTTTTGTATATTTTTATATTTTATTAGGTCACTGTATCCAGCCAACTGAGTATTTTAAATAAAACAAATTATTTATTGGATGCTCAATTTACTAAAATTAAACAAATTGAAGAACAAAAAGATAGTCATCAAAATTTGGTCTTACAAACTTTATCTATTGCTCCAGAAAACTTTTCTCCATCCATAATGTTACATAATGAACTAAAAGTTACACTAAAATTACGGTTTTATACCCCTAATCTTGAAGGCCCTTGGTCTGGACCAATCCCACTGCATGCAGTTCAAACAGTTAATGGAAATCAAAATTCTTGGCTTGTTAAAAGTAAGTCTTGTGATTTAATATACTTTTAAACACAAGTATAGTTTAATTGGCTAATCTAGCTTATTTTAGATTCTGAATGAAAATAAGAAATATATTATGATGTGTTTTTTTTTTTATATTTTCTTTATAATTTTGATCAAAAAAATTGCTTCAATCATCTTCAACATGAAATTTTATTGATTGGGAATGTTATCTTATTAGTAATTTTGGTAGTTTTTTAGATTTCTCAAAAAATTAATTTGTTGTAACTTTAAAAAAAGTAATATTAGATACTAGGAATTTTTACTGAATGCTTATTACATCATTGTAAGCTAGATATCATAATTTTCTAAAGACTGGTTTTTTCAAGCCATTTATAAATATTTAAAAATATCACCTTTTATATATATATATATATGTTACGGGCAAAGTATACAATTTGGGCATTTTATACATTGTCCGGACAGTATATAAAATGCCTTTCGTATATTGGGCAATATAGATAACGGATGATATGATTTAATGAAATATGATAAATCGTAAAACATAGTTAAAATAAAGTCAAATTATTATCTAAAAATTATTATCTGTAACTAATTTGTTTGTTCTTATCGTATTTTTACAATGGGGATGTCCGCTTGTCCACATATTATACACGTGTACGTGACATAATATATTATTACTATATTTACTGATTTATAAGTTATATTATATGAAGTTGTAGTGATTATCGTGCAGTCGGCCTTTTACCTATTCTCAAAAATGAACTATTTAGTAACCGTGAATCGTTTGTATAGTGCAGGTTAATTTATTCAGTGCGTACCTAACTACTTATTCGAATATGGAAAAGTTTAATGAAGATTTAAACAATATTTTTTTAAAAAAAAAAGGTTCAAATACTTCATTTTTTACCAAGTTAAAATTTAATCAATTAATTTTACATAAAAATCAATTAAAAAACTATTCAAAGAAAAAGGAACCGAATGATTATAAACTTTTAAAAAACTATGACGTGTTAATAAGTTAATTGTACCAGTATTTGAAAACAACAAAATTAAATATTATGTACATTTATCGATTGGACATGGTGGACGAAACAGGATGGAACACGAGGTAAATACAAAATATAAAAATATTACCAGAGATATAATTATGCTATACTTAAATAGTTGCGAATTATGTAAAAGAAAAAGAAGCACAGCCAAGAAAGAATTGGTGGTGCAATAAATTATATCTACTGAGATGAATTAATCAATAATATAAATACATGTCATTATTCATTGATTTATCATATTTCATTAAATCATATCATCTGTTATCTATAATGCCCAATATACGAAGGGCATTTTATATACTGTCCGGACAATGCATAAAATGCCTGTACATTTTATAAAATGTCCAAATTGTATACTTTGCCCATAACATATATATATATAAAATTTCAATAAAATTAATTTGTTACCAAAAATTATTAAAAATGTAATACAAAGTTTTCATGCATATCTATTACTGGTTAATGAACAAAAAAGGTGATTTAATTTCAAAAAAATATTTATTAGGTTAGAATATTCAATTTTGTCCAAACAACAATAAACTACATCATTATAATTGTAAAAAAAAATCATGATTCATAAAGCTTTCAATTTCCATACTATAACTTAAAATGTAACACAAAATTTTCTTAATAAACTACAATAAAAAAATTGTATAAGCTTTAGAATATGAAATTTTATTTTTATATCTGTGTATACAATTTTCATTATGATTGCATATCATCACAGTTATGGATGATTTATGTTAAAAATATCTCTGGAAATATTGTCTAGTTAGTACTATGAAGGGAGTCATTTTAAAAACTTCCTAACAATTTTCTTAATAATTGCAAAAAACTAACCAAAAATAAAAATAACGTATACAATTTACTACTTTGATCCACTCAACCTCTTTAATTCAAAATTGTTGAATTGAATAATGCAATAGTACAATGATTTCAAATTTAAAGGCCAGACAGCAATATGATTCACCCATCCTTATACCTTACTTGATAGTGGAGTCCTGACCTAGGAGTTTCTCCTTTTTTTATGTAAAATCTATTAAAAAATATTCTATCCATTGGTCAATAACATTGACCTAAGTTAATTATAAAATTAAAGTACATTTGGACAGAATTATATGTATAAATAATTGAATAACTTCAATATATTAAAAATTAATTTTTTTAAATTATTTTATCCCCTCATTTTTATTTATCAAACATCCTGATAGTAATGTAAAAATTAATATATTTATTTATTTATTTAAACTTGTTAACAGTTCCAATGAAAGATAATATGAAAAAATACCGTAGTATTTGGTGTCGCTTGATCATTGAAAATATCAATAAAATTCCTCGTATGTTGGTATGTATAAATATATTTATGCTTATTACATTTACCTAATAATTGTTTTTTTTTTTTTAGATTTTGTTAATGCCAATGTATGTTGTTCGCTCATATTTACCCTATGATACTTTATTAAATTTTAATTTAGTTGATAGTAAATTAGAACAAAACACAATTATAAGAGCCAAATCTGCCATCACATTAGATGAAATACAACATCTTGATTTGCCTGGCACGATGAAAGATGTTTATAATTTAACTATAAAATCAAAGTAAAAATCAAATTTATTTTAGCTAATTATATTAATATTTTTATAAGTTTAGGAAGTAATTAAAATAATTTTTAGTGAGGATTCTTTAGCTTCTACTCCACCAGTATCTGTAACATATCATATGAATATTGATTTGCCTGAATTAATAAATGATAGTTATTTTACCATTGAAGATATTTTTAATGGAAAATATTCAATTATGGATTCTGATCTCAAATGGCCATTTATTGGTAAACAATTTTCATGTATAAAATGGAAACAAAGTGATTTACCAGATACTCAAACTACCGTTAAAGTAAAATTCATAATAATTATTTATATTAAATTTATGTGTATATACATTATATAATATCCAAACCAGTGATATATCTACTGAAGGTTACATCAAATATTTATATTTTTAATGTTATTTAGTTAATATTTTAATTAAAACACGGTTACCAATATTTTTCACTAATGGTATTTTACCCAAAAATCCTTAAATCCGAACACCTTTTTCACATAATACATATAAAAAATTAAAAATCAATTAATATAATTAATAATAATATAACAAATTCTTTAGTGTTATAATTAAATGGATATTTTAAAATCGATAAATTATTCATATAAAAAATAAAATTATGAATATAATATTTATAAAACAATGTTACGCGGCATTGCCTTCAGAAATTGAAGAGCTCTGTGCAAAAACCATACAACTCCATATTTTGAAAACTGTTCTTTTTTTAAATTCTAGTACAGAAAAATAATGTTTATAAATCTATGTAAAAACAAGCAAGACAAAATCCATCATTAATTCATGAAATATAACATATTTGGAGCTGTTCGGTTTTGTTTTTGCTAAGAAACAACCTATACAATTTAATTTCAATAAAAATAAACATGTTAATTACCTGTAAAATTATGAGCATAAATCAAGATAACCCATAACTTTCTAATATTTTTTAATTTTTAAGTTTTTTATAGTGTATAAAACTTTGGTCACTTTGGTAAATAATTATCTTGGAATGGGCCACTAAATATAAGAGTACAGTAGAAGCGCTTATTTTATAGATATTAAATTATTTTTTATGTAATTTTTTTGATCTATCATGTTTTGTAAAAACAAAAAAATATCCTGAATATTTTTAAAAAATTAAACCGTCTGATTTTTGGACAGAACCCTTCAACTGTAGCTCCTGGTACATATTAAAATCAGCATTAATTCTCTTTTGAAAATCTATCTTTAAAAAATGTATCATTAATTTTGTAGATAGCCTATTTTTATTACAAAATAATATATTTATTTTGCAGAAATAATTTTATTTTTAATTAAGTTAATTTTTTTTATCCATTCATTTGTAAGTTAACGAAAAAATTTAATTTATAAATAATATATAAAATATTAGTTTACCTTTTAACTTAACTTACTTTTTCTTGTATTATTAACTTAATGAGTCAAATAAAACATTATACAAGCGATGATAATAATAATAATATCACAAGCACGTAATGATATCGGTGTAAAATACAAATCAGTTAAATGTTCATTTATCGAATATAGTAATTTTTTTTTTTTTTAACTTATATTAAAAAACTTTATTAAAAAATGTTCAATAAAAAATGTAAAAATAATAAATTTGTTTCAACAATTAATAGATATAAAAATGGAAGAAAAATAAAAATAAAAACATTTATATTTATGTAAGAGAAAAATGTAATTATAATAAAAAGCCCTCTGAGAGGAAAAAATTGATGATGGTTTTGATCAAATATGGATTTGGAGATTGGAAGACATATGGAAAAGTAAAAGGAGCATTGTTGGTAAAACATATAGTAGAAAGAAGACGCTGGCTATGAAGGAGATCAGGGCAATTAAACAAAAGATAATAATAATAAGTTTATTTCTATCAAAAGACTATACATTTTTAATATTAGCATAAGTTTAATTTGATTATTGATGGATCTCCTCAAAAGCTAATAGCTGTGCTAGAGAAGAAAGTTCCTTAGATAATAATATATAGTTAGAAACAAATTTTAACAATAAGAATTTAACAAGTCTACTTAATTGAATATTAAATGAGCAAATAAAATTACTAAAATAAAGTATTAATATCATTTGTATACATTGAAAATTGTTTGAAGTTATGTAAATTTAAATCATGATCACAACAAAATTGAATAAACTCTTATTGAGGCATCACTATTTAAAAACTGTTCCAATTTTTGGAACAATGACATTTGTCTTAGATTTAAGTTAAAATTAAAAATTTAAAGTTGCTATACCAAGTCATTTTTAAAATTATACATTAATAAACAAATATTTTTAAAGTACAATGATTTTAAACTTAGTATATTTAATTCACTATATAATTTAGATGTTTGAAACAAGTGAGGCCTATTAAAAATGAATTTTACTAGTGAATTCAGCATTACTCCAAGGTTGTAAAGATGTGTTATGTATGGTACGTGCTCCTCCCCAAAATAAAACACCATAAGAAATAATAGATTGTATAAGTGAAATGTATGTTAATTTTTTTAGCTTATAATTTAGGATATGTTTGAGTGATTTGAAAAGGTAAAAAAAATTCCGAAACCGATCTGTCGGTGAAAAATAAGCAATAATTGTGATAATGAGTGATAAAGGCATTAAATAAATCATTTATAGTGGATGGAGAAAATGATCGAATAGTTGAAATAGGAAAACTCAGAAACGTTGGACAGATAAATTAAGGTACAACTAACACAATAAAACCTCGAAAGGTGTATCGTAAAGAGGTAAACGGCTAAATAAAACGTGTATGAAAGGAAAAAACGAATAAAGAGAATCCGTAATATAGCCTATAAAGAGGTAGATTTGGCACAGTAACGCCAAATGCCGAAAATTGATAAATACAATGCAGGAATAATCACGGAGAAAAGGGGAAGATGATTTATTAATAATGAATTTACCGTCTAACCAGAGAACCCGAACGTCCAAGGGAGTAACGTAAAACTCGACTTCTAAAGTTGGGGAGGGAGCGGTGCGGAGAACACCAAGAATCGAACGTAAACACGTGTCATAGTAGGAATTAAGTTTACCGCGAATGGTTTTGAAAGCTGTACGGGAATAAGTTAGGCTATTTTGAAGTGAAAGAAAAAAGATATAGAAGATGTGGACCTCAGGGAAGTTTAGAATATATGATGAGACTTGAGTAGGTAACAGTGGAAACGAATATGATATTGTGAGTGCCTTGCACGGCTGGTAAATACAAAGGAAGCCGCCACCTAGTGAGATGATGGCTTTTGATTTTTTGGAAAGCTGCCGTGAAGAACTGGTATTTAAAGGAGTAGAAAGATAAACAAGAGCGGAATTTAGGTGTTCAATAGTGAAATCAATGTTTTTGTGAACTGAGAAAATTGTCAAATCGTCGGCGTAAGTGATTACTTGAAACGGTTTTTTAGGATTGATTTCACGACCTTGCAAAAACGATGTGAAGAAAATAATAGGTCAGAAGCCTTTTCACCGTTAGAAAAATAGTAATAGTATATTAAAAATTATACGTATGAGTATATTTCGTTGTAACGATGGTAAAGTAAGATAAGGGTAAGATACCCGTATTTTTTCATAAATACTATATTTATCGCATGGAAAAAAGTAACTGATGGGTTAGAATAAATAACAATAGCTGTATTATAGTTATATATGTATAAAATATAATATATAGAAAAACATCCTCATAACTACGTTTTTAAATAAAATTTTTTTTATCGGAAACTATAGCCATTGGGAAAAAACACTTCGGATTTTCTTGTAAAATATTATTCGGGAAAAACGTTAGGTACTTTAAAACATTTTTGAATGGTTTTAAAGACAAATTTAAAAATATATCACTATGGATGTATTATATATACTTACAATACACATATGCTATGTATTTTATACTGTATTTATCTATAATTGTATTGAAATATAATATAGGTTCAACATTATGGACATCTCGATCCTAGTAATGGGTTAAGTCGCGTTATTATTGTTCAACCCTGGGCATTGATAGTTAATACATCTGGTCAATTAATAACATTATGCAACTCAACTGACATACTTTGTAATTTAGACCAGTTTTGCGTTGTAGCACCTCCAGTTATCAAAGTAAGTTAAATAATTATTTTTTTAGACCGAAATATGATTTACATATATAATATTTATATCTTAAGATATCTTTCTAATTTTTTTTTTATATTTTATACTACTGTCAGTGATTTAGGCCTAAAAATTTGAACCTGATAGAAAAAACTAAAAGGGCCCCTCTTTTATTAGGTTTGAATGTAAAAAAAATAAAACTAAACCCTTAATAATGCATTTAATTAGGCTAATTTTTTTTATATTATATAAGTAAATACACTTAGACATATAATTTATATTTATATATTTATAACAGTTACATTTTTAGTATATTATTATGATTATTATATTATTTGATTTTGTTTATAGTATACATTTTATATCGATCTGAATATTGGTTGTACGACTTATCGTTCACAACCACTTCAACTTTGTAGTAGTCAGTCATTCCACATGCCACAAGTCAACGGTTTGATTCCATTAAATGGTCATACATCTGTTGTTATTAACTGTAAACATTATGTAAGTTTTTAATTGTTTATGTATTTTTCTGCAAATTTATAAATCATACTTAAAATAATTCATATAGATTGGTTATTTAAACATTTGTTCTTTGGATCATAATAACATGAGAATTATTCATATTCAAAGTTCATATATTGCTTCAAATCATAGTTCAATAAATCTAAAAGTATTAGCTGTTTGTGCTAATCCATCTTCAGGTGTATTAGATATTCCAAAAGACATTGATGAGAACTCGGTTGATTTGCCTAAAAATATTAATGAACTGTAAGTATAGTTATTTAACATACATAATTATATTTTAATAAGAAAAATATTCAAGATGTATCAACAGCATGGCTCATAACTTGTAGCATTTAAAACATTTTTTCTTAATAATAACAAATAATTATATTAGTATTAATTATTCACATTTATAATTAATTCATGTTAATAATTTATTCTTCTTTTTTTGGTTTAAATTATATATTTATTTATATCAAATAGCGATGTGATCGGTATTTTAATAATAAGAGTTTGAAATAATTTTTTTACATGACATATATTTTTGTATTTTTAGTGCATATTTAAGCACTTATATGAGTATTTTTATAAGGGTATTACAGCACTTATAACTACAATTTTTAGAGCTATAAGTTATAAGACCCGATCATCAGTTATTAATCGTTGATTTGAGGTTCAATTTGATTTTAATGCATATTGTAACTAATTTTTATGTTGAGATATTTTAATATTTTATTTTTGGTACAATTTTAATATCAGTGTTTTATATAAAATAATTAATTTTCTGATCTATTACTTATTATTTTATAATTTTATAATATTTTATTTGTTAAGTACTTGTCATTACATATAGTTTTTTTTTTTTTTTTTAGGGGTAAACCTCTGGCTTTATGGACATTAATTGGTAGACAGAACACATCAAACGAAGAATTAGTTCAGTATATAATACTTATATCTGATGGTAATATTAGTTGTCCAATTAAATTAACTGAACTAATAAATGAAGAACGCCCTTTGCCTGTTCTGTTTTCAAGTTGTGTTATAAATCCATTGATTTGTGTTACACTGCAAGAGTTAAATAATCAATATTTTTTTACTGTATATAATCAACCATATCCACAATTTATTCTTTACAATCATTGTCCAGTATCATTGAATCTTACTTTAGCAAAAAAATCTAAATCTAAAGAGCCAAAGCCATTTTCAATTGATTGGAATTGGACCTACAGAATAACTTCTGGGAAAAAAGCATATTTATCTTTTCCACACTCAGTTTCATGTATACAGATTCCTAGAGTATTAATTGGACTTGATAAAAAACCTTTTAAAGGTTTTTATTTTTTTAAGTTCTTATAACAATAATTTCATTATGTTTTGAATGATCATGAACATTTTATTATTAGGTTGGTTTGCAAGTATAGAATTAAGTGTTTGTGAAAGCAGATTATTACCAGTACCTGGTCAAATAAATGATATAAAAGTTTTAATTACAAAGAGAGCATTTACATTAGATGTAGTCTTTAAACCAGCTGCACAATTTGAATTTTCAGCTAATGAAGTTCGGTTGAGATTAGCTAAAAGTGATAAATTTGAAGGTATATTTGTTTAATATAAAATAAAATATATTGACTATATTAATATTGTTCTAGATAATTTATCAACTAATAACAAAATTCTGAATAATGTAAGACATGAAACATTTCGAAATCCTACAAGTTCTTCCCAAAACTTAGTCTCTAAATCAAAATACAGTAATTGTTTACTTTATTACATTATTAAAATTAAATTTCATTTTATTAATTTTGATAACAATTTTAGAACTATGGCCTTCAATAAAATGTCATATTCATACGTTTATATTCACATTATTTGTTGATGACATTGGATTCAGTTCAAAGGCTGTAATTTCAATGACATTAGATAACATAGCAGCAACCTTAGATGGAAATCAAGTAAAATAATTTTTAAATTAATGAACTATAAATTGTAGTTCATCTATGTGTCTAAAAAAATTAATATTATACATACTAAAATCTATATACTTACATAATTTCATAGAATTATATATAAGTAATGTTATTTACATATTTTAGGATGCTTCAAAAGAAGAAATGAGCATAATTATTTCAATAAATAATATTCAAATTGATAATAATGCATTTATTGATGGGCATTATGATTTTCCTGTAATACTAGTAAAACAAAAAAAAAATATTGAAGAAGTTTATTTTGATACTAGTTTCTTAAAACCATTGTCAAATGTAATACATGATCTGAGACAGCTAGATTCAGCTATTATTTTAAAGTTCACATTAGATATAACCTATCACTTAACACCAGGTATTTATAAATTATAATTTTAATGCATTTTATTACTAAATTATAAAAGACTAATACATTTTTTTTAATTTAATTTTTTTTAGTTATCTTGGATCTAGAAATAACATTATTTACTTTTGAAATATTTATTGAAGATCGTTATTGTTATTATATGCTAGAAATATTAAAAAACTTTAAATCAACAATAACCACATCAAAAGAAAATAATCTAACTCTAGATGAATTCATTCCACTTCATTATTTAGTGATGGCACATTCCCAAGAATTTCGTAATCCTTTAGTATTTAGAATATTTACTATAAAATCATTTAAAGTTATGATAAGTTTGCATACATCAACAACGTTTTATGTGGCCCTCGACCGTTCTCCTTTAGATTTTACAGAATTTACAAAAAAAAATTTAATTACTTCATCTTATCAACTCGGTCGAAGTTTATCATTACATTACTTTTTAAATGCAATATATGGTACAGGATGGGCATTGGGTTCTTTAGAATTTTGGGGTTCTCCTGGTGGATTAGCCAGGTCTGTCGGAACTGGTTTATATGATTTTGTAACTTTATCTGCTCAAGGAATGACTGAAGGACCAAAAGAATTTTTTGTTGGTGTTTTGAGTGGATCTGCATCGTTAGTTAAACATGTTACAACAGGAGCATTATCATCGGTGACAAAATTTGCATCTAGTTGGTCTAGAACATTCAACCGTTTAACTCTTGAAGCAGAAGATTTAGAGCAAATTGAAGAAATTAGACGTTTACGACCACAAAATTTTTCTCAAGGAATCATACAAGGTCTTAGTGAATTCGGAATTAGTCTATTAGGAGCAGTTGGTGGATTAGTCAATCATCCAATTCAGTATGCCATTCAAGATGGTCCAGAAAGAAGAAGAGGATTTGTTAACACTGTAGCTATAGGTTTTGTTGAAGCAATTACAAAACCTATCAGTGGAGCTGCTGAACTGGTAGCCATGACTGGGGAAGGATTTTTAGCTGGTGTTGGATGGATTAAAAGTCCACAAGTAAATAATAATGTGTGAAAATTAGTTTTAAAATATAAAGGGACTTACTCAAAATTTACTAAAAACTGTTTAATACATGTCTGTTTTTTTTTTTTTTTTTTTTTATACAGTTACGTTCCAGTCTTAATTGTAATGAAATTAGATTTGGTGCATCTGAACTCAGATATTCTTGGTTAATATTACACAAACATTTAAGTTCAATTGAACGAGTTCTATTAACTTGTGATGCAACTATGGATAATTTTGAATTAGAACAAAAATTGTCAGAATTAACATTGGTATTAACTGATAGATTTTTATATTTAATCAAAGATCCAAATTTAATGTTACCAAATGTTCTACGCTTACCAATAACTCAAATTGTTACTCCCAGTCAACAACATCATGATCCTTCTTTAATTACAATAACTATTCGTATGTCAGCTCAGGTAATTAAAGTATTGAGAATATTATACCAAATCAATAATTTTTAACCAATAAATATGTTTAATCAATAGAACGATACTACATATGATCGAGTAGCTGATTATGTACGTAAATCACAAAGTTTTTTAAACATGGAATCAAAAACCTTATCAGATAATCAAGATCAAACACATAGATTGCTGGTTAGTCCACAAATAAGAAATTACATATTAAATTTAATTGAATTCCTTAAACGACATATTCAGAATAAAGGGTATGCAGTGATATAAATAATTGCCAAAAGTGTACTCATAAATGTCTTGTGCAATATAAATTTTAAAATACCTGTGATAATTTAATCAGTATAATTTTATATTTGTCTATTAATTATGAATACTGTTATATGTAATCGAAAATTAAAACTGAACTATTTTGTTTAAGAAATTATTGTTATATTAATTTCAAATTATTTAATTTTGTTCTGGAAACCATGTAAATTAGTTTCAAATCATTAGAAAATTGAGAGATTATAAATACCAGAAACTAGAAATTCAGGCTTTATCATAATCATTTAGTTTAATTTAATTTTTTTATGCCTAATGAAAACATTGATTTCTATGTCCTGTTTTTTCAATTGTTTATTTATTCACGAGATTACTAATATATTTATTCTAAAAATAAGCCTCCGAATAAAATAATAAGTGTTTTTCAATGCAAAATTATCTGCTAGATTAGCTATTCGATGAATAAAGTAAAATCTTTATTTTATAGTTTAGGTAGCCATAGAAAATGCTGAAATATTTGCGCCTACAAATATTTTACCTATGTGTAATTTACGTGCCACTAATAATTTTAGTAACTTATAAGGAAAATAAAAACTTGTGATACTATAAGAAAAGAACATAGGCGAAAAACGTGAATCGAATAGTCGTATATATTGGAGTAGTACAGAACAACAGAAAAGACAATCGTTTGATCGTAATGTAAATCGTTATCGATTTACAAAAGGTATACTGGATTAGTCTGCGCCTACGCCTTAGTCTGATTTGCACCTATGATCATCAGGGGCGAATGGAGCGATCGCGTCGATGGCCAGACCCATAGTTTCACCTATGCTGATTTTTGCATCTGACGTTTTATTTAATCCACGTTTATTATTGAAATAATTAAATAATTTAAGACATGGCAACTAAATTGTCAAAACCCAAAGGTGGGTCATGTTATGCAGTAGCAACATGTATTAATTATGCTAGCAAGGTAAAGCGAGATGGAAATACTAATATATCATTTTACAGATAATAATAATAATAAAATAATTGAATACAAATTAAGATAATAGTAATGAATTGTAATGATAAAATAGAAATGGTTCAAGGTGTAGTTGAGCAGGTTGGGTAGTTAAAACATTGGAACTCAAATTTCCGGAGATTGGTTTTACAACAGAACAAGATTCAAAAAAATCTCCCACGAACATAATTATGAGATGCTGTCATGGATAAATCTTTTATCTTACGGTGGATTAATTATTCCCAGTGATGAATTCAAAAATAATATTATTAGAATAGAAAGACTTTTTAATAAAATAACCAAACAAAATTCCTGAAGGACAAGGAGTTGTAAAATAGTGACCAAAAAATATTCAATACAATGAAAATACCTAAAAAATATTATCCTGTTGTGCCAAAGTATGTTAAGCAAAGAATTCTCATACGAATAAAACATTTAAACTACCACAGAGTCTTAATTAATAAAAAAAGAAAAGATAAAGTGAACCTACAACGACTGCAAAAACGTAAAAGACTTATGACATAATTTAATAATCATTATTTATTGATATTTTTGTTTATATTATCATATTTTTAAATCTGTCTAAAATAATATAAAAAAAATTAAAAATAAATAATGGCAACCAGGGGTATATTAGAGGGCGAAGAGGGCATTCGCCCCCATGGCTCATATTTTTTTTTTAATATAATACATTGATTTATTTAAAAAATGTAATAAAATTTGATTAAGTCCATAAATGATTTAGCAATAACTGATGTTGACTGATTTTCATAATAATATTTTAAATTTTCTAAATTAAAACTTATCATCTCTTTTATATCTGTGCTAAATTAATTAACTATTCAAGTTAGAAGTTTAATGTAACTAAGATTTTCTCATTTACCATTTATATAAATAAATTGTCTACTATTATTTTTTTTTTTTTACCATTTGCCATTCTATTTAACAATTTTTCATTCCAGTTACCATTATCCATTTAAAACTTACCATTTCCCTCCCATTTACCATTCTCAAAAACTGTTATAAATAAATAATTATGGATCATGCAACACTAATCAAATTTATGAGAGAATATAATTTTATAAATAATACTACTAACCTATATAATACAAAAAAATCTTTCAGGGAGAAATATAATATAAGCTTGAAAACTATTAATAAATATCCAGTGCTCGAAGTGGGGGAGTAAGGAGGGATGGCATCCCTCTACTTTTTTGTATTTACAATTTTCATCTCTCAACTTATTTTGTCTAGAATAACGCATTCCTCCTAAGATTTGTATTTTAAAATGATATACTTACCATTTTTATATTGTATATATTAGACATTTTTTTTTTCAGTAAAAATAATTGTTTTTGACATTCAGGCCCGGGCGCCCGGCTTATCGTGTTGTAAACTTTAAAACTAAAAACTGTAAATTTGTTTAGTTGTGTATTTTTTTATATTTATATTTTTATAAAATCTTTGATGGCCTGGTAGAAATATCATACAAAACTTTCCTTTTAACAGCGTTACTAATTTTTTATCTTGTATTTTCACGTTGCACTTTTCGTGATTGTGTTCTTTGCAGTTTTCTAACATAAAATTATCAAAGGATAATTTAAAAACATTTACATGAGTTTTTACAACGTGTCTATCGTTGAACCTCCCCTTGCAACATTTTATAATAACATAATAACTCGTATTGAAGCATTTATAATACAGTACCTACGATATTACGATACTATCGTGCAGTTACAAGTCACACACGAAAGTACCCTTATATCTATCATCTACGTGTATAAAAGCCAATCTATTAGTATAAGGTATGAATTAATATCTATCTTAATACACTTTTTGTGTCTGTAGCGCAATTTTAGTTGTCAGCCACAAAGTGCCTCGTCGGAAAGCACTATATTTAATATATCACCTTTTATAGAATTAGCAAAAATATCAATATTGTTATTTATTTGATTTAGAACATTCACTTTACTACACACAAAAAGTAATTACGCTATGGCTACACATTAATAAGACCACTATCTTTCTTTGAGCTTCATTTTTAACTTTTAGGCGCAACTTGGGGGACTTGGGTGTGTTTAACACCCCCAAATGTGTTCATGTAAATTTACATATAAATAATTATTACTCATTATTAAGGCTCAGAAATTTATGCGCTAAAAAGTACTAAAATATGCGCATACATATGCGTCAAAAAACATCAAAATATGAGGTATAATACGCAGTAGAAAATTGTAGTGTAGTATGATGTTATTATTTTTATATTAAATAAGACTATTTATATAAGGATTTATTATTCATTTAAAAATTTTAAAATTGATTTATAATTAGTCAGATATAAATCTTTAATTAAAAAATTTTATTAGATTTTTATAATATAATAAGTTACAAAATTTTTTATACCATTAAAAATGAAAAAGAAAATGAAAAGGG